CATGATGAAGTTGATCAAAGTTTAGTGGTGAATCAAGGAATAAAGTCAAGTCAAGCAATTCATAAATCAGGTAAAATCAAATTGATTGATTCTCTATAACCCGGCAGAACAAGTGGAGGAAAATACAAGTGTAATTTTAAATGACCCTCTATGCAAAGATGGAAATACCCTGTTCACAACACTACCCTTAAAAGCTTTGTTTGATCAAGTCTTTTTCAGGCCATATTTTGCGGTTCTCTGCGAAATGGCTTGCTTTCTAGAAGCAATAGGGAACTTATCAGAATTTAACACTTTTCTCAGAAAAACGACAATATTTTCAACATTTTTGATCAAATTAAGGTTTTTACGGTACAGTTGTAAATCGGGCTTTACCATCTTTGTATGGAGGGTCACTTGAAATTACGGTTACAGTCCTTCTTCAAGCAACACTAGAAAACAGGAGGAGCGTACACAGGAATTGTCCGCAGGGGACTCAGCTTTTAACTTTCAAGAAGTGTGGAGGGTTGGCCATATATAGTGTACGCTCTATTTTTCTGTTCTCATACTCCATTGCAGAGGGAAAATATAATTTAAAACTAAGCATCACTTTTAAAGAGAATATGAATAAACTTTGTAATAATACCTTTAGATGTTATAAAAATTGAGAGGTGGAAGCCAAGGGAGGGGGGTGGGGGATGTAATCTTTAATTAAATTTACCATAACCATCAATATTACTGTATGTATTGCAAATGCAACGCAGACAAATTTAGACTTTATGACTTCAGAGTTTGTTGTAAAAGTACAGGAAAAGGGTGATTGTATTTTGTAAAAGTGATTTTGTGCTTATTTGATGATTCAAATATATTTCTAACTACTTGTAAAGAGAATTTTAGATTACTAAGATCATATTTCAGACCACTTCTAGTTTAAGCTGAAACTAATCAATTTATAAATCTAAAAATAATAGTTTGTATCAAATAAGATGCATTGACCACCAGGGGAGAAAAATCAAAACTGAGATAAATTTTTTAAACTTAAATCATTTTTACATCGCCTGTTTTATAAAGTTCTTGTTGTATAACCTAGAGTTTATATTGTCAGTGTGTGTAATATCCAGTTATATTTCATATTGTTCGGCCTGAGTAAGGGAGATAATAATTTCATGTCAACCAGGGGGATAATTTGACCAGGGTTATAAACTGTGATAAAGAGGAATACACTTTATTTGAACCAAATAAACGTGGAAAAGGTAAAACAAAACAAAACAAAATTTTAACAAAAAAATAATTTTAAATTTTGCCTAGAGTGACCATTATTATATTGTTTTTAACGTCGAGAAACGTTCCAAATAATCAAAAAACAGTAATTTCTGTTTTTAGGACTTTTAAACATTGAAACATCCCAGAGTAACAGAAATCAATTTTCCCTCCGATTCAATATGAAGTGTACCCTTTACATTACAACAAATATTTCAGCGTTCAATTTAGTTAATATTGTATAACTCGTTTTTTCAAAGATCCCTAAATTACTAAATATAAAAAATAAATTTATAACTCTTACAAGACGAAATTGCAATTTTTGGATTTTAGAGCTATGAAAGGGCGCGAAGTACCCTCAATTCTTTATCAATCGACAGACACACGAAAGAAACAGACAAACAGATTGGTTAAATAGATACATGGATAGATGAACAGACTGCCGGGATATGACGTAGACCAGTTTTTACAAAAGATTTGCACATCTTTACATCATTTACCATGTAAATTCCAAGTTGTGTTTTGCTCCTTCACTTTGGAGATTGTAGCCAAACCAAATAAAAGCCTGAGATTGATTGAGTAATCTGTATATTCTCAAAACTGCATTTTTACGCCGGTTTAACGACGAGTTTGAACATTAAACCTTTATTGCAAACCAATTTTTCACGATTTTCGCTTTTGGTTTAAAAAATGATAATTCATGGAACAACTTTTAATTTATCAATATTTAACAACTTTAATAAATAAGGGTTTAGTAATTACGTGACGCTTGGAGACGCTTGTCCTTCAACATTTCAAGATTATTCAGTTTTATTGAATTTTTGTTTAGATGATTATATTATATTTTTTTCAACACACATTTAGATTTGTAATCATTACAAATATATTAGGTTTCCAGAAGCCGAATTCAAGAATTTGAGCCGCGGTTTAAATTTGAGACGCAGATCTAATATGGTTGGTTCCACTTAAAATTGTATTCAATGTTTCAATATTTAAGCCGGCGCTCAATTAAATTCGGTTTTTGGCGGATTTGATAATGATGATATTTTTATCTGAGCTGTGTCAGAATTTAATGAATTTGAGCCGCGTCTTAAATCCGCCAAAAACCGGTTTCAATTGAGCGCCGAATTAAATCTTGAAACATTGAATACAATTTTAAGTGAAACCAACCATATTTGAGCCGCGGCTTAAATTTAAGCCGCCGCTCAAATTCTTTAAATTCGGTCTCTGGGAACTTTAGAATGGATACACTTTAATCCTGACTTCTTGATCCAAATATCCACTGTGGAAACTTTTAATTTTTGTCCTAATCCACTCTTTTTCTCTCTTTGTATATCCGTTAATTGGGTGGGGTGGGGGGAGAGGACTCAGTCCTAAGCTAGGGTTAATACCCCTAGAAATCTTAGTCTTCACTTTAGAAGAGGGGGCTTAGATGTTAGCATTCTCAATTTTGTATACGCCCCTAGTTTTGACCACAGCCCCCCCCCCTCCTGTGTGAACCCCTGTTCCCAATATGCTTCCGACATTTGACATTAAACAAATATCTGGCTTAATTGTCTTTATGTCTAGTATTGGACATTTTAACTTTAATTTAAATATGTACAGGGTGTCAATAAATAAAGGGGATCAAAAGGATGTTTATGACTTTTAAAAGGTTTAAAAAAGATTTTTAAGTTTAGTTCTACATTAATAACAGTTAAGAATAAAACGCGAAAAAATGTTAAGTTTATATAATTATTATTATTTATAGTCTGACTACGTGCTTATAGCGTAACAATTAATTAGTTTATAAATGCGTAAAGGAATTGAGTCTTTGCCACACACTCTGATTTTCTAATCACTATATCTCTAGAACCAAATGTTGCAGACCTTAGATATTTCAAACTATGAATTCTGTTAGATCAAATAATCTGAGTTTGAAACATCAAAGGTTTACAACATCGAATTCTAAAGATATTGAGGTTTAAATATTTGATTTTGTTCCAAAGACTCAATTCCTTTAGATAAATATTAATTTGAATTTTATCGTTTTTCATACACTTTTAAGATAATCTTGCAAGATTATGTTAATCTTGAGATTATCAAAAAGAGAGGATCAAGCATTAATCCCGATATCCACCATTCTAAAGTTTTCAGCTCTGAGCTGGGAACTTTTGAATGGTGGATATCGAGATTAATGCTTGATCCACTCTTTTTCTTAATCTCCAGATTAAATATTGCTTGTTTTCCTCTCCAGATTAATTAACAGATCGGGATTAAGGATATCACATTCTTAAGTTTTCAGCTCTGGACACATTTACATATGTATAACGCGCGCTTATTTTCAAACAAAACAAATATATCAGGTTTCCCGAGGTCTTAACTTTTGTGCGAGATAGAGCTAATCTACAATGCTTAAACTCTATCTAAATCCTTTGTGTCAGCTTATAGATTTGAGGAATAAGTTCTTGATCTTTCTGCAGAGTTCTGAACAACTGATATTTGTATAATCGCTTGATCCTTGGACCAATAACATAAAATGTCTGACCTCTAAGACCTTTAATGAAAATAGACACATTTAAACTACGTAATTAATTTGAATTCGGGCACAAGATAAGTGGTTCAACTTAAACTACATAGTTCAACTAATTCTAGCTATTTAATAATTTTGTCCCCAGTGTATCTTCTAAATCTTAAAATGAATCTAGATTGTATATACCCGCTAGTCAAATCACAGCAATGCGCAATGTTTAAATCTTCCCGGAAATTATCATTTTCCTAAACATTTCACTGTTTTCCACAAAAAAAAAAATAATATTTGATTCCATCACAAATGGCTTTATTATATATAAAATAATACAAACATTTGGTTCAAATTTCATTACGAACTCAGAATTAAATAATTGGATAAATTGATTTTTATTCAATTATGAAGAATATTAGTAGTCTGATGAACCATATGTCATTGGTATTAGAAACCAAACATCACTGAAATAAAATATACATACACACATATATTTATAAAGTAGTTCTCTTTGTTTTTTTGTATGTCTTATCATACCTCATGAAACCCTTGAATGATTTGCCTCAAATTTTAATAGACCAAGGAAGTGTTCTTATATTGGTTTAAGCAGTTAAAGGGAGTGTTCGCGAAAATTGAAAGGCGGTTATTGGCATAAGTAGAAAAATTATCGATGGCGATCACTTCTCATCTATCTGTTGCGTCCAAAAGGGGGAAAATGTTAAAAACCACTCATGCCGAAGATGCAAAATAAGAAAGTTGCAACATTCGACTCGGATCGTAAAAAAATAAATTTAATTCGAAACAAATAATTGAGATAATACAACCTATAATCATCGATTTTTTTTCGACGCATTCGTATATAGTTGATATTTTACAATATTTTAATGATTTTTTAAAAATTAATATTTCGATTACAACTCGTTTTCAGGGCTGGCGCTGGATTTTCGAACATTCATTATCAAAAATCCTCGAAACAGGAAGAAATGTTTTCAAAAGTAACTCTCAGATCACAAAAAGTAAAAAAAATACTATCAAATATCAACTTCATACGAATGCGTCGAAAAAAATCGATGATTATAGGTTGTAATTTCTTTGTTTAGAATTAAATTTATATTTTAATATCCGAGTCGAATATTGCTACTTTCTTAATTTGTATCGACGCTACGTTCTTCGGTATGAGTCTTTTTTAACAATTTTCTCCTTATAGACGCTACAGATAGAAGTAAGATTAGTAGCGATCACCATCGATAATTTTTCTACGTAAGTCTATACATCCTTTCAATTTTCGCGAACACTCCCTTTCAGCAGGGTAACTATTGTAGGAAAAAACTTTGTTTCCATTTTAAAGCTGGTATCAAATAATGTACGATTATATAAAATATGGAAAAAACTTAATAAACAAAATATAAGATTAACAAGAACTTTTAGGTCTCATTTTATAATAACCATGACTTTTCATTTTTCGTCTGTTCTTTTTTCCTTTGTTGTCGATGAATTTACTTGCAATTTTGTAGATTTTATTTTTAATTGATCAATAGTTTAGAATAGAAAAACAGTTAGAGGGGGCATTTTGAGATCCTGAGCGGCCAAAACCAACCTGGGACCATGCCATAAGTTTTTGACAAACAAAGAGAAAAGAGTTCATAAATTCACTTTTGCATGTTTCTGGAAAAAATACATTATAAAAAACCGTAATGCTGCATGTCTAGTCTCAAATTTTTATCACTTCTAAAATTGTTGAATCTGAAAAACCATCTCATATATTGAAGTAAAGTCTTGATATCTTTTAATTTTTACAATTTGTGAAAATTTGAAATTTTGATAATTCACGAACAAAAATGAGAAAATCTGCGAAATTTAAGAATTAGTATCTAATGATGTACAGATAGAAAAAATAACAACGGATTTTATAAAAGACCTGGTGTCCCAGTAGACCTATACATTTCAGGTATCCCAGTAGACCTATATTTTATGGTGTCCCAGTAGACCTTTATATTCTATGCGTCCCAGTGGACCCATCTATTATCTATTCTTTGTGTTCCAGTAAACCTATATATTCTAAGCGTCCCATTAAACCTATAAATTCTATGGGTGTCCCAGTAAACCTATATATTCTAGGTGTCCCAGTAAACCTATATATTTTATGTGTCCCAGTAAACCTAAATATTCTAGGCGTCCCAGTAAACCTATATATTCTATGTGTCCCAGTAAACCTATATATTCAATAGGTATCCCAGTAAATCTATATATTCTAGGTGTCCCAGTGGACCCATATATTCTAGGTGTCCCAGTAAACCTATATATTCTATGTGTCAAAGTAAAACTATATATTCTATGTGTCCCAGCAGACCTATATATTCTAGGTGTCTCAGTAAACCTATATATGTTATAGGTATCCCAGTAAACCTATATGTTCTAGGTGTCCAATAAACCTATATATTCTATGTGTCCCAGTAAACCTATATATTCTAGGTGTCCCAATAAACCTATTTATTCTATAGGTATCCCTGTAAACCTATATATTCTAGGTGTCCCAGTAAACCTATATATTATATGTGTTCCAGTAAACCAATATTTTCTAGGTGTCCCTGTAAACAAATCTAAACCTCTAATGAAGAAACAATCCAAGTTGACCCTTCAAGCTAATAGAGAGGCGGAGAGGTCAAGGTGAAACATTTTTGTCCCATGCAGTAAAGTATACTGTACAATCAAATTATCGTTTCATCTATAGTAATCTCTGTATGGATGTTTGGATGTCCTATTCGAGGGAATTCTCGACTGATTTTTCTCCAATTTAGATTAAGTAACTCGTAAGAACCACGGAAATGTTCTTAGCTTGATTTCTTTTTTAAGGGTTTACTTTTTAGCAAAATTTCAGTAGGTTAGGTTGTATATGAATTATACTTTTGAAACAGAATATCAATACATATTTGATTTCCATGTAAATTTTACATTGTACAACTAGTAGGACAAATATGTACACTGTAAACTATTCAGCTAGTAGGAAAATGTTAGCAAAATGTGAATTTTATACTACAAGGGTTTCTCAATCGTCTTTGCAAGTTAATAAATGACAAGGAGATCTTATCAGCGTTTAAAATCTAATTTGTAACTTTAAAATTTACATTGTTACTTATAACATATTGAGATTGAGTTTTTTTTACTAATCTGTAAATAAGTAAGTAAGTAATTCACATTGACATTGTCATTGACATTTGTTTACTTGTATATCCTGAACCCCTGAACCGATTTGTTTTAGGTTTGTAAATTCTAAATGTAATTTGGATTTATTGGGGAAAACTTAATATGCCAGTCAACATTGGGGTTCCAAGCTTGTAAATTCATAAAATTTACAATTTATTTATACCTTTCAGATGTCTGGTTGCAATACGGAAATCTGCCATGGAAGTATCCTCATCTTCTACTTTAGAGGAAGCACATTTAGAGCGCCTCCTGGCGGACAGGTAAATACAATGGCGGAGAGCGGACAGGTAAATATAATGGCGGAGGGCGGACTGAAAGGGGGCGGGGACGGACTGATAAACAGAATGGCGAAGAGGGGGTGGGGAAAGGTAAACAAAATGACAGTGGGCGGGGACGGACTGATAAACAAAATGGCGAAGGGGCAAGGTAAACAAAACGGCAGAGGGCAAGAACGGACAGATTAAAAAGGTGGCGGAGGGGGTTTATATTTCCATAACAAAGTAGCTGAGGACGGAGGGTTATTAAAATAGGTAAGATCTCTTCCACGATTTTTCAAAAATCAATAATAAGGTCCTCATTTCGAGGCTTTAACCATTACAGGATTTCTTACTATAGTATTCATCATTTTTGGGAAAATATTTGGAAGTGAAGAAAAACTTAAAATTTTAGAGATTTTTCTGCAAACCTGTTCGGACTGTTTGATCCTGAATCCCTGGGGTTTATTAAGCAGGAGGATTGGGTCGGTCAACTTAAATATGCGCTCAACACCAGGAGGTAATTCATATAAACTGTAGAATAATTAAAAAATATATATACCCTGATAACTAGAAAATTATGGAATAGAAATTCGACTTTTAGACTCAAGTTCCCAAGTTATGACTTTAAATAGTTTAATGAACATGAGGCTCAGCAATTGTGTAATGTAATTTTGTAAACAGACCAATTTTACTTAATAAACATCGATAAAGATATTTGCTTTTTACAACATCAAATTATTGCCTTAATGTCGTCTTGATATTCTACAGTTTTCTGGTTAACACTGAAATCAGACTAATGTGTATTTCAATCATAATCAAACACTTTTGCGAAATTATGAAAAATAAAGGTATGGGGGATAGATGTTGTGTACACATAAAACAGTAACGGACTCATTCATTTAAACAATAATAAAGATTGTAAACAAAATATTTCTTTTGAAGGATAGAAGAAGTTGGCTTATTTACTAACTATTCTTAGTTTCAAGGGACTGTTAAGGAAAAAATGAAAGGGGGTATAAGCTGAAAGCTAATCACTGTAGCTCTTGATAGCGACCCATGAAAGTTTGATGTTCCTGTCTCGATAAATTGATATAAAACTGTGTTAAAATTATACGAAAGTTCATATATGTAAAATTTAGAAAATCTTAAACTTAAATCACGTGACCAGAACTATCTCCAATGGTAGAGCAGTATACTGGTCACGTGTCTCCGCCTGTTTCACGTGACCACCTTACTGCACTGCCATTGGTGGAATTTCTGGTCAAGTAATACGGACGTATATATAATATTATGAATTAAATCTATTAAAAATAGAAATAACAAATATAAAATTAGAATTGGAGTAAACCTAAGTTACAACTAGCTTTCTCTGGGATATCATCGTTTTCAGATAGGTTGCCTATTTGCTGAATTTGATCTATCTAAACCCACTACTTTTATACAAAATTGTATATATATTAATTTTCGTATAAATTTGACACAGTTGTATATCAATTTCTCGAGATAGGAACATCAGATATAACTTTCATGGGTCGTGATCAAGAGCTAAATTAATTAGCTTTCAGCCTATACCCCCTTTCATTTTTCCTTTACAGTCCCTTTAAACCGGTTCCAGCAGTAGTTCTAATAAATGTAAACAACCCTAACCCCCTACCTTTAGTGTACCTACCTTGGTTTGCCAGATCACTCCATGTTCTTTTTAAATACGCGTAAAAGTTGATTATATGAAAATTACAAAACACAGGAATAATAAAAGGCATACAGTTTTATCAATTTCTTAAGTCCAACGTTAAAAAAATTGGGAATTGAAAATGCTTTTGGTGACAAATGAAAATGTTTTTAAGGCATTTGTAAACAAACCATTTCACAAACTTTTCATTAAAATAGCAATACGGATTTTTTTTCTAAATGTTTTTATTTCTTGAAGATTTTATCTACAGATCTAAAATTCTACAGATCATAATTCTTAACTTAAAATATTTTTTCTTTTCTCTAGTGGGACATTAAAGCAGAGAAGTTTTATATATATGGAGCTAATCGATCTTTTAGAAGTAGGTTATTTATCGTTATTATTATTATTGTCATTATTGATATTGATATTATTATTGTTATTATACATCATTTTTATTATTATTATTATTATTATCAGGCCCTGGCGTACCTAATCTGCAATGAGTATCATATAACCCCGGATAAGTTCTATCAGGTTTTTTTTCATCAAATCATTAAAAACATTTTGCGATAGGAGTTTTTATATGCATAGTATGCTGTCATAGGATATCATATAAAATATTAATATATTGTTTTGCTTGATTAAAACAAATATGATGATTTAAATTTTTTTATTCTGAAAGATCTGGGTGTGCAAGGGTAGTGCCAGCAAGCTGTTGAAGTGTATGGACAAGAATATGGACGGAGACGTGACTGTTGAGGAGTTCATGGCCTTCCTTGTTACCCTCACTAGCAAACAGTAAGCTAGCTATAGCTACGTACAAGATACTACACTTTTTAAATACTTTTAGGGAATAATAAAGGAACTCAACTTCAACCATAATTATCTTATCGTTATAATCTTTGCAAAGATATTCATCATCATGTTGCAAAAGATAAAATTCTCTTTATTCCAGATCAAATGTATTTTGGTCAAAAACAATGGTGTTTGATAAAAATATGTAATCTAGCTCAATAATATATCTCTTTAATCATATATATATTCGTTATTTTTAGCTGGCAAAATTGCTAAAAAAATCGAAATATTTTTTTAATTAGAAATTTCTCCACGGGCGACACCGGACATTTTAGCTAAACAAATTGAAACAATCTTTTTTTTAAAGTAAAAAAGTTAAAAATAAATTGATTATTTTTAGTGAAAATTCTACACTTACCCCGGAGAATCTGGCTTGGTTAGAGGTCGTCTTCAGAGAAAACCTAAAGTAATACTTTTATAGATATCCTTAAATTAGAAATTATTTATCATAAAGCAAGATATTTGAATTTACAAAGATTACATTATTTAATTGTGGACGGTAAGGGAGTACTGTAAAACAAAATAGTTGGCGGAAGGCTGAACCAGATTAGAAATGAAACGATGGAGACCACATTAAAAAAATTAAAACTGGACAGAATAAATTATATTAGAATTGTAGATTAATTCGTTTTCATTTGATCATAATTCAATCTTTCTGAAAGAAAATTTGATTTAAACCTTGAAAATGTTGCATACCTGATGGAGACCGGCGCGGAACCTTTGAAAGCTTTATCCGAGTAACAATGAGAAAGATATTGTCGTTATTCTAATTTGGAAAGAGAATAATTACTTATTTGCCTTCCATGTTTTTGTCAATGATATGGTGGACCCGAAATAGAAAGTTCTTCATTTCATGATAAAAGACAAGGATATATCCATCAATTTTGCTCAAATGTTTTCTTGGTACCGTTGTGAATCGGAATTGTAAAGCTATAAAGGAAAAGGTCACTTTAAGTTACCTCTACAGTCTTTTTAAGTAGAAAATCGGTTCCTTCTCTGGGATTTAATTAAAGTAGTTGACAATCAATGCATGATGCAATCATTGTTTATCTTATACACCCCTAAACTTTTCGTAAACACTCTCTTTAAACAAGATGTTTGTACAGGCCTGGACAGCAGGAGTTCACCGTCGACGAATTTAAGAAGATTGTTCCATCAAAAAATGTAAGAATTAATTTTGAAAATATCAGAGAAATAATTTAGGTTTTTTAGGCGTTTATCATTTAGATTCTCTGTCTTTAAAAAGTCTGTTTTACTTGATTACATTTCTGGGAAAATAATTTGAAGTTAGAGGAATTTTAGATTATTAAATGTTTAACAACTTAAACACAAAGTAGTTTTAGATTAATAAACAACCAACTTAAGCCAAGTCATTCAAAAATAAATTAAGCGATGCAATTATATATTTTCTGAATTATTATTTAAATTAAATTTCTTTAGAAAACAATTCATTGAAACACATCATACATTTTACAAAATTAGAATCTAATTATAATTATATAATCATATAGAGCACTGCATACTAACTAAACAAATTTAACTTTTGCTGTACATGAGGTTGCAGGCCAATTAAAACATGTTGTACAATCTTTTTTCATTCACATATGTACATTCAAACAAATTGTTTCGTTTTGATTGTGTACGCTTGCAAGCGATAAAAATATATTTGGCGCAAATCCGAATCTTGATCATTCTCTGGATCTGAATGGATTTGGATCCATATCCGTGTCTAGATCCGTATCTATAGTACACAGCTAGTTGTACACGAATCTGGATCGTATCATGATCAAATCGGCAAATGAAATCAATCCGAACCGGATTTTGATGATTAAGAGGCAGGCTGATCCCATCAGAAAAAGCTTTTTTTGTTGCATTGTAGAGGTTTTTTTTTGTAAATGTCCTTCTCTGCATTTATGAAAAATCTGTTTAAATATTTAGAAATATTTCCTGGAACGTGCGTTTACAATCTTCGACAAGGATAAGTCTGGAACTGTGTCGCTGGAAGAGTTCCTTGAAACTATGCAACAGTTTGCGACTCAGGAACAAATATTTGTCGACAAATAAAATAATCTGTTTTAAACTGTGGATTTTGTTAACTTTTATTTAATGAGAAAAATGTATAATTCGTTTCAATGGAAATTGTAGAGATAGTCTTTGTTGTTTAAATCATTAATGTTATTTTGTTTGTTTTCGTGCAATTGTTGTTGTTGTTGTTGTTGCTTTATGTTGGTATAGTTTGTAGTCGAAGATGTTGTTATGGTCTAGCTGTTTAATATTTGACTAAACCAGGATGATGACGATAAAATACATTTCCTATTCAAAGTTTATGATCCTAACGGTAAGTACCCATGCAGCACATAATACTATGTTATAGTTTCTTGAGACATACTATTTCATGATATTCGAATAGAAAAAGAATAAATATTTAAATTCATTTAGTTTATACAGCATTACAAAACTTCTTTCTCTTAAACCTCATCATTACATGCTGAAAAGTTATCCTTTACAAAAACATTAATACGATTTCAAGAAGAATAGGAAAAACTAAGTTGAAATAAAGCTAAAATTATTTTAAATGTTTTCTTATATTTTCTAGGCGATGGGGTCATAGATGAATCCGAACTTTGGTAATTATACATTTTATTTTAAATCCCTCAAAATATTGTTTTCAATTTTTTTCTTTCCCCAGTGAGGTGTTAAAGGCCTGTATGGCTGAAAGTGGAATGAAGTTTGATGAAAAAGAAGTTTTTAATCTGGCTAAAGCATTATACGATGACTCAGTCAAGGTAATCAGTATTGTTACCCCATCTATTGTAAAAAGTAAAATCTGTGAAATGTTTTATTATTTTTAAGGAGGGTATGGCAGGAATAACAGCTGACGATTTGAAAGAGCAGTTCCAGCGACATGAAGGACTTTTAGAAAATCTTACATTAAATATTGGTATTTTTACTTTTAAAGTTTTTCATTAAAATGATGATGATTGAACGTTATCCCCAGTTTTCCACATTTTTTAATTGTATTACTGAACAATTATTTAACATTTTAAACATTAATATATTTTCATTTTGGATGGCCTTAAGTTTATTTTTTATTTTTGTATATTTCTTGAATACAGGTTAAATAAGTTTTAGTCCTAGGTTATTTTTTTTTGTTGGGGGGGGGAGACGGGGGTGATGGTGGAGATAGCATCTAAAGCAAATAAAATATAGATAATATTCAGGTGTTTCATCATTCATGGAAACACTGTGGAGCATGTCTCTGGATTAAAGAATGGCTTCAAAACTAATTTTAAACTTGAATTTCTAAGTTCTTTTCAACAATTTCCAGAATTTGAATGTGGAAGTAATTTTGTTTTGTCTAGGAAAATGGTTGGTTCCTCCCAAACCTCGAGCTAAGAAATCTTTACTAGACAATGTTAAAGATCTTATTCCTCATTATCTATCCATAACATTCATCATGAATAATAGGTAAAAATGTGTTCAAATCTTACTTTACTATTCAATAAAAAATAAGAATTAAGTTTTTTAAAACAACCCTTTTTTTGTTGAGATAAAAAAATTACAGATTTTTCTTTCTTCGTTGATGGAATTTCAAAATATTTTCATACCAATTTTATGGCGTCAACATTTTTTACTCTGAAAACCAAATAAGCAAACAGAAAACACAAATAAATATATAGATTGCAATCCATTAATGCTTTTCAAAGATATTACTAAAAGTTATTTTTTAAAGATGTTGATGAAGATTTATTTTTAGGTCTTTTTTCCTGTTCAGTTTATTCCTGATCCTGACAAATATTGGTTTGTTTATCTCCCGTGCAGTACACTTTAGATACTTCCCTATGCTCAATGGTTTCATACCAAACCCATTCTATATGCTTTCTAGGGCTTGTGGTAGGAATATAACTAATTATTGAGTGAAAAATAAAAAATATTGAGATTAAATTTTGTAACTATGTGTAATTTGCAAAAAAAATTGTTTTAAAAAACTTAAAAATATAGAAAATTTTGGGGAAATAAAAAAAAGTTTAAATTTTGTTTAAACTGTTTGCAACTACTGAAAAAGTTGTTAAATTATCAATTTTTTGGGTGAAAAATATCAAACCAATTGAGTAATTATGAAACCGGCAATATCAAAACTTAAATTGATAAGAAAATATTGGTAACTTTGGAAATATTATGAAATAAGTATTTTTATAGTATTCATAAAAATTGCCAGATATAATAAAATCATTTACTTTAGGTCGAACTTTACTGTTCAACTCAGCTATTCTTCTTGTTCTAGTTCTTAGATATTCCTTGACAGCTTTAAGGTAAAAAAATCATTAGTTTTTTTCACTAAAGGCACTGATTATTCGCCTCAAACTTAATAGTATCAATCCCAATATATGTATAAATGTAAGTGTAACCTGATATGTTAATCCGTTTCTATTTCAAACTACCAATTTTGCAGGATCATGATGTCAAGCTTTATAATATTAAAAATTAATATCATGATGATATTGAGATGATAAATATATTTGGAATAGAAAATTATAATAAATTTTTAAGCGATTAATCAGTTTCTTTGAGTAATCAGTTCCTTTGGGTAATCAGTTCCTTTGAGTAATCAGTTCCTTTGAGTAATCAGTTCCTTTGAGGGATCGGTTTCTTTGAGTAATCAGTTCCTTTGAGTAATCAGTTCCTTTGGGTAATTTAAATTGTTTCCTTACATCTGATATTTGAAGCATGGATAATTGATCATTGATGAATTAAATTCTATATTTCAAACTTAAATTTTTTTTAATCTAACACAATGCATAATTTGAAATATTTAAGGTCTACAGCATAAGGTTGCAAAGATAAAGCAATTAGAAAACTGGAGTTTGTGACAAAGACTCAATTCTTTTGGCAAAAAAAATGATTCCTATTTCAAAAGAATTTCCTTAAAACATATCTATATAGTTCAAATTCAAGTCCATACAATAAGCAAAATTAAATTTTAGATTTTTAGGTAAAACATTTTTTCTCTAGGAATCTTGGTTTAGCGGCTTTTCTACCCTTGGATAATAATATTCTGTTCCATAAGAAACTGGGTCAGCTTATCTTCTACCAATCCTGGCTTCATACCATCATGCATCTTATCAACTTCGGTATACAAAATAAAGCAAAACAAAATATAAAACAAAATTAAACTGAATTAAACTAAATTAAACAAAAAAAAAATTTAAACAAAACTGAACAAAATTTAACAAAATAAATTTTATAAATGAAATTAAATTAAATTAAAAAAATGAAACTAAATTAAACAAAATTAAACAAAATTAAACAAAATTAAACAAAATTAAAACAAAATTAAACAAAATTAAACAAAATTAAACAAACTTAAACAAAATTGAACAGAATTAAACAAAATCAAACAGAATTAAACAAAATAAGCAAAAGAAACAAAGTAGAACAAACTAAATCAATATAAAACAAAATACAACCAAACAGAAAAAGGAACAAAAAAGATATTCTTATTAAAATTATTGGTTACAGCAAAAAACTGATTCAGCTTCATCGTTCTTTCTCACATTAAATTAATTCAGTTGAATTCGTCTGATTCAACTTAAAAAAATCTATTGATGAAAATGACAATAGTTATAATATTGATGATGATAATAACAATAATAATGATTAAAATAATAAACTTATATTTAGGTATAAATATTATGCCTGATCCAGTAAGATTTGTCCAGCTATCAGCTGATTACTGGTCTGGACCTGACAGTAACTGGACAACCCTAGGTTATAATCCACCTCCAGGCTGTATTCTAGTCAGTGTTAAATCAGAGGAAGCCAGGTAAACCAGGGATCCATGCAACTTTATATACCTTTGTCAGATGGACAACAGTACTATTTACACCTTTGTCTGATCATCGACAACGACGACATTTTCTTACCTAAATATTGTTAACAAGGAACTCCATGCACATGGTTCCCGCAGGTATTTAATTTTCAACTAATCACACAAAGATTACAGAAGGAAAATACATCTACAGTTCCTTCTATGTTGAAGTTAGTCAAGTATTTTGTAGAATAAATCTCATAAAATCCCTGAAAATCCACGTAAATCCACGTAAATTGAAGAGAAAGAAATATTGATGATTTTAGGGATTGTGTCCGACCTGAGCAATATTTTCCCAACTCTAGTCAATACAATCCGGAGATAACAATATGTGAATCCTGTCCTACCAACTCCACTACTTGGAGCTATGCGTCCTGGATACTGACCTGGGAGCCCGGAGTATTCGGTATTATCGGAGGGATTGCTAATCCTACCGGAGTAGCACTCATCATCATCCTCACAGTGATCACATTCGGATCCTTGTCTTATGTCAGGAGAAGTGGATATTTTCAGGTTTTTTTCATCCAACCTTTTTTTTTTGACTATCTTCGAATTCACAATCTACGACATTGGTTCCCTCCTATACAACTTGTTTTGTAAATTCCATGTGACATTTTATATTGTTCCTAAAAAAATATTTTTTCCTTAAACTACAACTAACAAAGGATTTGAGTCTTTGCCACAAGTTCTGATTTTCTAATCCCTATTTCTTAGCAACCCAATATTGTAGACCTTAGATATTTCAAGCTATGAATTCTGTTAGATCAAAAAATCTAAGTTTGAAATTTAAAAGTTTTTATCCATCAAGTTGCAAAGATATAGGGATTAAAAAATTTGAGTTTGTGACAAAGACTCAATTTCTTTGTTTATTTTCCTTTTTTTGACATTTCTTTTTGATTCCTTTCGAAATTTTTAGTTTGTTCCCGTTTAAACTTTGTTTTTGTTGGTAGGTTTTTTACTTCAGCCACCTGCTGAACTTCTTCTACTGGATACTCTTGATCCTGCACGCTCCTGAGTTCTGGAAATGGATTATTATCCCTGGCTGTATATATATACTAGAGATTATATACAGGTCATCAATACGTAAACAACTCAAAAAGTTTTGAGGGATTTATTTGAATTGCATTTCCTTTTTGCCGCAAACTCATATTTTCTAAGCCTAATATCTGTTCAACCTGATGGGTTCAAACCTTTGATTTTCAAACTTAGACTATTTGATCCGACAGAATTCAAATATCAAAGATCTATGCCATCGGATTGCAAAGAAAAAGGAATGGGTAAATCAAAGTTCGTGGCAAACAAAAACTTTGCTCCTCTTAAGGATAATAACCATTTGTACAATTCAGCTTGTAAAGAATGTCATAAAATTTTCAGCAAAGTGTTTGACAAAATATGTTATTTATTATTGCTTCTGTACCATTTTTATACTTTTAACCGTGAAGAATTTATAGATATTTTCTAATGCATGGCAATTAACGAAAGTTTTTAAATTGCTTTTTTTATGCACTTAAAGTTTATATTTCCGTTGTAAAAGTGGAGAGCAAAATTTGCAAAAGAAATTGAGTCTTTGCCACAATCTCTTTGCAACCTGATGGTGTAAAATTTTGATAATTCATGCAGCTTTAAATATTTGATCTAACAGAATACATAGTTTGAAATATCTAAGGTCTGCGACATATATAGGAATGAGAAATCAAAGTTTGTTGCAAAGAACCAATTTAAAAAAAAATGTTTTCGCATCTGCAGTGGTCCCCATAAAACTATTATAAAGACATTTTTTAAAGCTGTCCGAAGAACATTAGAACAAGGCAATTGTGCGGGGTGCACGAACCCATTTTACTTAATAGGTTAATTTTCATGCTAATACAGTAAAAATATTTGTTAATAACAACATTAGATATCCAAGATTGTTTAAATGCCGTCTATCTATTACACAGCTTTATGGGAATCACAATACAGTTTACATTGTACTAAAATTATTTAATATAGGTTTAAACATTAATGAATTGAATATTTAGGGTGACCACAAGCTTTCTAGGACATGGGAAGAGTAAAATTATATCTGTAGTTACATTCCCGTCAAAAGTAAGATTTTTGAAGATGTAAGATTTATTTATAACTAGAAATTCTAGGCGCTTCGCGCCCTTTTTCTAGGCTTTTAGGGCGCTTCGCGCCCATCTTCTATTTAAATTGTGAACATGTTCTTTTTGTTTACATTTAAAAAACAAAGAAGAAAAAACTTTTGTGGATTTAAAAAAAAAAATTCGCGGATTTTCAATAATTTAAATTTTTTTACAAAATTAAAAACCTTTGAAACAAATTTTTTTAATTTCTATCAGTCATAAACCTTCCCTGTGGTCACGTGATGTCCCACAAAAAATTTGGGCCCGATCGGTTCAGCCGTTTTGACGTTTATTGGATACAAACAAACAGACAGATTTATATATAGATAGAAGGTGGTTGAGGGCAAAAACTAGGTTAAAGGGGGAAAAGTAAGATTTTACATCTACATAAACAAGGAGTTGCAAAATATATTATGTCTAATTTATTTTTATTTTTAAGGTGACAAACCTGATAATCAGTCGACCTGCAGGATTCAACTTTAATCCCGGAGATTGGGTTTTCATCAAGTTAGTATTTTACTGATTTTCCTAGTTTACAAGATCGGAAAGATAATACCTTGAAGAAAGTTTAGAAGTTTATTTTGCAATTTTTTGTTAAATTGTCAAAATTTTCGGTTATGGGCGCCCTTTGAACTTAAAGAGTATAATATTATGCATAATTGTTCTTGTTTATAATGTTTTCAAAAATAATCCAATTTAGAAGAAAAATTTGAATTTAATTTAGGGAAAAGTAAGTTTATCAGTTTAAATTATATATAGGAATCATCATAATTCAATTTAAAACTTAAATAAAAAGATCTTTATATATACATATATATTTATCTTTTGCGTGATGTCGCTGAATATTTGAAAATTACAATTTTAATGCACAAAATTTACCATTTGAAATGTTGGGGCATGGAAAACCGAACGGTTGTGGTTTTTGGCTACCGGAAGACAAAAAAGCTAAAATGTGACATGGAAGGAAAAATGTTGTGACTTATGGGCGCCTGCCTTCCCCCGCTCGATGAAGTAGGACTCAAGTTATGTAACGTTCGAAAGTGTTTAATAAAGTTCTAAAACCTTGATAAATGTTTTTTTATTTCCAGGATTCCTGATATAGCAATGTTTGAATGGCATCCTTTCACTATAAGCTCAGCCCCGGAAGGTAAAACATTAGCAAAATCTACAACAAGAAGGATTGTAAACTTAATTTGAATTTACTCTTCAGTCAATGGATCAAATTTGAGCCGCGGCTTAAATATGGTTGACAAATCTGTACAACTCATGAACACTTTTTAAAGCGCACTTCTGAGACCGAATTTAAAGAATTTGAGCCGCGGCTAAAATATGGTTGATTCCACTAAAAATTGTATTCATTTTTTCAANTACTATACTATACTATACTATACTATACTATACTATACTATACTATACTTTACTATACTATATACTCTTCAACCTGTAAGTGTAAGCCTTTAATATTCCAAACTTTGACTATTTGATCTAACAGAAATCATATCAAAGGTTCACGACATCAGGTTGCAAAGTTAAATCGAGTTTTCTGTTCCTGTGCTGACTCCAGATAGAAAAAAAGAGTTTATTCCATTACGTTTATTAATTAGCTTATTATCGAGAAAGTGCCTTTTTGAAGCTATTGACTTGAGTTGCATACACTTTACATGGTCCTGAGCTATGAAACATTTTAATTAATATTAAAGGGAAATGTATTTTCTTTAAAATTTTGATTAATTTCAGTTCAAGACACATTCACTGTTCATATCCGTGGTGTAGGGGAGTGGACGATTAAACTGTTTAATTACTTCGAGGAAAATATTCAAATTATTATTTTTACATAATTTATCATCTGACTAGCTTGGAAACCCAGATTTGCCTATATATATTATATATCTTTATAATAAAACAAGACATTCGAATATATATATGTTGTGTATAGCCGGCAAAACGGCTGGACCGATTGGGCTGAAATTTGTGGACACTTATGGGTGGCCTGGGGGTGTTATAGACTAATAAAAACTTGAAATTAAAAAAATAAATTTCAAAAATATATATTGATATTTCAAACTGCGAATTCTGCCAGTTTGAAACAGTCAAAGGTACAACTTCAGAATAAAATTAAGAAAATTATAATTTTTAAGGAAATTTATCAGTTTCTTTAGTTTTATAACGCGCTAAAAAAGACCTTAGAATAAGTAAATTTTTCACTATTCATGTTTTTTCCCATTTTATGCAATAACATTTATCACAATAATACACTTTTAATTTGAATTGAAAAATAACATAATTTTAGTTCTATTTCTATCTATCTCACTGTGTCTTGCTGCTTTTCTGGTTTTTATAAGAAGCTCTTTAATTATATAATAATTGCAAAATATGCAAAATATTTGAAAAGATTTGAATATTGTATTCAGAATAATCTGCCAAACTTAATAGAAAATCCCACGACATCAAGACTTAAAAAACTAACACAAAGGAGGAAGTAAGTGCATTTTAATTTTGTTTACATAAGTCAGGAAATTTTATTTAATAGTATTCAATAACTTGGAATTTGTCAGTTCCTATATAAATAATATCAAATATTGCAAAGATTTGATAGAATTTTGCATTTAAAATATTCTAATAAATCCCCGAACGTATATTTTGTACTGTTGTAGCCCGAAGCCCCCTAAAGTTACGTCAGAGTTCCAGGATTTAGCTCAACAGCTGGGAACTCCGAACTCCGAGCGGAAACAAGAGAATACAACAACGTAAGTTTAAAGAAAACATTACTTGTCTGATTCTAGATTGCTCATGCAATATCTGCACCTTCAAACTTACAAGACACTAAAATGGTTTTTTAAACCCTTTGTTTATTTGGAGTTTATGTTTTTTCACTATTGTCTTACTTATATAATACCTATATGCACTATGCACTTTATTAAAACAGTGTCTCATTGTCTTATTTATAATCAGGAGCAGATAAAGAATTTAAGTGAGGGGGTGGTGGTGCTAGATTGATTTCTGAACAAAAGTATTCAGATTTATAAGCAAAATAGTTTTTTTTCCTGTTTTGCACTAGGGTTTCTTTCCCTTCAGTGCTATTATGAAGGTATTCTGAAATCTCAGGGGGGGGGGGGGTGAAGGTCGTGCCGCCCCCCTATATCCGCCCCTGTAATTATAATACCAATGTTTGCGTATGGACTTTATGAAATCAGTGTCTCAAAGTCCCACTTAAACCCCGGGCACTTCAGCTAGTATAGAATATTTCTAGAATTGATATTCCGCAACAGAATGGACAGAAGCATGGGAAACTATCAAAATTAAAACAGTCTATCCAGGTAAACTAAACATGATCGAAGAGAATAGTAATGGTCGAATAAATAGGTTTTCTAGAATATTTCCTGTAAGAAAATGAAACGTAACAGACTAAGCTTTTCTTTTGGCTAGAAAGTTAAATGATGATCTCTTTTGATTTATGTTGGCAGTCACTTCATTCTGTATACGGCCTAGGGTTTCCAGCTAAAAGGAAAAATCGTTTCACGAAAATTTCGTATTTTTCGCAAATTTTTTTTTTGCGACCATTTCGCTTTGTTTTCGCATTTCGTTCGCTTCAATCTGTTTAAAATAGAAAATGCGAAAATTTCGCGAAAAAATCATGCGCAAATTTCGCGAAAAAGATATTGCAAAAATTTTGCAAAAAAATCATGCGAAAATTTCGCATTATTGATATCAAATTCTCTTCATCAAATGTTTGTTAAAGTTAAGGAAGAGAAATTGTTTATATGACATAATAAACTTCAAATATTGAGCTTTCATGCAGAGCAGAAAATTCCACATGTTCTTTTAAGCAATCAATTGTTGCTGCTGTAAAGCTCATGGTTTTTTACAAAATTTTCGCATTTCGTGATTATATTTTCGCAATTTGCATTTTCGCATTTTTTCGCGAAACGTTTCGCTGGAAATCCTAACGGCCCCTTTTTTATATTCATGTTGACGGTATCTTTATTTAGATCTATGCAGACGGTCCCTTTTATTAAGATCTATGCAGACGGTCCCTTTATTTAGATCTATGCAGACGGTCCCTTTTATTAAGATCAATGCAGACGGTCCCTTTATTTAGATCAATGCAGACGGTCCCTTTATTTAGATCAATGCAGACGGTCCCTTTATTTAGATCTTTGTAGAAAGTCTCTTTATTTAGATCTATGTAGATGGTCCCTTTATTTAGATATATGCAGACGGTCCCTTTATTTAGATCTATGCAGACGGTCTCTTTATTTAGATCTATGTAGACGGTCCCTTTGGTTCTCCATCTAGTAACATATATCGAGCAGAACATGCTGTTCTCATAGGAACAGGGATAGGGATCACTCCCTTTGCATCAATTCTTCAATCCATTATGAAAAGGTAGAGATCACTTCCTTTCTATCCCTTCTTCTTTGTATCCAATCTACATTAAATCTCTTTTATAAAAAAATAACTTCTTGCAGCAAGAGAATCGGAAAACCTCTTAAACATCTATTAAGGGGAGTGTTTAGGAGTTAAAAATTTATTTACTAATTACGGTTAGTTCAACTATATAATTCACATGAATCCACAGGTTCGGTTGATATCTACGGTTCTAGAGAAGAAGATAAACTAGTTGTAGCTAAATAGGTCAACTACATCTATGCTACTCCGAGCTCAAAGATTTAAAAAGGTTGTTTGATTGTTTGATTTGTCTATATACAGTTGTATGTTTAGGTATAAGCAGGTGAAAAGGATGTGTCCAAACTGTGATTACACCTGGTCAGATGATATGACAACCCTCATGGTTAATCTAAAAAAGGTAAGTTTTTAGGTTAATTTTTTTTTTTTTTGATTTCCCTTTAAAAGTTTATATCTTGTCTAGAGGTTGATTTCTTGGTTGATTTTTATTTCTTGTTAAAAGTTGATTTCTTGGGTAAGGTTGATCTCTTGTTGGAGGTTAATATCATGTTTAAGGTTGATTTCCTATTTAAAGTTGATAATCTTTTTAAGGCTGATTTCCTATTTAGGGTTGATTGTCTATTTAAGGTTGATTTCTTCTGGATAAACCGTGATCAGACAAGTTTTGAATGGTTTGTTAAACTCCTGACTGAACTAGAGATGGAGCAAGCAGAGACAGGAGGAGAGATCGGCAGGTAGACAAACTCTTGTAGACAACATATGTAGACAATACTATTTATACATCATGTATACAACATGTAGACAACATTATTTATAGACAACATTACTTCGACAACATGTAGACAATATAATGTATATAACATGTAGACAACATGTAAACAACATTAAATAGACAACATCATGGAGACAACATTATGTGGACAACATCATGTAGACAGCATTATGTAGAAAAAATCGTGTAGATAACATCATGTTAATGACACCATAAAAATAACATCATGTAGACAACATCATGTAGACAACATTTTGTAGACAACATCTGGAAGAAAACATCTTGTACAAAACATTATATAGACAACATCATGTAGACAACATTATGTGGACAACATCATGTAGAAACTATTATGTAGACAAAATCGTGTAGATAACATCATCTTAACGACACCAAGGAAATAACATTATGCAGAAAACATCTTGTTTGAAAATATCTTGTAGACAACATTTTCTTGAAAGCATCATGAGACACCATCATGTCTACAACAAATTGTAGACAAATCTGAACATAAATTATGTAGACAACATCATTTATGAATATCTAGGTTCCTGTATAATATATGGCAGTGGATACTGACCATCATGAATTAATTAATATATAGGTTCCTGGATATACATAGTACTGGATACTAATTAAAATCGAGGTTCCTGAATATATATATTACTGGGTATTAATGAATATCTTTGTTATTGGATACACATAGTACTGGATATTGATGAATATCAAGGTTCCTGGATACACATAGTGCCGGATACTAATTAATATCTAGGTTCCTGGATATACATAGTGCTGGATACTAATTAATATCTAGGTTCCTGGATATACATAGTACTGGATATTGATGAATATCAAGGTTACTGGATATACATAGTGCTGGGTACTAATTAAAATCGAGGTTCCTGAATATATATATTACTGGGTATTAATGAATATCTTGGTTATTGGATATATATAGTATACTGGATATTAATGAATATCTAGGTTCCTGGATATATATACTATATAGTGCTGGATATTAATGAATATCTAGGTTCCTGGATATATAAACTATATAGTGCTGGATATTAATTAATATCTAAGTTCCTGGATCTATATACTATATAGTATACTGGATATTAATGAATATCTAGGTTCTTGGATATATACTATATAGTGCTGGATATTAATGAATATCTAGGTTCCTGGATATATATACTGTATAGTGCTGGATATTAATGAATATCTAGGTTCCTGGATACATATAGTATACTGGAAATTAATGAATATCTAGGTTCCTGGATACATATAGTATACTGGATATTAATGAATATCTAGGTTCCTGGATATATATACTGTATAGTGCTGGATATTAATGAATATCTAGGTTCTTGGATATGCACATGTATGTAACCTCTGCTCTACAGAAGAATGATATGAAAGCTGTGATGCTTCAGCTCGCCATGGATTTACATCATGAAAAGGTAAATACATAAAACCAATAATGACCATTGGCCAATTCCTTTATCACCAGCAAAATCCTATTCATAAGGATTGTTTTTCGTAAAATTGTAATAAATCCCTTTATCAATTATTTGTAAAAATGAAATTACATAAACCCACGGTTTCAAGAATGAAAAACGTAAAAAAAGGTATGCCTAGCAATACTTGTTCATGCTATTTAGAGATAAACCATATAAAAAACAAATTTTAATAATATTTTTTTTATTTTAACACCCTGTAAAAATCCAGGAGAAAAGAGATCTAGTGACTGGGTTGAAATCTAGAATGAATGCAGGAAGACCAAACTGGAATAAGGTAACATTTTTTTAGTGATTTAATAAATTAATAAAATTATAAAAGGGGGCCAATTTGACACTTTGTGACACCAAATTTTGTACAGGCTTCGTTTGGTCCTAATAATTGAGATAGAACTTAGAAGGCTGAAATTTTGCATGCAGCCTCTAATTGTTGTCCTCTACATGGATCACTAAGAAAATACGGGAAAATACCCCTTTTTCACTCTAATTAAATTATTATAAGTTAATCAGACATGTTTTCATATTTTTTGCTACCACATAAGTCAAGCACTGATATAGACACATAAATCCGACCACCATTTTGACCTCCCTACGATAATGATCTCNCCTAATAGATTCTCATATAACTTCATCAAGTAAAAAAAAGTCAAGTCTTTTAAATAATAAAAAAATTATTTTGTAGGTTTTTTCAAAACTAAAAGCGGAGAATAGAGGAAAGGTAAATTTTCAGATATTATAAAATAAAACCAACGGATTTTATGCACATGTACTTTTATAAATTTTTACATGGTTTAATTCAAAAGATCAGATTTATGAAAACAAAAACAAACAAACACTATTTCACTGTTTCTTTCTTTCAGATCACCGTTTTCTTCTGTGGTAATCCTGCTCTAGCACGGGTCCTTAGACTTAAATGTGACGAATTCGGGTTCACGTTCAGGAAGGAGGTTTTTTAGACATCTGGTATATACTAGACCTATTCTTGTATTTCATTATACCCTAATATCATTTGGACTCATCCTGGTATCCTCTTATCATCCATTCAACCTTGTACCCTGATATCTTCTCGACCCATCCTTGCATTTCATTATACCCTGATATCATTTGGACCCATCCTGGTTTATTCTTAACATTCACACAACCTTGTACCCTGATATTTTCTCGACCCATCCTTGCATTTCATTATACCCTGATATCATTTGGACCCATCCTGGTTTATTCTTAACATTCACACAACCTTGTATCCTAATATTTTCTCGATCTATCCATGCAATACATTATATTCTTGTTCTTTAGGACATGTTCCCGAAAATTATGGAAACTGATTACTTCCCTCAAGCTCAACGATTCCTAATTTGTGGACACCCTGTTATAGTAGACCTTCGATCTTACAAACTATTTCAAATTCGGAGACATAAGAAGTTTGAAATATCACAAGTTTAAGCTGTAAGGTTTTATAACAAAGGAATAAAAAAAAAACAGTGTCTGTGGAAAATGATAAGTTTATAAAGATGGAAATTTGTGGCCAACGCCCAAATTTTTTTGCGTAGCATGTCAGCGCACAGCGCGGCATTGCAAAAAGCTGTCTTTTAAGCTGTGGTGTACAAAACTTATAGTTCAGAACCCTTTAAATACATTCACATTTATTTACATATTTTATATTAATGTTTTTTATTCTGTGTTTGTTTATATCATATATTATATACATATCAAATCATATATATTAAATCTATTGCTAATTAATAATTGTCAATTGAATACTCTATAACTAGGGTCTTCATTCTAACCTAAAATACTGATTCTAATTCAAATATTCACATTGAAAACCTAAAATAATTTTGAACCAAAAAGATTACAAAATAAATAAACTGTGAAACCTTTTTAGAAAGTGAGTCTCACTAAAATTGATGATTTCGTTACTAGAGAACTTATACTAATGAACGAAAAACCGACTAAACCCAATTTAAAATCTTGAAAATTAAATTTTATTCTACTATTACAAAAACTGTTTAAAAATAAAACATTCAATTTATTTCTTTTAATAAATTATCATATTTAGTGGGATACACTGTATATTTTATTGAACTTGCCTTTTATAAAAAAAATTAAATTTTGCCGCCATAAGCGATAGGTTCAAATACAAATTTTGTATTAATATTTATAAAGTTAAACATGTATACTGTATGCAGATTTTATTATAATTTGGTTAATAAAAAATGTTTTGACTGCAAAGTTTCGGTGTAAATATATTTCTTCCTGTTTTAGTCGTTTTAAAATTGAATATTTTTGTAAGATAAGTTTTTTTAAAAATAAGTTTATGTGCATTACAATGCTGTTTGTACATTTTAAGCAGACAAATCAAATATTTAGATGATTCTAGTTTTTTATAAGAGAATTTGTCGACAGTAAGCACCGAGTCGTGATTTTTCCTTTGCTGGAAAATGTACAAGGTGTCCCAGTTAGCAGAGGGGGATCGTCCTAGGTATACGCGGCATCCGGCATCTATATATAAACTTTACAATACCATCTTAAATATTTATTTCAAACCTTTACATAATTAACGAATAATTTAAAGATATCTGCGCGATTTTCAGAAAAGATTTGCGTCTTTGCCGGAAACTCGTCACGACTTAGATGCTTTAAACTATGAGATCTGTTGGATCAAAAAATCTAAGTTTTAAATATCAAAGGTTAACACCAACAAGTTCAAAGATAAAGGGAAGGATTAGAAAACTTAAAGGATTTGAGTCTTCGCCACAAGCTCTGATTTATCAATCCCATTATCTTTGCTTCCCAATGTTGTATACCTTAGATATTTCAAACTATAAATTTTGTTATGTCGAATAACCTAAGATTGAAATACCAAAGGTTTAAACCATCAGGTAGCAAAGATATAGGGATTAAAAAATTTGAGTTTGTGGCAAAGATTCAATCTCTTTGTGGCAATGACTCAATTTCTTTCGGATATCTAAACATTCTTAAAAATTGAAAGAAGATTTTACGAAAATTTACTTTTCATTAATGTTAAAAAAGACGAGCTTCTATTTAATTTTGAATCTAAATTCGAGATAGGTTTGTCCGAAGCTTGCTTTCACTTCTTGTACGGATTCCCTGAGCTAAGCTTTCTCTTCTAGTTTTCCTCAGTCTTTCTATTTATACGTGATAGAAACATGAACTTATACATATATTTCTTCAGATTTATTTTATTTTCTAGAGATTTAATTTACTTTCTAGAGATTTAATTTACTTTCTAGAGGATGATTTTATTCTTCCTAGAGATATTTTCTAGAGATATATCATACTTTCTAGAGATTTATTATATTTTCTAGAGATTCACTTTACTTTCTAGAGGATTATTTTACTTTCTAGAGATTTATTTACTTTCTAGAGATTCATGTATTTTAGAGATGGATCTATACTCCCTAGAGATTTATTTATACTTCCGTGAAATTTATGTATCATGTATCTCTCCTACAGATTTATCTATACTTCCTAGAGATTTATTAATACTTTTATAGATTTATCTATACTTCATAGATATTTATTTAAACATTCTAAGTATTTCTCTTTACATTCTAGAGAACTATTTATACTTCCTAGAGATTAATTTATACTTCCTAGAGAATAATATATACTTAATAGAGATTTTTCTATGCTTCCTAAAGATTTGTCTATTCTTCATAGAGATTTAACTATACTTCCTAAAGATTTATCTATTTTGCGTAGAGATTTATCTATACTTCCTAGAGATTTATCTTTACCTTTAGATAAATCTAAATTTATATTTCTATATGTTCCAAAGAAACTTCGTCAGTTTTAGATTCTGTTTTAAAAAGAAATGTTTTTATATACCTAGATATTTAAAATGATGGAGTATGATACAATGATTATTGTCGCACAGACGATATTAGTTTCGTTAGGTAATTATTATTATTATAATTGTATCTATTGCAAAAGAGAAACATTCTGTAATAAATACAGTAGCAAATCCCATATTTACACCTAGATAATTTAAGTTGTACATTGTCGTAAATCTAAATGCGCGTTTTAATAACTACGCAAATCTTTTATTGTGATTAATCTAACCTAGGGACGTCTGTAAATAACTACATTAAACCTTTATTGTGATTAGCTTAACTACGTTGGTACATAATTACGCAAATCTGTAACCTAGAAATCTAAATAAACGTTAGTTGTAATAATACTCCACTTAGATTACAGCGTAAGAGTAATTCTTTTTGCATAGCGAACGAGAAGCTTCCTGAATCATCTTCTTGATAGATAGATATAGATTGGGAATTACCTTGAGAATACAGACGGAGTCGTATCCGGATTGATATTGATTATGGTATTGGTGTGAACCTTGAGTTCCTGATTGAATTGTATCTTGTAAGACCGATACCTGAGAATACAGACTGAGTCGTATCCGGATTGATTATGGTATTCGTGATTAACCTGGATTGATACGTGCTTAAAAGCGTGTATAGGAGTAGGGCATTTACTACAATCCGACCAATTTGAAATGCCAAATACAAGGGTTCAGCCATGTGTTTGTTGTCTATTCTGAACCAATAGAAATAGTATGGCGGTAACATCTATCTTTCTATCTATCTCATTATCCAATTAAAGTTATGAATACTTCAATCGGCGCTATCAGTAAATGAAAATATTTTCTTCTACTGAAACTAAAGTGCTGTAGACTGTAGAGTTTACATACGTAAATACTTATTACAACAATAATGATTATCTTTTACTACGTATTCATATTGATTTCCGCTGGTCTTGTTTCCATTGGCTTTTGTAATGCTCTTTCCAGTATTGAAAGTATGAAAAGTAAAAATGAGTTCAAGTATCGTATCTCTGATTACTGCAGAAAAATTTATGATTTCATTTGATTATATTTATTATTATTTTATTATTTATATTTATTATTTTTATAAGTTAATGATTATTCCATTTCTTAGTTTATTTTTCAAAAAACCTGTAAAATTCGTTTTTTTAAAAGACTAGTCAAGTCTAAAGGGTTTTGGACCAAGCTCAATTTAAAATATTTTTTATTTTTTAAGAATTTAAAATTTATAAAACTTATTCCAGGTGTCACCGTTGCAATCATGTTCTGTTTCTTTGAGGAGAGTCAGAAACTCAAGAAAGATTAGAAACCACAGAATGGAGACGAACTGGAGAATATTACTCGTGTTTTTACAGTCTTATTGACTATAGCTGAGTGAAATATTTTCGTAAATAAACAATAGAAACAGAATTATGATAAACTTAAACAAAATGGAGTTCGGAGATATAATTATATTTGCTACAGTATTCATTTCAACAATCTGCATTCTTAGGTAAAACAATTTAAATTTAAAGATAAGGCATGCACAATTCACAGCAGTTAACTTTAAATCTTTATTCTTAGTAACATAGAAAATCTCGTCGTATTTTTAGCTTGAAAAGAGTGGTTAATTCTAAAAATTGCAGCCGTTGTTTCTGTAGAATTCCGTAAGAAACTTTATAGAGAAACCAGACTGAATAAAATATGGCCGGGGGGGGGGGGTGCTTTGTATTTGTTTATTAAAGAAACTGAGTTCTGCCACAAACTTCGATCCTGTAAAGGAAGAAATCCCCGAACGAGGAACTTCCTTTCCTATACACTCTTTATCTATCATGTATTTACAACTAGAAGCAATAAATGTACTTCTAATTTAAAGTTAATGACATGGAAACTATGTGAATTGACCATGCCACTCTAAAACCGGAAGTTCAGTTTAAATTACGCCTTCAATCCCTTTCAGTTTTTTTCTTATAGATTTATTTTCAAAACTTTTTTGCTCTGAAATTTAAATCCGTTAAAATTATAAAAAAAATGATAATTTCAGCTTTCATTTCTATTGCATTAGATTAGTAAAATAAAAGGCTATGTATACATTAAACAAAATACCTTCTTCCTTTAAGTTTTAGTTTTTTTTGTATAAAAACTACAATTTGTTTAATATGTGAAATTTAGGAAATTTGTATTTGCTGGAAAACCCGCTGCCAGCCAGCAGGACTTAATTCTTAAAGATGGTTTAGCAAACGGCGGGGTCGGCGGTTTGGGGAAAGTGGCGGGGAGGTAAATATACTCATAACCTAAACTTTCCTATAAAAGGAAATCATACATTTTGGTTAATTTTTGTTTCATTTAATTTTATCTTAATTTTCCGAGTGAATTAATAAATAAAAGAACCTTTTGACGAGATTGAAAAATCTCAAGAATTTTAATGTAAAGAAGTTTCAATTATTTCTTAAAGGATTATAGAACAAGTTTTTCTTTGAAATCATAAAATGATAACTAGTTTATCGTCAAATTATCTGATTTGGTATGTTCTGAGCTGAGAACTTTTGCGATAGATCCTCTAATCCAGACCGTTTGGTTTAAAACTCCACTGCGGGCACTTTTAATCCGAGGATCAACTTTAATCTCTTCTTTTAAGTTATTTTTCCCCTAATCAAAGCTACCTTCAACCCCTAACTGGGTACTATTATCATGTGGGATATAGCATAAAGATTAAATTAATCTGCTGATTAACAAAATATCGAGATCAAGCATTGATCTCGATATCTACAATACAAGAGTTCCCAGCTCTGAAGGAAACCTTTAACATTTGGATACCCGAATTCACGATAGCTTTATCTGAATAGTCACTGTAGATAATTTCGATTTCTGCTTAATCTGCTCTTTTCCCTCTTTTTGATATCCGACATATAATAATATCCCGGTTAAAATTATATCCCGAATATAATAATATTCCTGATAAAATAATATCCCGGATATAATAATATCCCGGATCTAATAATAAACCAGATGTAATAATATCCCGGATCTAACAACAAATTGGATTTAATAATATCCCGGATATAATGATATCCCGGATATAATAATATCCCGGATATAATAATATCCCGGATATAATAATATCCCGGATATAATAATATCCGGGATATAATAATATCCGGGATATAATAATATCCGGATATAATAATATCCCGGATATAATAATATCCCGGATATAATAATATCCCGGATATAATAATATCCCGGATATAATAATATCCCGGATATAATAATATCATCCCGGATATAATAATATCCCGGATATAATAATATGATATAATAATATCCCGGATATAATAATATCCTGGATATAATAATATCCCGATATAATAATATCCCGGATATAATAATATCCCTACCGGATTCTGAACAATGAGAGTTCTCTCATTAAATAACGCGCAAAATATCAGATTCTGATATGCTGTTTAAGATTCTGCTTACGCCACTCCGATTGGTTAAATTTTAAACACTTTCGTGGATACAAGCTAAAGATTACAATAATCTTATTACTAACGAATAAAGAAGATGAAGCATCGATCTGGATATCTACAATTCTTAAGTTTTAAGTTCTGAACACATTTTAAAAATTCAATAACTTTCACTTTGAAGGGTTGAGGTTGAGGTTAGAGGAGGAAGTACTGGTGCTGCTGCAGTATGTATTTCCAGGTAAAAATTCAGAACTCTTCACGCCCTTTTTTCTTTCACTTGTTCGGCACTACAGTTTCTAAAAACTACTAAAACCCAATAAAAAAACAACTTTTATCCATATCTGATTGAGAATTCTCTTCTTCAACAAGCAATTTTGGAATACTTATTCTGGTGCTTTATATGTTCATATTAAAATACTAGCTTTATAAACCTGTATGTTCTAATCAGAAGATTTGTTTACGTTCCTCCCAGAGGCTACAGTAAACTTTATTTGTAAACAAAGCTAAGGGTTTCTTGATGCATGTTCCTAAGTTTGTTTAACTGTATAACCATTGCTGGGTGTACTATTGTATACATTGTGTACAATACTAAACAGTTAGTGAACAGGTCCGTCCTGCCTACTCTGCCCAGAAAAGTTATTAATTGTGTAAACAAACCCTATCACCCTTCTACCTGAATTATAAATACCTTGTTATTATTATTAAATGGGTACACAAACCCTGATCCCCACTAATACCTTTTTTACAAATACTTTACTAGTATTTTTAAATGTGCACACTAACCATATTCCCCCCCCCCTCCTTCTATCTTTATTATGATACCGTGTTATTATTATCAAATGTGTACACAAACCCTCTCCCCCACTCCTCTTTTATTATAAGTACCTTGTTTTTACTATTAAATATGTACACAAACCCTATCCCCCCTACCTTTATTATAAATACCTTGTTATTACTACTAAATGTGTACACAAACCCTATCCCAATACGTTTATAATAAATACCTTGTAATTAATATCAGGGATTTGAATGTAATGTATTGGTGGCGGGCTACAAGAGAAAATGGACACAATCTTATTGGTAAAACATTAAAAAAATGTATTTTTGAAAATATTTTAAATTTTTGTTGCTTCAGATTTCATGGGATATAATGGGTAAAATATTAAAAAATATAACTTTGTATATATTTTAAATTTTTGTTTCTTCAGGGAATATGATTGGTAAAAAATAAAAATAAAACATTTAAAATAAATTTTGTTGGTTCAGGGGATACTGGAGACACAGAGGAGAGAACAGCTAGAGCTGTAATCGCTGCTGCTAGACTCTGGGGCAAGGTATTTTTTAAAAAAATTATTAATCTGATGGGAAAATTTTTGTAAAACACAATGATGTTTTTTATAAAGGAATCTGGAATAATTTGTGATCTTTATTTTTTCCTTCAATCAATGTTTTTTTTTCATACAGTTTTGATTTAATTTCAGTGCTTGAAACAAGCGCGCTGAATTTTGTAAGAATTTAGTATAAAAACGTTCATTTTAAAAAAAACCCTTATAAATATTTTTTTATTTGATGTAACTTATTGAAAGTAATACCCTAGCTGAAGAATATAATAGTATAATAATGATGGATTGAATTTTAGTCCTGGGGACATGCTGACAAAGTTGAAATCCATAGCAGCACTATCAACTGTCCTAAATTGAAGGAGTTGGTTAAAGACCAGCTGTTAGACTGTCAGGTATATAATTGTGCCTAGCTGTCATTTGTCAGCTTTTTGCAGCTGTTGGGCACTGTTATTATGATAACAAAATCCAAATTTGCTATAAAAAATACTCCTAATGTGTCAAAGGAACTGATTACTTTGATCAAACTCTTTTTTTTATTCTTATATCTTTGACACGGCAGTTTCCAACGTCGCATAAACGTTTGCTGTACAAACTCTGAATTATGCTAGATCAAATGGTCTAATTTTTTTAAGCATCAAAACTTCCCACCATCAAGATGTAGGGATGAAAAAAATCGAGTTTTGAGGCAAAAGTTTAGCTCCTTTGTCACATATACATCATAGAACATAAACCATTGTTTATAAAACTTTTTTACCCCAGCTATCCTTAGATAACCCTAGTAAAAAAAGTTACAACATAAATTATAAAACATAATATTTTTAAAAAATAAAAAAAATTACTCTAAAAATGTTAAAGAAAATACACGTGCAGCCTAAAAAGTTATAAAACCTTTTTGTAAAATATTTAGTTTTTTGAGTCATTAAATTCGGTAAATTGTAATATTTATTGTAAAATGAAATTAAGTGATAAAATTTATAATTATAATTTATAATACAATGACATAAAATCGTCTCATTAATATTTAGAAGCCCAGTTTTTGAAGATTTTTCGTTTGAAAAAAGATCAATATTATCAATTTTTAGAACAAATACGGAGTGAAGGTTGAGTTTTCATGGGATGAACCAATAGAGAGGGAGGGACAGGGAGCTCATGGAACAGCTGGTGAAGGCGAACCTGAAGGGGACGGGACAGGAGAGGGGGGGGCTAGAGAATTGGTTAGCCAACTGATGGCTGGGAGGGGGGCGGGAGGGGTTGTACAATGTTAATCTCAGGTAAAACACACAAAAAACTTTTATTAAAATAAAAACTAATTTTTAAGCTGATTTCAGGGTGTCGAATGCAAACGTTTTCCAGTTGGTGAATCACACACCAAAACTCTCAAAATATTATTTTGATATTTAGAATAAAAAACGTATTGTGATGCTAAAAAGAATAATATGATGCCATTTCATAAAGAAAACTTTTGTGTAAGCAAATTTTTGTAAAATAACAAAATAAATTAAATATAGAAAATGTACAATACTGATAGAATAAATTATTAAGACAAATAGGAAGCAACGTAGAATGCGTTTACATAATACATTCAGTACATGGCCGTATTTACGACATTGGTAAGAAATTAGGGCAGCTCAATGTGTTATTTCTTTATTACCTTTTCAAAATGCTGATTTCTATAATGGGTAGTGGGTCAATAGTAAAAAACGGGTTTAAATTGTGCCACATTTGACACCAATAACGTCATTCAAATTTTCTTCTAAATCGCATTGTCACCAAAGAGTAAAGAATATATATTAGAGTGGAATTTACTAGAAAAAAGTGTAAAACGGCCATTTTGTTGTACTGTTTCCATACTGCAGATGTACTTCACATATTTGCGCTATATAATCTTTTGGGCTCTGAAAAATCATTTTATAGAAAATCTAAAATTATTATTAAAAGAAAACCAAATTATGAAATAGGCTGGTTTCATAATTGACCAATGATCATTTCACATAGACTCTATGCCTTTCACTTTACAAACGATGATTTTTCGCTATAACTATAAATCACCTTATTCATTTTATAAAGTATATTTAACAGCTTTAAAAAATTCGGAATTAAAATGAATAGTCTAGGGAACATACTTTATTAATGTACTCTACTGCATACAATTTGTGAACATTTACATGATTTGTACACTTTGAACTCCCTTTCAGGCTGAAAGGGACTGACAAAATTCATACCGAGGGATTGTCTAAATTCCACTCTAATATATTCTATTTGCTGAGTACTAAAATATACCTACAACATGTTTATGCAATATTTTTCCTTTAGTTTTAAATGTTAAAATATGATGTTTTTAAGTAAAATTTATAAGTTGTAAGAATGAATCGAATTTGAATCCAGCATGCTAAACATATCCTTCATTTGGGATAGAGAGATATTAAAATTTAAACGAGTTTCTTTTCAATTTTGGATTCTGATTTTTGTACTGGGATTTCAATTGTTTTGATTTAATCACTGAATTACTTCTTTTTAAATGCTTACGACGACATATTGAAATAAATGTAGACTACACAAAGATTAAAAGAATAAAATAAAAAGATAAAAACCTAAGAAAAACAGCCCCCCCCCCCTCCCTTACTTTATTCTTACACAAATTTTAAAATAAACCCTTTCCTACAAGGAGGGGTTACATTGTGTAGATCTACAATTGAGCGGAGCAGAAAACAGATGTCTATGTACGTTATGAGTTATGAATAGATAAAACTTAGCTATTGCTATCATTCTATTCTAACATTTTTTATGCTTTCATAAAGCTTTTTGAGATTATATCTCGCGTAGCCCCGTGATTTTTGGCCTTCTAGAGGCCTAAAAAATCTACGAATTTCAACACAATTCAAAATGTAAAAGCCTAAACGAAGCCACAATTGATTGTTTGTAAACGAGCGTTTTAAAAATTCATTCAGGCTGAAAACCAAAAAAATTGAAAATAACGATGTTCAACAATTAAAACTATCTGTATATATAAAGTATTTATCCGGTTTCTTTGTATGTCAGATCATAATATTAAGATTCTTATTGTAGTGGAAAGTCTTTAAAAAAATAGGAAAAAATTGCTAAAATTGGGGATTTAAGCCCAAGCACGAGTAAACAGTGGGAGTAACTATGAGTAACCTGGGCAACGTCTGGTACTTCTTCATTTAGTACATATATATATATATATATAGCCAAATGAGAAGAACAATCTCTCTTATTGGTCTCTTATTGGTATTCTAAATACAGTGCTAATGTTTTCTCGACATCGAACTAGCTATCCCCCACAGGACTTCTTCCAAAATTGCAATGTAAAACAGTATTTATCTTGTTCAGTAATATTTCAAATATAAACATAAAAACTTTATTTTATTCTATCGAAATAATTAATATATAATGTGAGGGATGTAACAAGGAACATATAAATGGTATTAAAATGATAATAATAATTATAATATTCTATTGATTTAATTACATCATGATAATTGTAATAATCTAGTCTTTCTTCTTGAGTAGTTTAAGTCCTGCTGCTGCTAGCGCTGCTTTGTGTTTTTTACTTAGTTTCCGGTCAACTTCTTGCTTAAGGAAGAATGATAAAGTAGAAGAAGTAAGGAAGAATGATAAAGCAATAGTTTAATAAAAAAATTATCACATTGCTTAAGATTCTCTATTGTACTGAATCCAACTACAAATTTTGTTGTTAAAGAAAGACGACATTTTACCTTCGTTTCCGTTCCAATGTATTTAAATCTCCTGCTTCAGCAGTTTCGGGTTCAGGACTCTCCTCGGTTCCTTCAAATACAGAAATTTAATTATTTAAAAAAATTGCTATATAAAATATGAAAAGACGCTGCTACAAGAAAATATAAAATATTATTTAAATTGCCAATTTATAATGCATCCTATGCGAAGAATCAAATTAATAAATTTTATATTGTACAATTACATCTATATAATAAAGCTCTTCAGCCATTTATATGTTCCCTATAGCAGGCCAAACGGCTGGACCAAATTTCTGTACATAAATTAAATGATTTATAATATAAGAGTATATCAAACATATGATGATATAAAATAGGGTTAGAATTTTAAAAACAGTTATTTTTCCTCTATATTTACATTCAAATGATTAATAAATGATATTATAATTGATAATGATATACATTTGTGCAGTGATTACTAATTAATGTTTCGTATATTTGCATTTTTTGTTTAAAACTATATATTCTAACATGTCTAAAATAAAACAAACTTGAACTACGCCATTAATAAATGTTTACAATTTTGTGTGAGTAAATAAATCTTTTTATTGTTAATATAGCGATATAAATAAATAAATATTAAAATAAATAAACCCAAGTTGGCAGTGCTAAAATCCTTCAGATACTATGTTATCCAGGGGTGCAATTGGAATTTTTTGTGGTGCCGGCTAAAGATAACCTAGTGTGTATATAAAAACAAACATAGGTATACATAATATCGATGCTCTGGGTTATATGTAAGATATAGTTTATACATTCTGTATCCATCTATCTCTATAAAAAATATGCATAAAAACATGTTTTGCTTAGAGAATAGAGACACGAGCCAATGAAAATGTGACAACTGTTATTAATCAAATTTGTTTTTCAAATCTTTTAAACTTTGCGAAATAAACATTATAAATGTTTCTTAAATCAAATATTTCTGTAAAACAAAGCAAAATTATTTCAAGTTTTAAAAAGTATGAATTCCAAATCTGTGTTTAAAAAACTTTATATTTCGTTAATTGAAATAAACACATTTGAAAATAATATTTGATTCTTGACATCATTTTAAAACCTCATCTTAAACATTTTTATTAGTTTTTACTGAAAATTATGCATGATTGAGTAGTGTATCCTTTCAATAAGATTTATTTAGATTTGAAAGTTTAAAAAAAATAATTACTCAGCATTAAATGTTGAAATTTTGTAAAATTCAAGAAAAATGCAAAGTGACCGAGTCACTTTCGTTTGATGCACTATGCAGTGTGCATATTATGAAATGATGCAACATAATCAACTGTTTGATGCACTGTGCAGTGTGCATATTATGACATGATGCAACATAATCAACTGTTGCAATACAGGTTCAATCTCATAATTTCATGATTCATAATTAAATAATAATTTTGTTCAGAATTCTGTTGATTAATCTACAGGGTTACCCACAAAGGATAAGACTTCAGAGACGACTTTACGAATATTGATCTGTCCGTTTTCTTGCTTTCAGGGTTCCTTTTAGGCCGAAACTGGCAAAATTATGCATAATAATTTAGTAAACATACTTAATTGAATTCAAAAACCAAAAATCAAGCTTTAAATTTTCATATTTTTAGAGTTTTGGGTCGTCTTTACAGTCTCATCCTTTGTGGGTAACCCTGTATATAACATTCCTTGAATTTCTGTACAGGCAAAAGTATGATTTGCACAAGTTAAGAATAACAAGTAAATATGTATAATTATTGTATTTCTAAATATGTCTCGAGATCTAACATTATCTTGAACAGTCCAACAGATGAAATTAATTCCTCCTGGATATTCCATGGTGGTCGTATCCTTCAGCTATGGATATCTGTAATTGAGGGATCAAGCCATAATCTCTCAAAGGAACTCTGCTTTTGCCACAAATGGTCTTTTCCCTATCTTATCCCTGAAAGCTGATGGTACCTTTTATATTTCAACCTTAGATGATTTTATCTAACAGAATATATATTTTGAAATATCTAAGGTCTACCATATTGGGTTAACAAAATACAAATATCAAAGTTGACACAGTGGGCTTCATATTCAAGAATTGTCACCATCATGGGCCAGAGTCTATTCTAAAAAAACAGCAGAAGCCGAATAAAAGACGACATAAGATTCAGGCCCATAGTGTTTTGGATTAGCGCGCTCTATTTCACACAAAATATCTGACCTCAAGACAAACCTAGCTCTATTAAGTTTAACGTAACCCGGTCCTTTGGTTCTAATATTTTGGGAAATATCGCTAATCTACGCGGCGCTTGATCTCAATGTCCACTCTGTGATAACTTTTGAATTTGGGGAATAATTGTTTGATCCCTCAAATTTAGTCATTCCTTTCAGGCAGGACCACCACGGATTGCCTAAAACACCTTATACTAACCAGAGTAAGATGAGCTTGGTTTCTTCAATTTGAATTCATTCGCGATTTGGTCTTTCATGCATCAGTCTTAAACTTACGGAATTGTCTTTTAACTAATTTTTATATTTTTTGACTCATTTGCCAGAAAAAAAACGTAGAAAAGAGAAAAAAAGAAAAACTTTTATTTATTTTCTTTATAAGGTCAAATTGTGATCAAAAGTCACACCTGGTTGGGATACCGATCAAACTGTTATATCAACGTTCGAATTAACATTCTCCATAGATTTGCAAAAGATACAAATACTTAATTGATCCCGGGATTCACAATACACAATTTTTGGCCTCTGTCGCTTCAGTAAGTCAGTACTTACCCATTGACTGCTCCTCATCATAGAAGTCCTCTGAGAAAGGAGCAGTAGGTCCGTTAGGTCCAGGTTGACCTATCTTAGTTATATCAACCTCAGGGTCAGCACACAGATCTGCATCAGGGTTCACCTGGATTAATTATATATTTCAAGTAGTTTCAAGTGAAAAGTTCCATTTAAAGGTGGTCAATACCCGATTCACAATAGTACCCTTGAAACCCTAATCTGACTAATTCCTACATTGTTCTTCTGCACCAGAAATGTACAATAAGGGTTAAACATTTTCATGAAACACAAATCAAGCAGTAAATACTACTGTGTTTAGGCAGCATTTACTAAAGGCACTTTTCGATAAAATCAAAACTGACCATCGCAAATGGCTATTTGTGGCCGAAAAACCGAATATACAAGTGATTTTTAATTTATTCGAAATAATAAGTCTAAATCAACGCAGCAAACGGTTTGTAAAAACATTCATAAACGATTCACCGAAAAAGGTCAAACGACACAGGGTCAAACGACAAAGGGTCAAACGACAAAGGGTCAAAAGTGCGACAAAGGGTCAAACGACAAAAGGTCAAAATGGTAAAAATAGTTTTTGATTTGAATCATAGGAAACTCGCAACCCTCCTATCAATTTTGTACATGGATCTTATATGTTAGACATGGATATGATTGACCATGTGGCCGCAGCGCTCGGCCCCCTATCCTGTCCTAGTCGCAGCGCTCGGCTCCCTAGCCTGTCCTAACTAACCTAACCCGTGGCCGTAGCGCTCGGCACCCTAGCCTGTCCTAGCCGCAGCGCTCGGCCCAGAAATTGTCTTAACCTAACCTAACCCTAGCTAATAATAAATAAATGCTAACTGTAACAGATGTCAAAATTAAAAAAAAAATTGCCCCTTTTCGCATTTTTTGACCCTATGTCGTTTTACCCTTTGTCGTTTAACCCAGTGTCGTTTGACCCTTTGTCTTTTGACCCTTTGTCGTTTAACCCTGTGTCGTTTGACCCTGTGTCGTATGACCCTGTGTCGTATGACCCTGTGTCGTTTGACCCTATGTCGTTTGACCCTGTGTCGTTTGACCCTGTGTCGTTTGACCCTGTGTTGGTGAACCAACTTAGCTATTTCTCATTATTTTGTAAAACGTTTTGTCCGTTGAATATGGCTTGAAAAGACGAATGTTTGGATGCCCATATTGACATTTTTTAGAAGAAAAAAAAACACTCTTACCAACGTTTTTTTATCACAAAATGCCATTTGCGATGGTCAATTTTTATTTTAGCAAAAATGCCTTTCGTAAATTTTTCTTAAAATTAGAAATACATTAGTATTTTCTACATGAAAATTATTCCTTTGTAAAAAAATATTTCACCCTTAATGTACAGCAAGTCACTTTTTTATAAAAACCTCGATGTAAATTACAATAATGCAATAATGGATTTTATATTCATTCTTGATCAAACTAAAATATTACGGGTACCGTTGTGAATCGAACATGTTACTCTCTACTTGGAGGGTCGCTAAAAATACGTTTAAAAAAAATATAGACCTTCACGTCATGTTTTTTTTTGGACGCCATTAAAGTCTCAATATTAGTTGTTAACCCTGTTTAAATGTTGAAAATGTCTAAAGTTGACAGAAATGATTAATTTATGAAATATGCTGAATATGACTCAAATATCAGAATTTAATTCATGACATATTTTGCAAAAAAACTATTTTTTCACCTTTATTGATAGCATAGACATGAATTCTGCAAAAAATCTCTTGTTCAAGTTTTTACTCATCTGATACAAAACAAACCAGTCTCCGATACTGAAAATATAAAAAATTATTTTAAAACTTTTTCCTGTGATTCAGCAAAATAGATATATTTTAATAACTTTATTGTACATTTTAGAAACATACAAATTGCAAATTGTCTGAATTTTAAAGACGCTTTTAAGATTATGACTTAAGATTTTAAACAGAGAAGTGCCGCAAAGAAAAAGAAGATTCTGAGGACGAATTTAAAGAATTTGAGCCGCGGCTCAAATATGGTTGGTTCCACTTAAAGTTGTACATTTTTTTTCAAGATTTGAGGTTTTGGGGGGATTTCAGACGCGGCTTAAAATTCATTAAATTAGGATTCTGGTGATATTATTAAATTCTGATAATTATTTAGCTTACCTACAGTTGAGTATGTAGTGTTGTATATGTTTTGTATGCCGATTATTATTCAAATATCTAAACATAAATACATCTTATTATTTCAAAAATATACATTTTCTGTCCAGGGGTCGAAACTTTTATATTCTTAATCCCTTCGGGAAGTATTAATCTGTATCCTAGGGTTGTCCTAAAAACCAAAAATCACTAGAATTTAATCGCTTAAAAATAACAGTTTCCATTTTTCGGGCATAGATCGATCTGGCGATATAGATTGGCGCTGTTCGTGTAAAAAGTGTCTACCTCTGTTTTACAAAGTTTAAATATTATTTATAGGCCTGTAAGAACATGAGACATGTTTTTAGTACTAATATATTATATAAAACCATCATTTAGACTCATTTTTTTTATAAGGACTATTTAACACAATAGAGCAGTTAGAGCAGTGCACTAGATATATAATTATTATATTTGGTTAAGATCTTTACATTTTATCATTCAGATCAGAAATGTGCTTATTGAGTTATACTAGGCCTGTGCAATTATATTATTATTATTATTATACTAGGCCTGTGCAATTATATTATTATTATTATTATAATTATTGTTATTATCAACATTGTTACTATTATTATATTAGACCTGTGCATCATCATTTTCATGAGGAAATATCTTACTCTTGAAGAGAGTAGCTGAGCAGATCTTGTCAATATTCTAAATAGATGAATATAGATAAACATATAAATAAATAAATGAATAGATAGATAAACAGATAAATAAAATATATTAAGAGACAAACAGGTAAATAAATAGATGAATAGATAGATAAACAGATAAATAAAATTGATTAAGAGACAAACAGATTAATAAATAGATGAATAGATAGAAAAACAGATAATTTACCCTGGTTCCATCGTCAAACCAGGAATTATTACCGGTAAACAAGAGAAATTGTACTGCATTCACTTGTACCCACTGGTGTTGACCCAGCACGTTTCATAACAAATTCTGAGCTGGTTGGATCAATGTTAGATAGATTATTTTAGATAGAAAGATAGATAGAAAGGTAGAAAAGTTAGAAAACTAAAGTTATTTGAATAAAATATTAAAGGTGTTGGATGCTTTTGTTCCTAAAACTTTTTCTTATCCAACTGTGAGTCGATGCAGCATGTAAGACCCGTAAAACTGTGGAAAACGAATACAACATTTAAACAATCTTGTATGTATTAACTTTTGTTATTAAGCTATACAAGTCTGCGTACAATCTTCATTGCATGATTGCTGTGTTTCATGTTCATCGAACTATTTAAAATCACAACTTGAGTTTAACTGTCGTCTTCATATTCCACAGTATTATGGGTCCCACTGTAGAAGGAGAGATTGGAAAATTCTAGATGGTTGGAATGTTAAAAGAATGTAGCGCAGAATTGAGAACTATTTTTAATTAATGACACTTTGCAGAATAAAATATTTAAAAAATGCGGCAAATATTTAGTCCTATTAATTTGTAGACGTCAGTTTCTTTCAAATCTTTAAACTTTCTTTGATTTCGGTAAAAAAAATCATAAAATAATGTGTTTTTGGAGACTGAGAACCATGGTCAATGCTTTTACTTCAATTTAAAAAAAAATAGCAACTTATAAATTTAATGAAAACCTTAGAAACTGCTCCGAAATTGAATTATTACAAAAAGTACAAATTTTAAAAATTTAAACAATAAGATTGAATAGAATAATGTTGAAGATTAAAGGGTGTGACCGGCAATGTATGTTAGTTGAACTGAGAATGTAGTATTATAGAATAATTAATTTAAAGATTAAAGATTAAAGGTTTGAAGCTAAGCGTTTAACCCTCAACGCTAAACCCATTAACCCTAAACGCTGAATGATATATTAATTTCTCCCTACCTATTAAATCCAGCAATAATCAGACAACAATGCCAGAACCAGAGCAGAGCAAACACCTACAATAAAACGGATGTGAGATACTATTTATAAGGAAAGAAGAAGGATCATAGTTTTAAAATAGCTATTATTAGCTTATTATTAGTCGTATTTTTGTGATTATTTTGTACAAAAACAAGTAGTGTTGAAAATCTGTAAATTTGCTAAATATTGAACATCATCGTGTAAAAGATTTCATCTGTAAAATTTAGATTGATAAAACTTATTTGGAAATCTAAAATAAATCAGAAAAATGTACGAAGTCTAAAATTGTCTTATTTATAAAAAGGAAATGAGACTTTTCCACAAAGTTTGATTATCTGATCTCTATATCTTTGCAACCCAATGTCGTAGATCTTAGATATTTAAAACAATGAATCAAATTGAAATAATTAAAATATCATCAGATTGAAAAGATATAGAGATTAGAAAATCATAGTTGGTGGCAAATACTCAATTCCTTTACAAAATTTGTAATATTTGGTAAAGTAACAAACATGAGACAAAGGTTATTACTATAAGAATTGAAAGTATAAAAGTATCTTTTAATTATTCTCTTTTCTTTACCTTATCATTGATGATATTGAGTGATAGAATACAGATTGCATTTTTAACTTCCTGACCACCTCCTCTACCATACCGGACATAGTTACATGTTGCAACTTAACAAATATTTCAATAAATATATGCATATTTTTTGAAATGATCGATAATTACCAAAAATGTTACAAATTGCAAAAAAAAAGTTCCATAAGAATGATATGTTTCTATTGAAAAACTTAGTATGACCTAGAACGAGACCTAGGCTAGAATAAGATAAGAGGTTGAACCATGTCTATGCAATTCAACTATTATATCTCACTGTTTTTAGTAAATCTGTTCCCTCTTACTTTTTTGCTTGGTAAAGATAATTTAAGATAATTTTAAATAGAAAATTTGAATTGCAAGGAGAAGTTCTTGTATAATTACGAGTTCCGTTTTTTGTTATCCCGTTATTTAAATCCTTAGCATCTAAAGTGACCAATCCTTTAATGAGTTTAATATTTTGAAAAATGTTTTGTTCCTTTGAAATATATTAGGAGGGAATGTCTAAGCCGATTATTCAGGGCTTGTCATAGGCTTTCTTCTGCCTAGTTTCTCATCCTTGCATTCTATACATACTAGCTATTCACTTCAATAACGTAGATGGGACAGGGGAATGGGAGGGAGGGTATAGGGTGGACTGGAGGGAGGGTATAGGGTGGAACCTGGCCTGGTTAGTCTAGGGTGTTGTGTGGGTCCCATCCTGGCCTGGTTAATCTAGGGTGTTGTGGCTAACCCTAAGCTCAGAACTCATATTTTAGAAGGGAAATGTTGTCATTGGCGGATTTAAGTCTAAGATTCCCAGATTAAAGACTTTAAGACTCAAGTTTTTTCCTCTAGATATCTAGATTAGCAACTGAATTTAGGCTAAGCCTGATATCCAGCACATAAATTTCCAGCTCTGATTTTTTAAAAATCATGCAAAAAAACTATGGTCCCATCGGATTTAAATCTTTGTAAATAAAAATTGTAAATTATTATCTTGTGAAACTTAAAGATCAATTTTTCCTCTTCTGGTCACCAAAACAAAAGAAATTCAATTTTTTTGTTGGAAACCTGACAGTTTGGAGAAATATCGAAATTCCCCGAAAATGAACTCAAAGTTTCAGAAGTGCATTTTCCAATCATAGATAAGCTGACAGTATTTTAAAGTTTTCAGCAATAGTAGATTTCAGTATTAATACTAGGTCGTGAAGACTGAAGTTTAACAAATTAACTTTCGACATATTTGAAGTAAATCCCACTTATAGAGTTTCATGTCTGATCCACAACAGTACCCTGTCAACCTTTATCCGAGTAATCATGAGAGAAAATATCCTCGTTAATCTATCCGCAAAAGGGTTTACATTCGGAAAAGCTCTGCTTTGTCTCTGATGCAAAAATCCGCGAGTCACTTTTATGGAAATATTTGTATTCCAATTTCTGAAGAGAAAAACAAGAAGATCTTCTTAATATTTTCAAAAAAAGATGGACGAAAGTTAAATAATTTTCAACCAGCACCAAAGGCAAGAACCAATCAGAGGTTAGAAAATCTGACGTGTTTTGTTTCAACCAATGAGATTGCTAAACTACTTTTCATACGACGTAGTTGAATCCTCCTAGCTAGTTCAACTACATTTTTCCTATTCATGTGTTGGAACGCAATGGAAGGTTTGCAGGAGAAAGAAATTCAGTCTGTAACAAACTAACCCCAATATCTTTTCATATCCAAAATCGTAAACTTTATCTGGTTCAAACAAATCATTCTGTTTGATCAAATAATAAAAGCTTGAAATATCAAAGGTGTAAACCGTTACATAGGTGGTTTCAGGCCCCCCCTCCCTGAGTGAAATTAGAGGGGGGGTGTACCTCCCTGGATTTTTACAAAGTCATTAATCATTTAAACTATAATTTTTATTTATATCTGTATATAAAAAGTAAAGTTTACTTGAAAGAGGGAAGAGTGGCTGCTCTCAGGGTCTTGGAATTGCTTCCAGGGTTTTGGAGTAAAAGGTGAAAATTTATCCGACCTTTTATGAAAAATCCTTTGAAAAGGAACTTTAAAACCGAAAATTGAAAAAAAGGTCTGCTAACCCTTTTTTACTATCTTTGTTCAGATATTTACAGAAAAAAAATTCTCAAATTTCAGTCCAAGTAGCCTATGGCGATCATATAGTGACTAACCAAACTGACGACATTTGTTTCAGCTTTGACATTAAAGATTATTGGTAAATGTAAAAAAGAACTTTTTTTAGCTAGATACATAAAGGTTTCATTTGATCTGGTCTAATACATCTCAATATCTTTATAAGTTATCTTATTTCCAAGTTTTATTTTAGAAAAATCCAATTTTTCGCCTAAAAAAATATCTAAAATGGCGTGCAATACACCAAAAATCATCAAATTATTGAGATATCTGAGGAAAACTATGTTTTTCTTAATTTAGAAAATTTGAGTTTGTGGCAAAAACTCAATTCCTTTATTATACCTTTAGGGAACACTTCACACATAGGATTCACAGTCGTTGGCAGCTGTCGTTCTTCTGCAGGCAATCTAGATAGATAGATAGATAGATAGATACATAGATATAAAGATAGATAGATAGATAGATAGATAGATTATAAATATCAATTTTGTTTAACAAAGATTTTTTATTCGACTTTAATAATTTTACCTGTAATAATTATAAACTAAATATCCATAGTCGTAGAACTGATGGTTCAAAAATGCATTCGTAACTGGGAAGGATGTGAATGAAAAGCTGACTAATTAAGAACAGAATGCGTAATACTAAGTAAGGAACATTTCAAGGGAAAATCAGTTTCTCTAAAGCGTAAAACAATTGTAAAGTGTGGCAGAAAATTAGGATTTGAAGCATTTTGCCGGCGTACACATCTAGCTATACAAAACAACTCCGATTTTCTAAAATTGTACAGTTTGCTTGCCTGCAGAACTCAGTACACGCTCTATCACAACCTCTATCAATATCTACTCTGTGGTTTGAAGTTAAATTCTTCATCAAGATAAAAAAAAATCAGCAGTAAATTTATTCCTTCTCAAACTCAACTGAAGGGGAAGCTTCTGTGTTTGTGTTCAAGACTCTAGACTATGCCGGAGATTTTCAAGTTTATCACGCGGATTAACAGATATGTCCCTATCCAAGCAAACCGTGACTTTTTCATTAAAATTTGACCTATTAAGCCTTTGACCTTTTCGCCTTTTTTCTTTTAATTTTTTGTTGTCGGTTAGGTGTTTGTAATGAAAAAAAAGATTGAAATAACAACTCCATAAGATTAGGAATTACCAAAACGCAACTGAATTTAAATAGAAGAAATCGAACGCGTCCCATCCTGGCCTGGTTAGTCTAGGGTGTTGTGTGGGTCCCACCCTGGTCTGGTTAGTCTAGGGTGTTCTGTGGGTCCCATCCTGGTCTGGTTAGTCTAGGGTGTTGTTTGGGTCCCATCCTGGCCTGGTTAGTCTAGAGTGTTGTGTGGGTCCCACCCTGGCCTGGTTAGTCTAGGGTGTTGTGTGGGTCCCATCCTGGCCTGGTTAAGATTAGATTATTTTGATTCATTTTTTGCCTAACAGTTTCTCTTTTTTAGCTTCGGCGTCCTCCACAACTCTTCCTAAAATGAAAATATTATTCTTATAATTGGATTTATAAAACATCTAACTTGGGAATCCTGCCTGGAAACTAAATTTTATCTTTAATAATCAACTCACTCAATTTTTAATTTTTAATGATTCAACAGATTTTCCAAAAATTTGAGGCAAATCGGTCAAGGGGTTCCTGAGTTATGATCGGACATACAATCAAGCAAACAAACATAGATTACTTTACTTCATATATAACAACATGACATTTAAATATCTCCAATTTAGAAAATATCCCGAAATCCTGAGATTATCTTCTAAACAGAAAAAAATTAGAAACATACAGGGTGACCCACAAAGGATGAGACTGTAGAGACGACTTGAAACTCTTTAAATATGACGATCCAAAGTTTAAATTAAAACTTCCGTCTTAAATGGGCCTTTTAATAGATTACTTAATGATTTGGCAAAGAATGAAAGAAGTTGCAGGGAATCATGAATATAAGGAATATAAATTCTGTACAGTCGTCTCCGAAGTATCATCCTTTATGGGTAACCCCATGTAGGATGTAAATAAAGATTATTTATTCTTTCCAAAATTATCACTTTGTCACCGCAAAAGAAAAGCTCAGTCCCCTTCGGAAAGGGTTTTTCCGAAAATTCATTTATTTTCATTTGATTTACTTTGATTTGATTTACCTTGAATTGATTTTTCTTGATTTATTTTACCTTGATTTGATTTACCTTGATTTGATTTACCTTGATTTGATTTACCTTGATTTGATTTACCTCGATTTATTTTACCTTGATTTGATTTACCTTGATTTGATTTACCTTGATTTGATTTAGCTTGGTTTGATTTACCTCGATTTATTTTACATTGATTTGATTTAACTTGATTTATTTTACCATGATTTGATTTACCTTGATTAATCTTATCTTGATTTATTTTACCTTAATTTGATTGACCTTAATTTAATTATTTGATTTACCTTGATTTATTTTACCTTGGATTAACTTGATTTATTTTACCATGATTTATTTTGCCTTAATTTGATTTACTACTCTAATTTGATAAACTTTGATTTGGTTTACCTGGATTTGATTTATCTTGATTTATTTTATCTTAATTTGATTTACCTAGATTTATTTTACCATGATTTGAATTACCTTGATTCATTTTACCTTAATTTGATTTACCTTGATTTCCTTTAACGAGGAAATTCATTAATCCTCCTTCCATGGAAAGCCATATACACCGGGGTAGGTAGAATACAATAGCCTAGACAAAATCATCATTACTAGGGCTACAGAATATTCTACATATACACCAGGGTAGGTAGAATACAATAGCCTAGATAAAATCTTCATTACCAGGGCTGCAGAATATTTTACATATACACCAGGGTAGGTAGAATTCAATAGCCTAGATAAAATCATCATTACCAGGGCTGCAGAATATTTTACATTTACACCAGGGTAGGTAGAATACAATAGCCTAGATAAAATCATCATTACCAGGGCTACAGAATATTCTACATATAGACCAGGGTAGGTAGAATTCAATAGCCTAGATAAAATCATGTTCATTACTTTTTTGGAGTGGCTTTGCGCCGAGTTTAAGATTTAATGGAACTGCAGACGTAATTAATAGAATGGCATATCCTATTCACAACTGTACCCTCATTAGCTTTGTCAGATCACAAAAGCATGACTCATGAGATATCCATGATCTTCTTGTTAAAAAGTTAATTGAATTGTGGTGTCTCTATGAATTGAATTGACATGTGCATTTCTGCTTTTCAGAGAAAAATGTTAAAAATAAACTCTTTTCAAGCAAGAAAAACTTCCATGTAATTGATCAAGTAAAAGCTTTAAAGGTATCGTTGTGAATTAACATGACTCTATTTAAGAAGATCACGACAGTTTCTTTTATATATTACTTTAATATATTCAACGCCATAATATTCATGAGTTAATGTTAACGGACGAAAAAATTCGTTCCAAAAATGTAGCTATCTCGTTTTAACCTAAATATTCTGTAAATAGAAAATAAATGCGTAAAGAAAATGTTAAAAAGTTCTGAAAATCTGACAGGAAAGCTTTAAAAGTTCCAGAATAAAACATTCTTTGAATTCTGCCTTTTAACATTCTACCAGGGTACACCCAGGGGAAGTACATGCACTTAGAAAACACAGAGGATAAGGGGCGGAGGGGAGAGGGGGGGGGAATAACGTGCCTTGTGAAGTAGGGGAAGGGTAGGGGTAGTGCCTGGAAGGGATGCATGAGGACGTGTATGGGGTAAGGGTAGGTGAAGTATAGGGGAAAGGAAAGGTCAGGGATACGGATATAATTAATTATAAATGAATTTGCTCAGCGAATATTATGCTCTGCAGAATTACAAGATGGTTCATGAATTAATAATTGATAAAACGAATTGAGTCTTTGTCGCAAATTCTGATTATCCGATGTCGGGAAGTGGGGACTTTAAATATTTCAAACAATGAATGCTGTTAAGATTGGAATATCTAAGGTTAACCGCCTCCAGGTTGAAAAAATATAGGGATTGTAAAATTTGAGTGAGACATTAAATTTAAATCATAACATGAATAATATTTCTTTTAAAATCTGCTGTTAAATGGAAAAAATACTGAGCCTTAGTTCGCCCCTGTTGAAAATGAATATAGGGAAAGGGCTTGACAAGAAAGGTCGAATTTGAATATAAGAAAAGGGTAAAGAACTGGGAAAATTATTTAAGCAGGTGGGACACCTAATGAAGGGGGGACAGCGAGGCTCGAATCCTGTCCCTTGTCCTACTTTTGTCAGGGTTTAAATTGATGTCTAGTCAACTTTTTCTTTACATTATTTTCTCTACATTCTGTTCTGTACAGTCTGTTATTAACATTCTTTTTTTTTTTACATTCTTTTTTGCTTCTTCAACCTAAATCTTGTTAATAGGTTGTTCTTTTTAATCGTAAATTTCTTCATTGACCAAGATAAGTGTGTAAAAAAACTTCTCCAAATAAACGATGATTTAATTTACGAAACATTTAATAAAGAGATTCTATCCTTTTAAAGTTTTCATGAGTCATTCTTTTCTAGATATTTAAACTAAAGTACACTGTAATAGATATTTAAACTAAAGTATACTTTATTAGATATTTAAACTAAAGTATACTTTATTAGATATTTAAACTAAAGTATACTTTATTAGATATTTAAACTAAAGTATACTGTATCAGCTTTTTAAACTAAAGTATACTTTATCAGATATTTAAACTAAAGTATACTTTATCAGATATTTAAACTAAAGTGTACTTTATCAGATATTTAAACTAAAGTATACTTTATCAGATATTTAAACTAAAGTATACTGTATCAAATATTTAAACTTAAGTATAGTATATGGCCAATATTTAAACATATTGAGGTTTAAGACTTGTGAAAGGCCTTTGACGCGTGTGGTTCAAAAATACAATGGCAGCTGTAATAAAGAAGACACTGGCTGAGAAAAGATGTTTGGTAAAAAAAAAATGGTCTGCACATTATTCAGCACATTATACAGCACCTTATACAGCACCTTATACAGCACCTTATACAGCACGATCTAAAGAACTTTTTGATATAACTTTTCCTTTGGTGAATACAAACTTAGAAGTTAAACGTACTTTCAACTCGGAGAACTTTCCCAAAAATGTCCAAAAGTACGTTTTTGCACTCCTGCTTATTTATTGTTCCAATTTAATTTGAAGAAAATTGACACACAGCAAATTAGTGTAAATTAGAACCATCTGATGATTCTTTTCCTTTTCTGGTTTAGAATATTCATGTTTTCATTTCAATTATTTTTACCCATCACGACAGAATTTAGTTAACAGTCTCCACAAGTCCAAAATAGGAAAGACAACAATATTATATTTTCAAAAAGTAAAGTGAGAAAAAAACCATTTGATAAAAAAATATAAGATTAAAATGAAAGACAGGCAACAAAAAATTATAAAGAAAAACAATTAGCGTCAGGATGAATAAATGAATAAAATATACAAGCGGTCCTTTGATGAATAACTGAATAAAATATGCGAGCAGTCCTTGGATGAATAAATGACAGATAAAGGAAAAAAGTATGTAAATTAAAAATATAATTACTTGTATGAATGAATGCATGCATAAAGGAAAGATATAATCACTAGGATGAATGCATGTATAAAAATATATTTACTATAGGATGAATGAATGAAGGATGAAAGACTATGATGAATGATAAAAGACTTTGATGAATGAATGAAGGATAAAAGACTATAATGAATGAAAGACGGATGAAAGACTATGATGAATAAATGAAGGATAAAAGGCTATGATGAATGAATGAAGGATAAAAGACTATGATGAATTAATGAAGGATAAACAACTATGATGAATGAATGAAGGATGAAAGACTATGATGAATGAATGAAGGATAAAAGACTATGATGAATGAATGAAGGATAAAAGACTATGATGAATGAATGAAGGATAAAGACTATGATGAATGAATGAAGGATAAAGATTATGATGAATGAATGAAGGATAAAAGACTATATGAATGAAAGAAGGATGAAAGACTATGATGAATGAATGAAGGATAAAAGACTTTGATGAATGAATGAAGGATGAAAGACTATGATGATGAATGAATGAAAAATGACTAGAGTTGTTAAGAATACTTCATGTCAAGTCTCTGAAGGAAAAAATAGATTATTTTATTTTGTCAGTTAATTGTGTTTTCTTTAGAAAATGATTTGTTTCCGTCTCCGTTGTCAAATATTCTCAGAAGGAGACTTCACAAACAAACAAACAAACAAACAAACAAAAATAGACATGAACATGAAATCTTTCCCTTTTTTAAATATAAATAGTTTAAAGCCTTAGCGAGAAAAAAAAAATGTAAAAGTAGGTCAAGTTCAAATTATTGAATTTGCAAAATAAAAATCTATCTATCTATCTATCCATCTTTCTATCTATCTATCTGAAATAAATGTTCGTAGTAAACTATATATATATGTATATAACTGCTTACGTTTGTTAATTTCTGAGTAGACCTATCGGTCCATATTATTACCGTGTATTACGATTTTCTTTAATTACCTTTATTAATTTAATACCATGAAAATATAAGTCAGTTAACCATGAATTGTTGCTTCCTTAGGTTTATACACCTATTAATTCTCGTGTAGAGAAGCAAAAAGTTGCCTCTAGTTATATTAGGGATACATATTAAGCAATACAGAGTTGTATCAGGGATACATATTAAGCAATACAGAGTTGTATATCTATCTATCTATCTATCTATCTATCTATCTATCTATCTATCTATCTATCTATCTATCTATCTATCTATCTATCTATCTATCTATGTACCTGCATCATGAGGAATATAGAAACCCACTGATAGTACGTGTTGTACAGGTTTGTACGGTCAAACGTCTTTCTAGCACAGGACCCCTGAACAAACATTAGAATATTTATTATAAAACGATTTAATTTCAATTCTCGATTCAAAAAATATTTTTAAATCGTATAATTATAAATTCCAACTGATTGATTCCAACAACTTCCTACATGTTTATATGAAGTATAAATGCGTTAGTATCTTTATAGGGAAGCTACAATTATCAGTTTTCAATGGGAAGACTCATTTATTATACATTCTTGATCAGACAGAGCTTTCAGGGGTCTCGGCGTGAATCGGACCGGCCACTTTCTATAAATGCTGAGTCACCTGAAATTACTACTAGAGTTCTTTTAAATTGATTTGATGCATTTATTTGTATATCTACCACAATTACAAATATTTGTAATTTTGAACAATAAAACCAATTTGAAGAGAAAACTTCAATATTTGTTTAATTCTTTAACATGAATGGTATAAACATAATACAACTTCTATTTTTGGAGATTTTTAAACATTTTCTCCTGAAACACTTAATTTTGTATGTTTTGTTTGATAATGTTATATGATACACATATGAATAATAATAATAATAAAATAATAATAAGTAATACTCCCTTCTCCCAATTATTCTCTTATTCATATTATAATTCCATCCCCCCTTCCCCCCTTGCATGAAGGATAAAAGACTATATGAATGAAAGAAGGATGAAAGACTATGATGAATGAATGAAGGATAAAAGACTTTGATGAATGAATGAAGGATGAAAGACTATGATGATGAATGAATGAAAAATGACTAGAGTTGTTAAGAATACTTCATGTCAAGTCTCTGAAGGAAAAAATAGATTATTTTATTTTGTCAGTTAATTGTGTTTTCTTTAGAAAATGATTTGTTTCCGTCTCCGTTGTCAAATATTCTCAGAAGGAGACTTCACAAACAAACAAACAAACAAACAAACAAAAATAGACATGAACATGAAATCTTTCCCTTTTTTAAATATAAATAGTTTAAAGCCTTAGCGANGGGAATAGTGACGTACATATTCATTGTTTAAATAAATGAACAGTGGGAATAGTGACGTACATATTCATTGTTTAAATAAATGAACTGGTGGAACAGAGACGTACATATTCATTAATTTTAGTAAAGGAACAGAGGGAACAGTGACGTACATATTCAGTAATTTTAGTAAAGGAACAGAGGGAATAGTGACGTACATATTCATTGTTTCAATAAATGAACAGAGGGAATAGTGACGTACATATTTATTGTTTTAATAAATGAACAGTAGTAATATTTACATTTTTACGTACAAAGTACATTTTTAAAAATTATAATGTAAGTATATTTAAGATGTCTTTGTGAGAGAATAAATGTCATTATCCGACAACATAATAGTTGACATTCTGAAAGCTAACATCGTAAAGTCTAGTTTGAAGTTTAAGGACAAAATGTTTAAAAACGTAAGTCATAACAGTAAAAATTTGAAGAAAATAAGTGTTTTAAAAATATGCTTTGAGTATTATTTCCATTTACAATAATACCTAGATTTGCCATCACTAACCTCAGAAATGCACAATGAGAATTAAATTGATCATTTTGTTTACAAAAATAACACAAGGAATTTTTCAGATATAATATACGATTGCAAAAACACTAAACAGTCTGCTGTTGACGACATTTTAATGCATCATTCCAAACATAAGGACCTAAAGGTTCTGTGATCATTAAATAGATAGCTTAGTTCGATAAAAAAAGATTTTTATCCAAGCAAACCTAGAATCCTTTGAGCAACAAAATTAAAAGTGTCAAATTTTGCAAAAAAAATCTGTTCTTTTCAAAGTCTAAGTAAATAAAGTTTTTGCAAAGCTTTCAAGAGGAGGAAAGTATGGCGCTGAAAATTTGCATTTCATGACGTCAGGGCTCTTTAACTTATTACAGTTCATTAGCATATTGTGCCGGTTGCTTAAAGCCAAGAAACTCAACTTTTTCAAGTAGGATAGAATGGGGGGGGGGGCACATGCTCTCGTGCAGTACCTTGTTACTATGTTTTTAATTTGACCAACATTTAAGAAATCTTATCGAGTAAATGAAAAGGAATGGAGTCTTTGCCACAAACTCAACTTTTCAAATCCCAATATCTTTGCAATCTGATAGTGTAAACCTTTGATATTTTAAACTTAGATTATTTGATCTAACATAATTTATAGTTTGGAATATCTAAGGTCTACAACAATGGGTTGCAAATATATAGGGATTAGAAAATCAGAGTTTTTGGCAAAGACTCAAATCCTTTGTTCTTTTGAAAAGAATTATACAAAATCAACTAAACAAACATCTTGAATTTCAATTATTTAGTAAATATGGCACGGTCTTATATCAAATTTAACAGAATTCTCAAATGATATGATTGTATTAACCGATTCTTAGTTTTGGCGGAATTCATCCTAAACCCCTTTTCATTATTCGCGGACACTCTCTGAAATAAATTGCTAATGTAGGGGAGGTCACACACCTAACAAGTAGAAAAAGTAGAGGATGTTTAGTGAGGGTTTAAAAAAGGTTAAAAGATTATATAATACCCGGGACGGGAAAATGGCAAAAGTCCAACAATGTGACTTTTCACGAGTTCATCCAGTCCTTGTCTTGTATGACATGTCATCACATGCTTGTCAAGCTTATAGAATAAAGTACAAGCTAACACCCTAGCTAGAGTATATAATACAAGCTAGCACCCTAGCTAGAGTATATAATACAAGCTAACACCCTAGCTAGAGTATATAATACAACCTAGCACCCTAACTATAGTATATAATACAAGCTAACACCCTAGCTAGAGTATATAATACAAGCTAGCACCCTAGGTAGAGTATATAATACAAGCTAGCACCCTAGCTAGAGTATATAATACAAGCTAGCACCCTAGCTAGAGTATATAATACAAGCTAGCACCTTAGCTAGAGTATATAGTACAAGCTAACACCCTAGCTAGAGTATATAATACAAGGATACAAGGGTACTAACTCCCTTGTCTAGCTAGGGTATAAAATACAAGGTTACTCATTACTTAATGCTTTCGGTAAAAAATATTTAAGTGCAATAAGTTCAAGCAACATTTCTAACTTGTGCAATTTCTTCAATAAATAAGTATTTTTGCACCGTTGAAAATTTTGCAAATATTTTTGACATATTTGACAAGCTGTTTCTGTGCACATTACTAATTATACTTCAGTGAATAAATTTTACATGATTTTTATCTCGGGAATTGGCAAGATTATCAACCCCTTCAGATTTATACAAATTATTAAATTTGTTTTTAGGTTTTAATAACACCTCATAGTGCAACAGTGTGCATCAACCTGTCTGCAACTTTAATAGTGTGCACATTGAAATTCGGTAAAATTTTAAAAATTTAAAGGTTGAGTACATCCAACAGATTAATGACTGCAAGTGTGTACCTTGAAATCTAATGGAATGTCGAAGGTTGAGTACATCCAACAGATTAGTGTCTGCAAGTTTGTACCTTGAAATCTAGTGGAATGTCGAAGGTTGAGTACATCCAAGAGATTAATGTCTGCAAGTTTGTACCTTGAAATCTGGTGGAATGTCGAAGGTTGAGTACATCCAACAGTAAGCGTTGAGTACCTCCTCGTCTACGCTGTCATCAGCCTGGTAAACATCATCACGTGACTAGTTTAGATGTGATATAGTGCCCAATCCCAGCCACACTAACATTCAGTAGCAAGCAATCAATCAATCCATCAATCAGTAGACAACCTGTCATTGATGTCCATGGTCAATTAGACAATCTGTCATTGATGTCTTAAGACAATTAGACAACCTTTAGTTGATGTATGTGGACAAATAGACAGTTCTTGTTGGTTGGTTGTACATGAGATCAACCATTTATTTAAAATTGTGGACAATAAGACAAACAGCCATTGAAGTTTGTAGACAATTAGAAAACTTATAATTGTATTCTGTATAGACAATAAGACAACCAGTAATTGAAGTTTGTGGACAATTAGACAATATGTAATTGCTTTCTGTATAGACAATTAGACAACCAGTCATAGAAGTTTGTAGACAATTAGAAAACATATAACTGTATTCTGTATAGACAATTAGACAACCAGTCATTGAAGTTTGTGGACAATTAGACAATATGTAATTGCTTTCTGTATAGACAATTAGACAACCAGTCATAGAAGTTTGTAGACAATTAGAAAACATATAACTGTATTCTGTATAGACAATTAGACAACCAGTCATTGAAGTTTGTGGACAATTAAACAATATGTAATTGCTTTCTGTCTAGACAATTAGACAACCAGTTATTGAAGTTTGTGGACAATTAGACAATATGTAATTGCTTTCTTTATAGACAATTAGACAACCAGTCATTGAAGTTTGTGAACAATTAAACAATATGTAATTGCTTTCTGTATAGACAATTAGACAACCAGTCATTGAAGTTTGTGGACAATTAAACAACATTTAATTCCATTCTGTATAGACAATTAGACAACCAGTCATAGAAGTTTGTAGACAATTAGACAACCAGTTATTGAAGTTTGTGGACAATTAGACAATATGTAATTGCTTTCTGTATAGACAATTAGACAATCAGTCATAGAAGTTTGTAGACAATTAAACAACATTTAATTGCATTCTGTATAGACAATTAGACAACCAGTCTAGACAATTAGAAAACATATAACTGTATTCTGTGTAGACAATTAGACAACCAGTCATAGAAGTTTGTAGACAATTAAACAACATTTAATTGCATTCTGTATAGACAATTAGACAACCAGTCTTTGAAGTTTGTAGACAATTAGAAAACATATAACTGTATTCTGTGTAGACAATTAGACAACCAGTCATTGAAGTTTGTGGACAATTAAACAACATTTAATTCCATTCATGTATAGACAATTAGACAACCAGTCATTGAAGTTTGTGCACAATTAAGCAGTCAGTCATTGAGTCTACATAATTAGACAACCAGACATTGAAGTTAATGGACTTTAATAGACAACCAGTTGACAATCATTGAAACTGCACATATTATATTATATTATATTATATTATAAAGTGGAAAATCATAAAGTTTTCTTTTTTTAAAAATTATAAATCGCTTTATAATCAAATATTCCTTTAAACCGTGTAGTTTTCTATTGTTTCGAACTTGAGCTCGCATTCAGTTGAAAACTAAATTTTCGAGAGAAAACAAAGTTGAAAGAAATAATCGAAAAGAATTGTGAAAATTGTCCGTGAGAAAAGATTAATATCTCTGTGTCAGTGCATTTTGTCGTAAATGATGAATCTAAAGTTGATATATTAAATATTGTTAATCTTAAATGACTGAAACATAAAGACTCTTTTAAATCATATTAAATCAATCAAATAAATTATCATTAAACGAACACCAAAGAAAATTTCAGACTTATTAATTTTTAAGAAAATATCCTTAATCGTGAAGTATTAATGTGGCCGGGTTTATTTAGATATTTTTCTCAGGATTGGATTAAATGGAGAGGGGTCAGACCTAATTAATGATCTAAATAAACTGACTGTACTTTGTATTTTGCAATTTGTGACTAGCTTGCCTTGTGACCTGTCAAATATCTGCAACAATGCAAAAAATCAATTTGGCCACCCATCCATCTTCCAACCCTGAGTGCCGTTGCTTACCGTCTCGCATGAGATTGGATCTCCAAAAAATTGTGAGCTGCAGACAGCAACACTGCCAGCAACAAACAAGGACACAGACCATTTGTAGAATAATTTAAAAGTAAAGTTATCAATGGAAACCTCTCCGATTCCAAGAATGGTTTCAGTCGCACTCTTGACAATTCCAATCGTCGTAGCCATGTTGAATTGTTCTTATCACTTGGTTTAAATCAATCAATAACGTCTTCTTTTAGAACTCATTCTATTTCTCGATCATTTTCGGTGTGATGTTATAATTTATTTCATACTTTACCCTAAACTCATCTGAAAAAGATCGATATTGAAAATAATTAGTGTAGTGTAGTGTAGTGTAGTGTAGTGTAGTGTAGTGTAGTGTAGTGTAGTGTAGTGTAGTGTAGTGTAGTGTAGTGTAGTGTAGTGAGAGTACTGAAGTATATAGGAGTGTATGTATGAGTGTATGTATGTCTGTATTGTGTTGGACTGACCAGCGCTCAGCTGTCTCTACCCCGGTCATTCTATACCTGAAGGGGGAACTCAGGCTGAGGTAAGATTTGTCTCTTTTTTCAAATTTCAGTTTGCTATATATTTTCTTGCTTATTTTCTCTAATTCTTTTTATTCCTTCTTGTCTTTTATTTATGCTTTCAGTGTAAACTGTCCACCACTGTACATCACATTGCACAATCACATACATGTAGCATTCTGTAGTAGGACTAAAAAAGAAAGTGTATTTAATGCAATAAAATTGAATTGATCAAAATTGGAATGATTTTGACAGATATCGATAAGAATTCGTCTTTATTACTTTGCAAATAATTGCGCTAGTTTTGACAATAAGACGACCTTTCAATATCATCATCTCTTCAAAGTATTCAACAGTTTGCAATTTTTATGTTGTGGTTTCATTTATTTGATTAGTCTTTTTTTCTCAATGGATTGGTATATGATTAACGATCAATTTTGAAACAATCGGAGGCCGAATTTAAAGAATTTGAGCCGCGACTCAAATATGGTTGGTTCCACTTAAAATTGTATTCAATGTTTCAAGATTTAAGCCGGCGCTCAATGGAAACCGGCTTTTGTATAAGTTAAAGTACTTTACTCGCGAAAAACTGCAAAAATTTAGATATTATAATAGAAAAATTGAAAATGAATCAGATTCAAAGTTTATGATTCATCCTTCCAAATTTCTGAAAAAAAGTAGAATTAAATACGTATTTAGAAAACACTTGTGTTCTCATTTGTTTAAAAGCAGAAACAATTATACAGAAATCAGTAAAAATTAAACTTCAGGATGTTAAGGTAAATATATTTATTCAACTGCCTGACAAGATAAGGTCAGAACCAAAAACTATGGAATAGGAAGACGACTGTTTGACTCAAGTTATGACTTTAAAAAATCCAATAAACATTAAAAGCAGCAATTGTACAGCAATTGTACAGCAATTGTACAGCAATTGTACAGCAATTGAACAGCAATTGTACAGCAATTGTACAGCAATTGTACAGCAATTGTACAGCAATTGTACAGCAATTGTACAGCAATTGTTCAGCGATTGTACAGCAATTGTACAGCAATTGTACAGCAATTGTACAACAATTGTACAGCAATTGTACAGCAATTGTACAGTAATTGTACAGCAATTGTTCATCGATTGTACAGCAATTGTACAGCAATTGTACAGAAATTGTACAGTAATTGTTCAGCGATTGTACAGCAATTGTACAGCAATTGTACAGACCGATTTCAATGAATCAGTTGATTTTCTTTACCTATTGGTAAAACTATTTACATCTAATTCCATAGTGTTATGGGCCTTGCAGTATTATACTAAATGGAACTGAACATTTGAAACAAGTTTTAATTTTCTAATCAACACATCTTTAAAACCTGATACCTGAAATATCAAATGTTTAGCATTATTATACAACATCCTCTCAAATCCTTTTTTTTGTATAATTGTCATGAAATTGTTTTGATATATTTGTTTTTAATTGTATCATTCTCCACATTCTTCTAATATTCTTTTTTATTTGTTAGACTGTCTCGAGTCACAATCGTCTTTTAACATTTTTGTTTTGTTTGGTCAAATTGTCTCAAAATTCTTTTTATATTCTTGTTAATTTTGACAATTTGTCTCAACATTAAATTATATTTTTGTTTATTTTGTCTGAATTGTCAAATATACTTTTTATATTCTTGTTTAGTTTGTCTGAATTGTCAAATATCATTTTTATATTCTGGTTTATTTTGTATGAATTGTCAAATATCCTTTTTATATTCTTGTTTATTTTGTCTGAATTGTCAAATATCCTTTTTATATTCTTGTTTATTTTGTCTGAATTGTCAAATATCCTTTTTATATTCTTGTTTATTTTGTCTGAATTGTCAAATATCCTTTTTATATTCTTGTTTATTTTGTCTGAACTGTCTCAACATGCTTTTTATATTCTTGTTTATTTTGTCTGAACTGTCAAATTTCCTTTTTATGTTCTTGTTTATTTTGTCTGAATTGTCAAATAATATCCTTTATATATTCTTGTTTATTTTGTCTGAATTTTCAAATTTCCTTTTTATATTCTTGCTTAATTTTCCTCTAATTTTGCTCCAATATTCTGTCCAAATTTTTGTTATATTTCTGTCAAATTTGTTTTTTTGTCAAATTACTCTCAACATCTTTTTCATATTCTTCTCTTATTTTGACAAATTGTCCTTAATTTTCTTTTTTATATTTTTGCTTTAGTTTAAGTGAAAATGTCTTAATCATTTTCACATTTTTCAATTCTCTTGTCAAATTGGTCAAACAGTACTTTAGTATTCTTGTTATATTTTTGTCCAAATTGATAATTTTCTTTGTGTTGCTACATATCAAATAGTTTCACTAGTAACTTATTAAATCCCTTATTGAGTACAATTGCTCTATCTTATTTTTATTGGACTATTTAAAGGCAAACTTTGAGTCAAAAGTCGTCTTCCCATTTCACTTACTGTATAAATATTGACTGTTATATTTCAGATTTGCGTTCATGTTAATCTTTACAAACACCATTTCTGAGGTCTTCACTACTGATCTCCAGAACTGCAAATGTCCAAGGTTAGGTTTTTATTGCAAACAAAATTATTGAAGAACATTTTTAAATTCATAATTTTAGAAATACCTCTTGCACATTCTTTTGATGCATGTGATATAAGTATTTGAAAATTGTTTAATTAGAAAAAATATTTTCAAATAAGAGGAAATAAAAAAGTTGAATTCTAAAAGAAAAAATTACAATAATGAATCTTATTCAATTTAATTGTTTGTTAATGTTAGGTCTATAAATCCTGTGTGTGCTACAGATGGGGCTGAACCTAGGACCTTCAGCAATGAATGCATGGCAAACTGCCTTCAGGCAGCAGTAGAGTGTAAAGGAAGATGTCCTTGCTCAACAGGACAAGGTTAGTTTGATTTTTAAATGGAGTGACTGATTGGAAGGGATAGTTCAGGAGGAAATAAAGAATAATATTGTGTCTCTGAGATGTATATACATTATACAACTGCTAAGTATGAGAAATCTGTTTTGTCTTGGGAACCTGTTTTTGGTTCTGCCGCCAATAAGGAACAACATTTTCAGGAACAAAAGTAAAAATCAATTAAAATTTTTTACCAACTTATTGTTTGTTTAGTTTCTATACATACAATTGCTTAAAAAAAAGCTAAAAAGTTATCGATTAAAATAAGATTGTGACTCCAATAATGTTTCGTTTCAAATGAGTTTACACGAATAAAATGATATTCCAGAAATTTAGAAATGTATATTTGGCAATTTCTCGTTTATTACACAAAATTAGTATACACCAGTCGTTTAGGGCTTTTACTTCTGTTACTGAAAAAATCCTAATTTAAATCTTAAAATTGCCAGCCATTCTATTTCAATGTATTTTTTTAAGAAGTCATTTCCAATGATGAGGACGCTCGCGGAGTTGATGGAGAAGTGTTAGATGAGTCTATTGCTGATCCTGAAGATTTGGAGGACTATCAAGAATACGGTAAAGATGAATCAAGCGAGGAATCTAGCGAGGAATCAAGCGAGGAATCAAGCGAGGAATCAAGCGAGGAATCTAGCGAGGAAAATAGTAAAGAAGTAGCTGAAGACGAGTCCAGTGAAGAAGGTTCTGGGAGCTCTAAAGAGGACCCAGAAGAGTCTCCAGTAAATGATTTAGTAGTGGAGCTACAGCAATAAAGCTAATAATATTAAATCATAAAGTTATAATTGTTAAAAGATTCCTTCAAAAAAGTTCCTGAAATAGATTCAAAGTTCAAATACACATTTTAATATAAAAAATATAATGTTTTTTTTCGTTTAATTAAAGAGATTTGTAGATCCAAGAAAAATTTCAGAGTTAATGCGCCAACAGCAGTAACAACTTTTGAACATAACCATTTAACTTGAAGGAAAATTTGATTATTTTCTCACTTTCATTCCGCTACATGCATTGGTCAGTCATTGTTTTAATTCTATAAAATACATTTGTTATAAAAAACGTAATTTTACCATTTTGTAAAATTTTTATTTATAAATTAATTTAAAAATTGAAGAAGAAAAATACAATGTAAACTATTGATATTATGACTGAAATGATGAAAGTACACAAAGAAATACAAACAATACAGAATACTTGAAATATTTGAAAACCAAACATGTTCAATCTTTTGCTGATGATTTTCTAGTCTCTAGTCAAGAAAAAAATTGTGCTAGGGTTTCCCACAATTTATACAACCTGTATGCGGTATAAATTTATACAACCTGTATGCGGTATAAATTAATCAGGTACCTTACGACTGAGTGTTTATCAACCAATATGGTTGAATTGTAAGAAAGGTTGGGTAACATTTTAATTTAAGATTTTGTAGTCTTGAATTGATGAAAAAATTGATCTTTGGTTATAAATTTTTCTCTCAACCTGCTTAAGGACAAGGTGTTAAAAAATGGATATTTGTTTCACGCAGCATTATTTCGTAAACACAATTATAGTATTTAAGTAATTCTTTAGTCTCGGGACTTCCAAAATGTGGTCTACCATTTTTTCATCTTCAAAATTTTAAAGATACTAAGAAGTTTGGAACAGTTCAGAAAAGTTCCTTATTTTGACTGTGCGTGAGGTGGATGACGGTTTCAAGTTTTTTTTTTGAGACACCCTTTACAGTTTTTGAATTCATCTGAGATTAAAACTTTTTAAACATTTACTGTTTAAGCTTTACACAGTAAACTTGATAACTCCTAGGATGTTTAATGTATTGATTAAACCATCCTTTACAAACTATCAATCATTTTATTTTGAGCATTCTTGGGCCTCATTTGACGTTGAATGCAGAGTATACAATTAGCCAGATATTTCAGGATCTGTTTCCTCATTTCGTGTTATTATCTCAACCCTGAAACAGGAATAAAGATTTTTTCTGATTTTTATTAATTCATATCAGTAAACTTTCTCTTTTAGAGATAAGATCATAAAATCAAACAAAAGATAAATACTTATTAAATCCTAAAAATATCTATCCCATTTTAGAATCTTTCTATAATCTACATGTTTCTGTAAAGAAACATGTGTTAGACAAATAGTTAAAGTTTAAACCGAGTCTAAATCATCTGCTGGAGTCCATCGAGTAAGGTTTAAATTAAATACTCTTTCCAAATAGAATGGAGAGAAATAAAGTAGTATCGATCTAGTATTGATAGTTTCTTAAACTTATGTTTCATAAACACTCTCTTTAATTCTTATATTGATTGGCTAAGCTTATGTGTTCCCAATACCTAGGTATTTCATATTTAATCTGTTTGTTACAGCAAGGTATATCCCAGACTGATTGATCCTCGCCAAAATGTTGACCGGCCTCTAGATCCTGGGGTAGGGAGTAACCTGAAATACAATCAAGGTTCATTGATGAATAGTACAGGGTTACCCATAAAGGAAGAGACTGTAAAGACGGTCCAAATAACTCTAAAAAATATGAAAATTTGAAGCTTGATTTTTAGTTTCTGCATTCAATTAAATATGTTGATGGTTTACTAAATGATTAAGCACAGAAAAAAAAACAGTTTTGGCCTGCAAGGAACACCGAGTACAAGAAAACGGACTAAACAAATTCCGTACAATCGTCTCTGAAGTCTCGTTCTTTGTGGGTGACCACATAATACTCTATTTTTTTTATGTAGGTTTTACACATAAGACTCTTACCTCTTCAAGGTGTTTCTGAAAACACGAGAATTTCTAAGTTTCACTTTGTCAGTTTTTTGAATGTTTTTATACAGAAAGTAGCAAAAGCTTCAGTAAGAGCGCATGTTACAAGAATTCAGTATTACCGGATGTTTCTGGTAACCAGGAGGCAGCAAAAGATCCAGTAAGAGCACAAATTTAAATATTTCTTTAATACCTGAAGTTTCTGGTAACCAGAAAGTAGCAAAGGCTCCAGTAAAAGCACAGATTACAATATTTGATTAATATCTGATGTTTCTGGTAACCAGAAAGTAGCAAAGGCTCTTGTAAGAGCGCATATTTCATCATTTCAATATTACTTGATGTTTCTGGTAACCAGAAAGTAGCAAAAGCTTCTGTAAGAGCGCATTTTACAATGTTTGATTAATACATGATGTTTTTGTTACCAGAAAGGTGCAAAAGCTCCAGTAAGAGCGCATTTTGAGTATTCACAAATACCTGATGTTTCTGATAACCAGAAAGTAGCAAAAGCTTCTGTAAGAGCGCATATTACAATGTTTGATTAATACATGATGTTTTTGTAACCAGGAAGGTGCAAAAGCTCCAGTAAGAGCGCATTTTGAGTATTCACAAATACGTGATGTTTCTGGTAACCGGAAAGTAGCAAAAGCTCCAGTAAGAGCGCATATTACAATATTTGATTAATACCTGATGTTTCTGGTAACCAGAAAGTAGCAAAAGCTTCTATAAGAGCGTATATTAAAAGAATTCACAAATACCTGATGTTTCTGGTAACCAGAAAGTAGCAAAGGCTCCAGTACAAGTGTATATTACAATATTTGATTAATACCTGATGTATCTGATAACCAAAAAGTATAAAAAAAACTTCTGTAAGAGTTTAGCTACGCTCAGTTTGATAAACGCCTGGTTTAAATAAATACTTTATTACTAAATTTTAGAACTTAAATTTATCAAAACGTAAAATATTATATAGAGAGATGACGTGGCCGGAAGTTGCTCATCCTGCCGCGTCTTGATCTTCGGTTCAAAACTCCTCAAAAGCCTCGTCTTCCGCCACTACGCCGCCACAAGAGCGCATATTACAATATTTGATTAATACCTGATGTTTCTGGTAACCAGAAAGTAGCAAAAGCTCCAGGAAAAGCGCATATTACAATATTCGATTAATACCTGATGTTTCTGGTAGCCAGAAAGTAGCAAAAGCTTCTATATTAAAAGAATTCACAAATACCTGATGTTTCTGATAACCAAAAAGTAGCAAAGGCTCCAGTACACGTGCATATTACAATATTTGATTAATACCTGATGTTTCTGGTAACCAGAAAGTAGCAAAAGCTCCAGTAAGAGCGCATATTCCCAGTACAAGAAGGGGAAAAACTGAGGAAATTTTATCCTAAAAAGATTAACCCATTTCCCTTTAATTTAAACAAATCTAAATCTATTATTGATATATGAAAATTGCATCTTTTCCACTTGACTTACCAGATATACTATTGAAGGAGAGATGAAAATTGCAACGCCTCCCAATACCTCACACATTGCAACACCCTGTCCTCTGTTTATAAAACTGTTGAACTACCAGCATTCATATAATCATCCACTTTAAACTCACATTCATGCATTATATATGCATTTCAGAATTTAAAATATCTTTTTCGAAACAAAGAAAATAGTTTTTTATCCAAAATGCTAGGATAACATACGAAATTTAACATTAGAATTGTCCGGATCCAGTGCAATGCTTAGAATTAGATATGAATATTGAACAAATGATGTTTCTAATAACTCTTCGGAAATACTAAGATTTCATAATACTAGCTACGTATTTGTAATCCCAATTGTTTGAATTTTGAAATATAGTAAATATATAGAATCGCTTGATTAACTAGTTTAAACAACTTCTTTCCTAACAGCTGTTGGAAATATTTCACTGGCATACTGGAGACAGATGAAATACGCAGCTGTTACTGTCATTCTCCCTAATAACAGAAATACATTTTTAACTCAACTCAACACTTTTTGTGAATCTTTTCAAAATACAATATTCTTTTTGTTGTTTGAATTTGTAATTTGGTCAGTATTTAGCAAAAAAAAATCATTTCTAGTTCATATTCATATAGTTACAAGAAATGAAATGTTTGAAAAGTTTTTGTTTAATTATTGTTTATTTCTTACCAAGAAGAGCAGTGCCTAGTAAAATGGAGTCCCAGTCTGAGGGTAATGTTCCAAACAATAACCCACTTCCTCCAGAGAAGAAGAAGAGAACCAAGAGAGGCCAACGTCTCCCAACCTGGGGATAATCAGAGGTTTAAGATGTTTTATTGAAAAGTGGCTTCATTTATTTTACAAGGGGTTACAGACACAACGTTAATATCCATGAGTTCAAAGATACCTTTTTATTTTGATTAAATGCTTCTTTTCAAAGCTTTCGAAATTTCAGCTTCTAATTATTACAGTGTAAAATATTGCTTCCTACCTTTTTACAGTGTAAAGTATTGTATCCTACCTTATTACAGTGTAAAGTATTGTATCCTACCTTATTATAGTGTAAAATATTGTATCCTAGCTTATTATAGTGTAAAGTATTGTATCCTACTTAATCACAGTGTAAAGTATTGTATTCTCCCTCATTACAGTGTAAAGTATTGTATCCTAACTTATTATAGTGTAAAGTATTGTATTCTACCTTATTACAGTGTAAAGTATCGTATCCTACCTTATTACAGTGTAAACAATTTTATTCTACCTTATTACAGTGTAAAGTATTGTATCCTAGCTTTTTACAGTGTAAAATACTGTCTCCTACCTTATTACAGTGTAAAGTATTTATCCTACCTTGGTATAGTGTAAAATGGTGTATCCTACCTTGGTATAGTGTAAAATAGTGTATCCTACCTTGGTACAGTGTAAAATATTGTATCGAACCTTGGTATAGTGTAAAGTATTGTATCCTACCTCATTACAGTGTAAAGTATTTATCCTACCTTGGTATGGTGTAAAGTATTGTATTCTACCTTATTACAGTGTAAAGTATTTATCCTACCTTGGTATGGTGTAAAGTATTGTATTCTACCTTATTACAGTGTAAAGTATTGTATCCTACCTTATTACAGTGTAAAGTATTGTATCCTAACTTATTATAGTGTAAAGTATTGTATCCTACCTTATTACAGTGTAAAGTATTTATCCTACCTTGGTACAGTGTAAAGTATTGTCTCCTACTGTGGTACGGTGTAAAATAGTGTATCCTACCTTGGTATGGTGTAATATAGTGTATCAAACCTTATTAATGAGAAAAGGAACGGTCCAGCAAGGAATCTCGACCAATGCTCCGAAAAAGTAGGATTTATAAATATTTCCTGAAAATTGGATAAATCATATAATCAAACCAATTATCAAATGTCATCTAATGATTTTTTGCATCTAACATTCGAAATCATATTTCTAATCACATATTGGCAAAACAGATAAAACAAAATTAAGATATTTTTTTAAATTACAAACTTAAAAGAAAGCGTAAAACTCGACGCAAAGCAGTTTTCTGATCATCATAGTATTAAATTATAAAATTCATAAAATTACCGTCTCCAAGATTGCTTGTGTTTTGAACTTGTCCATAGTAGCACAAGAACCCCATCATACTTAAAAAACATTCATTGTCATGGTATCATTTACAATATTAAAGAATTTTTAACTTTGAAATCATTTATTGTTTCGTTATAATGGCTATAAGGTCAAAATGGAGTCATAATGGATTTATTTCACATCCAATAATCAAAATTGTACTAAATAATTAAAACAAAAATAAAATTTGCAATGTCGATTTCTTGCGGATCAAAAACAAAACACAAAACAAAATTTTTCAATATTTTAATAGCTTTAACATGTGAGAAGGATATTCCATAAATTGAAGTCTTAATTACCAAATAATATTGACTAGAACAGCATTAACTCTGAGATTTGGGGTCCGGAACATATCCAGTAGGCTTTCAGATCCTGTTCCATTCACTTCCCGTTCCTTCTCATTTATTAGATCCTTCCTTATCTCCTCTCTCTGAAAATACAATCCTTAGTTTGGAGATTATTCGAATTTTCAACCTCATTTTACTTTTTAGTGTTCATTTTCCACCCAACAGTGAAAAAAGGAAAGTTTTAAGGGTCTCAAAATATACAAATATCCCAAAATACATTCTGTAAGGCAACATGCTAAGTGATTCGAATTGCCATATCCCCAGTGGACTGTTTCCAAAATGAAGGGTGTTACACAAAACAAGACAAGTTTTTTGGTAATGTACAATGGCTGAAGTTGGGCATACCGATTCCACTGTTATGACACTTGTTGGAAACTTTGTATGAAAAATTGTGCATTTGGAAAGTTACCATCTTACAGTTTGTCTTTTCAAAACTTTCAAACCAATATGATAATAAGAATATTTACCCTAAACTGTTGCTTGTTTACTTTCGCTACCAAAGCCAAGCAATCCAAGGCCTCCTCGTCCTTTCCAACAACAAGAAGCCAAGATGGAGATTCAGGAATAAATCTGGAAAAATTTAACTTAATTTTCTGTTTTGAATTAACTTTGAAATGACTATAATATATTTCTGAAAATTCCTTTTTCTGAAAACATTTCACTTATGAGGTATATGTATTCTGTGTTTAATCTTCCTGGCAAAAACAATCTCAAGAACTGACAATGGTCAACCCAGACCGAAATGTATTTTCAATATATGTGGTACATACATCTGCTTTTTTTACTCTTCAGAGGTTTGGTCCATCACCATCACCGAATTTTTTATTCTAAATATGTTGTTTTTTACATTTTTATAAGATACGATGTTTCGGCGGTTAGGAGCGCCGACCCCTATTTCATTGAATGATGGGTTGTCCCTTAATAATAATAATAAGATTTAAGATTTTAAAACAATATGAGACTTTCTTAAACTAGAAAATGTTTTTGTCAAACATAAAAAACTTCCCCCTGAGGATCTGCAGGTGATTTATCTCGTTTATCATAATAAGTTTAAATTCCTTACTTGAAGCAGACTAGAACCGGAAGTACTGCAGCTGGTGCCAGTACGGCCAGATAATGCCACGTGGGTAGCACCATAGCTACCCAGGGCACTATCATACTGGCCATACTGTAGCTTACACTCATCATTAGAAGAGGATACGTTCTGCTCTTTATATCACAGAACTCAATAACTAGAAGCAGTAAAGATGAGTACCAGATGTTATGGGATTAATGTGTTACCTAACAAGTATGGAAGGTGGGATATAGTGTGGTGAGCACACCCCACCAAGAACCTACACGCGGCCAGGTACACCATATTCTAGAAAGTTAAGTAAAAAAACATCCCTTAATTATTAATAGTTTAGATCCAAGGCTGAAGAATGATGCAGATAAGACTTGTGACTACTGGTAAAGGATCGTAGTCACAAGATTGGAAAATTAATGGAAAATTCTTTTTAGTGTCAAAGTGAAAGGATAAAACCCAACCTAAACTAAAATATGTATTCTTAAAAGAATCAATAATTTTTTATTAGATAAAGAAAAGCTTTGTAAATAAGCGAAATTTTATCAGAAAAATTTCTTTAACAAACGGTAATTACCGTTAAATTACTAATGTGCCAAGCCGGAGTCAAAAGTAGGAAAAAGCTGATGAAAAAAATGTAGATTAAAAAATAAAAATCTACCTGACTAAAAAGAGTGGCTACTCCTGCCAGAAAATAAACCAAATGACTGAGAAGAATGGTTGGTCGTCTTCCAAATCTATTAAAGAAATTTATCAATCAATCGAACAAATGAGAAAGATATTATGTCATTGTTTATCTGAGCCCAATGAAGACTTAGATGATTTTAGCTTTGCTGACTAATATGTAATCTAACCCCATTTTAATTCAAATTGAAATAATAAAATTTGAAAAAAGAGTAAAATTCTTTATTTCTTAATTTTGGGGTTAAAAAATAAAGGAATTTTTTAAAATTCATATCGCCCTGCATCCTAAAAAGAAGCAGAGTATTATTTAATAAGGAAAGGAATTGAGTTTTTGCCACATACTCAAATTTTCAAATCTCTATATCCCTGCAAATTAAAGGTGTAAACCTTTGATATTTCAAACTTATATTTTTTAATGCAACATAATTCATTATTTGAAATATCTGAGGTATACAACCTTTGTTAGCTAAGATATAGGGATTAGAAAATCAGAGTTTGTGGCAAAGGCTCAATTCCTTTCCTTGACCTTATTTTCTACAAATGAATTTACACAGAATTTAAATATTTACAGAGCTTTGTTTTGCTGGGGAAAAAAATATCTTTAATGCAAGTCGCATTCAATAACTGTGTATGGACTTCTGAAGTGGAAACCTATTGAACTAAACAGTAAAATAAATTCAATTTTTTCTTCTTTGTCAAGTAGTTGCTTCTTTGTTCTTGGCCATTTTTCTTTTTCCTTTTTGTTGATATTTAGATTTTTGAATTAAAAGAAACTGATTTTATTTACTTACTGGTCATTTATATATCCCCATATAAAGCATCCAACAGAGTTTCCGGCCCAGAATATACTTTGTATCATTACAGGCTTCCAGTCATTCTCACACACCCAGTTGTTCTTAATTAACATGTTTATAGGCATGTGTATTGTGGATACTTCAACTAAGAACATGGTTTCGCAAATTGAATATAAGACGAAAAGTAAAGGAATTGAGTTTTTGCAAAAAAAAATCATTTTTTAAATTTGTGCAATCCGTTGTCGTAGTCCTTTGATATTTCAAACTATGAGTTCTGTTAGCTCAAAAAGTCTAAGCATTAAATATCAAAGGTTCACACTATCAGGTAGCAAAGATATGGGGATTAGAAAGTTTGAGTTTGTGGCAAAAACTCTGTTCCTTTCTTCTAAGTTCATTTCTTTCAATTATTTGTACAGATTGATATTTGAAATTTCAAATAGAATTCAAGCATTTTCATGATTTAAAATTTTTACTCTAGATTTCATAGTTAATGTCAAAGACATCATTTGTTGCAAAGATATAAAGTTTAGATTTATTTATTTCATTTTTTAACCTGTCCATAAAATATTGAATTGAAAAAACGGCTGATATTCTTTATAGAATTATAAAATTTTCTACTTTAACTTTTTTCTGATGATAATTTACTTATTAAAAGATTATTTTAAGCATATTTTTTACCTCGCTTGATATAGTTGGGAATATAAGATTGTTATTGTAAACCCAGCCTTCATCACATGCCTTTAAATAAGAAAAAATAGTTCAAATTTAATAAATATTCATAATATACGTTCAGTAGATTAATTTACACATGTATTTAAATTATTAAATTCTTTTTTAAATTCAATAAATATTCGTGATATATTATACACATTATTAACTTATTCACAAATGTTTAAAACAAAATTTTAAGTATTTTTAAATTTTACATCTAATACTTAAACAATTTTGATTTGTAACTTAATATTTCCAATAGAAGTCAATCCATTCAAGTTCAACATAGAGAAGTTTAAAAGTCTAGAATATTCCCGTGGTTCACAAGTTCCCCAATCAAAATTAACGATATCAGTAACGAACAAATTTAAAGTTGTCATCTCTTTTTGAATGTCTGATAACAGCTCATGAACCCCTTGATTGACGCCTCAAATTTTGATTAGGGAATTCGGGAGAACCACAGGATTGTCCTTAACTTGTTTTAATAGTCTAAATTGAGTGGATCGGCTTTGATAACAAAAATTTAGTGTCCCTGCAAAATCGACCAAGTGCGGGTAAACGGCGGGAGTAACTTTGAGTACCCAGTGCAACGCTGGGTAACCAAACTAGTATATTTAATCATACATATAAATGAGCTTTCTTATCTTGAAACGTTTGGACTTGCATTTAAAACGAAAGAAGAAATTTCCAGCGAGATAGTTTTGTTGGGAAGCTTTACAGCTGCATATGTTTTTTCATATTTATATTCTCATATAATTACATTTTACAGACCTTTGTCCTAATTTAATAGTTCTAAAACTTTGTACATCAGAGCGATACAATCTGTAAGTGTGTAGAAATTTCATATTGCAGAGGTTGTATTGAAGATATCCTTCTGTTTATTTAAAAATATATTTGCATTCTTCGAATTTAAAGGCCATACAAAATTCATCGAGAGCAATACCCCAAAGGGTCATTATACACAAAAAGTGCAGGAGCTAGATTATATAATGCATAAGCGTACCTTGAAGGATGAGTTTTTTACGTAAGTTCTTGTTACAAGTTCAGCAGATATTTTATTCTCAGCATTCTGGAAAATAACGAAAATGTAAAAATTGTTAAAATATTGTTAAAATACAAAGTGTCCCATGAAGCATGGGAATAATTCCTCTTTGTCAAGAATCAGCATTGAAACCCTATTTCTAAAGTTATAATAAAGTTCCGTCTACTAGAGTAAACTTTAGATAAAAGGCTTGCTTTTTTTCAACGTTGTATAATATGTAAGTGACATTTCTTCATGTTTCTCACTTTACACCACCAGTATGCAATTAAACCATAAACAGAAAAATTCTGAAACCTCTAGTCGAACGAAGCATTCTTTGGTTTACAGCTTTTCTAGCAGACACCAATATACTAAAATTCAGTAACAAAGACGATCTTAAAATCTTCGCTCAAGTCGCATGTTTATTGGGACGCCCTGTGTTGTTTAACCTGTGTAAGTAGAGCAGAGTAGTATGCTTCTGTTTGATTGATAAATATTAAATCTCCTTCTAGTTTATCCAACTTCAAACATTTACTAAACAAATTATATTTTCACAAATCTAAACAACTTAACCTCATAATAGTAGCGGCCAGCTCAAGAGCCTACCACCACACGACGCCGGGTCAACCTTTCCGGTCCCAATTTATACTGTACTGCATGGACATTGGCTTAATAAAGCAGACCATCAACAGGGCTAGCCGGTGCAACAAGGTTGACGCGGTCAGACTTTTTGCTTCATTTATGTTGAATTTACTTTTACTAAAGGGGCAGAGGTGCGTGGTGTTTTGAATTTCTAATGTTTGTCTAACCGGATAACTTTTTTTATTTTTCATAAATTTCATGTAAAATCAAAACTAGAGGATCTACGAGGTAACAAAGTTATATCCCTAATTTTGCATTAATTTGATTTATTGTTTTTGTACATTAGAAAATTTTAATAAAAAAATACTTTAAATCAGAAAAAGAAAAATTAGATTGACAAATGAATGCCGCAATTTATTCTAAAGGACAACGACGATCTTAGAGTCGTAAATGCACATGTTTTGTGGAACTCCCTGTACCTAGGATATCCTGTATGTTCTACTGGTATCCAGGGTTGGAACTCCTCCCAGGATATCATCTCCTTCTCCTGCACCATGTCCAGCACCTTGTCGAAGCACCGGTGGGGAGGACGCTCAAATATAAAAACCTAAAAACAAAAATCAGCAATTTAGATTTAAATTTTAACTTTTTGTAAGTAAGTTGTAAGTAAGTAATTATTTATTCATCAAATATAACAAAAACATACAAAATGAATTGTTTCAGGAGAAATTATAGATGTAAAAATGTAAAAAATAGAAATCAAAGGAAAGGGAAAGTTACATATTTATTGTTTACATTATATTAATATAAACTGGAGGTGGATTGCTAGTATTTTTCGACGATTAACAACTTTTAGAAATAAAAATGATAGATTCATTTGAAATGTTATAAAAAAAATTAAATAGGCTTTATGAGTTGTGAAAAAGATATTGTATATATTTAATTTGCGCTGATTTTTGACATCTTTTATGTTTGATGATATCTTTTACTCTTTTTAATCTTTTTAGTTTTTTCTTTGTAAAATTGTCTTTGGTTTCTTCGATTCTTTTGCAAACATAGCATGTGTTAGAATTTAAACATTTGTTCTGCTGATAAAATCTTCAATTAAATTCTGTTTAAAATTCCAAATGAGATTGATATTTGAAAGCTTAGAAAAGTGCCGCGATGGTCTAGAAGTGCAAAACTTTGTATATTTACAATTCGCGAGGCCGCATAATTTGAAGACAATATATGCATAGTATACTCATTGACGACATCATAGTTTTGCTTAAGAACATCTATGTTTATAGTGTCTGAGAAAATATAGGATTTGCAATTGTTGTTATTGCAAATTTCAAAACATGATAATAACTCGTTCAAAAATGGTTCAAAATGATTTGATGAATTATTGATACTGAAATATTTGTTAGTTCTGTAATATGATCCAATTAAAGCTGAGACGTATTTCTATTGCAATCAACTCAAAAGTGAAAGTATTTTGTCTAACTAAGCCAGGTATCAATTTTTGATTCAAATTCAAGTCTTTTTTACAATGTTAAAAAAATTTGGTATTATCAGAATAAAGATTCATATGAAGAGGATTCAAATTTCAACTCTGTAGCGTACATAAACTCCATTATTTAGCTTAGAATAAAACTGTTTAGCTCAATTTTACAGTTTTTATGATTATGATTTATTTTATTTTGAATACGGATTCGGATCCAGGATCCGCCCAGAAAAAAAATGGATCCAGGTCATGAACATAACTTTAGGATTTACAGATTTTTTTTTTACTAAGGAAGAATTTTTAATCCGTGGATCCGCATACTTTTGCGAATCCGGATCCAGAAGGCCAAAAGGATCCGGGCGGGTGTTTAGGCTTTAACTTCACGACAATATTAAAAAAATCAAAAATCCACAAACTTTTGAAAATGTGCGCAAATATTATTCTTCGTTTGAAAATATTTAATTGTAAAAATGTCTATTTATAAAACAGTTAATACTATTCGGTTCAGCGCGGCGTTAAAAAAAAAAATATTTTCTTTGAAAAAAAATAATTGTCGCAACTCTGAGCTAATACTTGCAAAGTACATATTTTAGTAAATATTTGTTATTTTATGCAATTAGTGTACAGTTCAAAGTCTTCGTTTTCAGGGCAAGCCTTCTATAATAAATTCTTTTTAAGTTCTTCTTTAAATAAATTATTTCTGTATGTTAAACTAAAAATAACATACGGTAAAATTGGATTCACCGACAAAGGGTCAAACGACACAGGGTCAAACGACACAGGGTCAAACGACACAGGGTCAAACGACAGAACAGGCTGGGGAGCCGAGCGCTGCGGCCACGGGTTAGGTTAATTAAGACACTTTCTGGCCCGAGCGCAGCGGCTAGGACAGGCTAGGGGGCCGAGCGCTATGGCCACATGGTCAATTATATCCATTTATTTATTATTATTTAGGGTTAGGTTAGGTTAAGACACTTTCTGGGCCGAGCGCTGCGGCTGGGACAGGCTAGGGGGCCGAGCGCTACGGCCACGGGTTAGGTTATTTGAGACAATTTCTGGGCCGAGTGCTGCGGCTAGGACAGGCTAGGGGGCCGAGCGCTGCGGCCACATGGTCAATTATATTGCCAACCCGACCATTATGGAAGCCAGAAACAGACTAAAGTTTTAAACCTTCAAAAAAGTTTGGCGGATTTTTGTGATTAAAATTGCGAGTTTCCTATGATTCAAATCGAAAAATATTTTTATCATTTTGACCTTTTGTCGTTTGACCCTTTGTCGCACTTTTGACCCTTTGTCGTTTGACCCAGTGTCGTTTGACCCAGTGTCGTTTGACCCTGTGTCGTTTGACCCTTTGTCGTTTGACCCTGGGTCGTTTGACCCTTTGTCGGTGAATCTAAAATTGACTTGGAGTGTAGACATAATTTCAAGTGAACCCCCATTTTCAAAGTGACAAGTCCAATTCACAATGGTACCCATTAAACATATATCTAAGTAGCATTGACTTTTTTCTAAAAAAGAGTCAAATTTTGTTCATTTTCTTAAAGGCAATGTAACGCAATATTATGTGAGACTCTATTCAGACAGATTTCCGATTCACAGCAGTACACTTAAAATATTTCTCTGATCAGGAATGAATGTGACATCCATGATTTTTTTTTATAGGAGTCTGAAACTGTTTATGTTGAGCTTACAACTGTTTATTGTGACCTTTCAACTGTCTATTGTGACCTTTCAACTGTCTATTGTGACCTTTCAACTGTCTATTGTGAACAATCAACTTTCTATTGCATGTGACCTTTCAACTGTCTATTGTGAGCTATATCAACTGTCTATTGTGAACAATCAACTGTCTATTGTGAGCTTTCAACTGTCTATTGTGAACAATCAACTGTCTATTGTGAACAATCAACTGTCTATTGTAAGCTTTCAACTGTCTATTGTGAGCTTTCAAATGTCTATTGTGACCTTTCAACTGTTTATTGTGAGCTTTCAACTGTCTATTGTGAACAATTAACAGTCTATTGTGAGCTATCAACTGTCTATTGTGAACAATCAACAGTCTATTGTGAGCTTTCAACTGTCTATTGTGAACAATAAACTGTCTATTGTGAGCTTTCAACTGTCTATTGTGAGCTTTCAACTGTCTATTGTGAACAATCAACTATCTATTTTGAGCTTTCAACTGTCTATTGTGAACAATCAACAGTCTATTGTGAGCTTTCAACTGTCTTTTGTGAACAATAAACTGTCTATTGTGAGCTTTCAACTGTCTATTGTGAGCAATCAACTGTCTATTGTGAGCTTATCATGTGTTTATTGTGAGCTATATCAACTGTCTATTGTGAGCTATATCGTGTGTCTATTGTGAGCTTTATAAACTGTTTATTTTGAGCTATATCAATTGTCTATTGTGAGCTATATCAATTGTCTATTGTGAGCTATATCAAATGCATATTGTGAGATATATTAACTGTCTATTGTGAGCTATCTACTGTATATTGTGAGCTATTATCAACTGTCTATTGTGAGTTATATCAACTATATATTGTGAGCTATATCAACTGTCTATTGTGAGCTTTATCGTTTGTATATTGTGAGCTAGCAACTGTTTATTGTAAGCTAATCAAGTGTTATTGTAAACTTCAATTGTTTATTAAGTCAATTATCAACTGTCTAATATAAGCTATCAACTGTTTATGTGACCTATCAACCGTCTATTGTTATATATCAACTGTCTATTGTGAGCTATATCAGCTGTCTATTGTGAGCTATCAACTGTCTATTATGAGTTGTCAACTGTCTATTATAAGAGCTTATCAACTGTAAAATTCTAACCTGTGTATAGAAGTTTATACCACAAAGAAATGTTGTATAGAAGACAAGTACATAGCAGAGAAATTTCTGATAGAGTCCAAACCCTCCAACCTTCTCCAGTACTTTATCGTACTCCATTCTAGAATATAATATACTATATATTACACCCCCTCCAACCTTCTCCAGTACTTTATCGTACTCCAGTTTAGAGTATAATGGCTTAAACACAGGGTTACCCACAAAGAATGATACTGTATAAAGACAATCCCAAGTACAAATAAGTCTTTTACCTTGAATGTGATTTTTAAATGGTTTATCTATTGATTTGGCAAAAATATTATAAATCTAACTGTACTCCTTTCTAGGTTTATAAATCTAACTGTACGCCTTTCTAGTTTTATAAATCTAACTGTACTCCTTTCTAGGTTTATAAATCTAACTGTACTCCTTTCTAGGTTTACAAATCTAACTGTACTCCTTTCTAGGTTTATAAATCTAACTGTACTCCTTTCTAGGTATACAAATCTAACTGTACTCCTTTCTAGGTTTATAAATCTAAATGTTACTGTGTGCAGTTTCAATGTTCGTCCAGTACTAAATTATTAAAGTTTTTAAAAATAGAAAATCGATCAAAACACAGAATACGCCATCTTAATTCTTTGTCATACAGTTAGTTCCGAAAAAAAGCTTCATCTTCAGCTTCATAGTCTAGACAAACTATTCTATATGCTAGACAAACTATTCTATATGCTAGACAAACTATTCTATATGCTAGACAAACTATACTTTATTCTAGACAAACTATACTCTATTCTAACAAACTATACTCTATTCTAGACAAACTATACTCTATTCTAGACAAACTATTCTATATGCTAGACAAACTATTCTATATGCTAAACAAACTATTCTATATTCTAGACAAACTATACTCTATTCTAGACAAGCTATTCTATATGCTAGACAAACTATTCTATATGCTAGACAAACTATACTTTATTCTAGACAAACTATACTCTATTCTAGGCAAACTATACTCTGTTCTAGACAAACTATACTCTATTCTAGACAAACTATACTCTACTCTAGACAAACTATTCTATATGCTAGACAAACTATTCTATATGCTAGACAAACTGTTCTATATGCTAGACAAACTATACTCTGTGCTAGACAAACTATTCTATATGCTAGACAAACTATTCTATATGTTAGACAAACTATTCTATATGCTAGACAAACTGTACTCTGCGCTAGACAAACTATACTCTATGCTAGACAACTATAATCTAAGCTAGACAAACTAAACATTTTATAAACAAAACATTTAATGAATAAACACATTTTTTAGGTTAGACATTTCACAGATAGGAAATTTCATAGATTAGAGAAAGGGTCGATAATATCTGTGAAAAAATGTGTTTGCTTACGAAAAAAATTCTTTGAAATATATTTCTTGAAGGCCCTAAAACCAAAAGCTTAAGTCATAAACTCTAATTTCAATTCATAAATTTATCTAATATCATAGATCTGTGATTTCAAACGATAAATTCTGCTAAATCTATTATTTATTTACCAAAGTTTGAAATACCAAAGGTTTAACCATCAGGTTGCAGAGAAATATAAATTAGAATATTACAGTTTGTAACAAGTGCTCAGTTACTTTTCAATTTCAATATTTACTAAAATATTTCTGTACAAGTTTGTAACGTACTTCGTACAAGAGTAAATGGTGCGCAAGGTACAATGGAACTAACCTGTATATGTAAAAAGACAAAAAGTGATGATATTGTGAAAAATCACAATTTAGCTGTACTTACAGACATTGGCTTGTTTAACTGTTGTGTATACTAAAGCTTAAAAGGCACTGACTCTAGTTTAAATCTTATCATTTATCATTTCACTAAGAGCTGGAAGGATACGACAAGGGGGGGGGCATCTTATGACACAAAATAATGAACATTAAGATGCATGATCTAATAAAACTTGGGTTGTTTAATAAACAAAAATGTAATCTTGTCTTTTGAAAACAATTTGGAGGATAAAATACTGTCACGTGTATAAACATGTTGTTACCAGGAATATGAGCCAATATTTGAAATTATATAATAGAAGAATCACGTGTATTAAAGAGTGCACTACATATCCACAAAACTGAAAATTTTGTCAAGTTACCACGGTTAAATGAATTCTTTTTTTTTTGTTAACAGAACTTGCATTTTTATACTTTTCATTTTATTTATCATTTGTTTCAAACCTAACAATGTTTTTAAAACAATTGCAAATCCCTTGATTTCTCTTGTCTACCAGTTCAAAACCTCGTAAGTCTAGGTTCTAAAGTTTATTTTTTGTTAATAATTTGGAAATATGTAAGTGTTGGTTATTGACAAAAATATTTAGAAAATTGTGTAAAGAATCCTCTTGCCAATATAAATTATTTCAACCAACCCTGTTTTGCTCACAATTTGCAATTGATATTTGCCAGAATATTCTGCAGATACAAACAGAGAACCATTAAAGTCTAAAATATCCATAATTTTCCAAATAGCGTACAACTTCTGTATACAAACAATCAGACAAATCACTATGGTTCTTCATAATTTAATTAGAACGTAATATAAAGTATGCATACAGACATCGAATGAATTATCCTCTCATTCTGAAATTAATAGTAAACTAATTAGTAAACTAATCTGGCTCTTCTTGTCTCTGGAATTCTCCTTCCTCCTAATCATACCAAGGTTTAGTATAATCGGTCTCTTCTTGTCTCTGGAATTCTCCTTCCTCCTAATCATCTCAAGGTTTAGTATAATCGGTCTCTTCTTGTCCCTGGAATTCTCCTTCCTCCTAATCATATCAAGGTTTAGTATAATCGGTCTCTTCTTGTCTCTGGAATTCTCCTTCCTCCTAATCATCTCAAGGTTTAGTATAATCGTTCTCTTCTTGTCTCTGGAATTCTCCTGCCTCCTAATCATCTCAAGGTTTAGTATAATCAGTCTCTTCTCTTGTCTCTGGAATTCTCCTTCCTCCTAATCATCTCAAGGTTTAGTATAATCGGTCTCATCTTGTCTCTGGAATTCTCCTGCCTCCTAATCATCTCAAGGTTTAGTATAATCAGTCTCTTCTCTTGTCTCTGGAATTCTCCTTCCTCCTAATCATTTCAAGGTTTAGTATAATCGTTCTCTTCTTGTCTCTGGAATTCTACTATTGTCTAATGATTTCAAGGTTTAGTATAATCGGTCTCTTCTCTTGTCTCTAGAATTTTCCTTCCACCTAATCATTTCAAAGTTTAGGTTAATCGTTCTCTTCTCTTGTCTCTGGAATTCTCCTTCCTCCTAATCATTTCAAGGTTTAGTTTAATCGGTCTCTTCTCTTGTCTCTGGAATTCTCCTTCCTCCTAATCATTTCAAAGTTTAGGTTAATCGGTCTCTTCTTGTCTCTGGAATTCTCTTCCCACCTAATCATCTCAAGGTTTATTATAATCGATCTCTTCTTGTCTCTGGAATTCTTTTCCCACCTAATTATCTCAAGGTTTAGTATAATCGGTCTTTTCTTGTCTCTGGAATTCTCCTTCCACCTAATCATCTCAAGGTTTAGTATAATCAGTCTCTTTTCTTGTCTCTGGAATTCTCCTATTGTCTAATGATTTCAAGGTCTAGTTTAATCGGTCTCTTCTTGTCTCTGGAATTCTCCTATTGTCAAATGATTTCAAGGTCTAGTTTAATCGGTCTCATCTTGTCTCTGGAATTCTCCTATTGTCTAATGATTTCAAGGTCTAGTTTAATCGGTCTCATCTTGTCTCTGGAATTCTCCTTCCTCCTAATCATTTCAAGGTTTAGTTTAATCGGTCTCTTCTCTTGTCTCTGGAATTCTCCTATTGTCTAATGATTTCAAGGTCAACGTTACGTCAGCTGTAAATAGCCGGTGAAAAGATTTCAGAAGTTAGAAACAATCGGTTAAAATTGATTAATTAATTAATTAATTAAAATTGATTAATTAATTCTTTAAACTTTAACGACTTTTGATTATATGATACTTCAGGTCAATCATTGTAGGATTTGCCGTTGGTTTGCTGAAAGACATGTTTTATAAATCTAAGATCTCAGATGTTAAATTATTAAATGGTAACTAAAAATGTAAAATTCGTTATATATTGTTTGAGATACAAAGGCAAAGTTTTATTTTAAATCCAGAAATGATGTAATTTCTCCAACAGCTTAAGACCATAAGGCAGATATGTGTTTAAAAGTGGCAACGTTTCTTAATTCTAAAATTTGATTTCAATTTGCTTTTCATCAATATTCAAGATTTTGGTGATATTTATCATGAAGCACACTTTGATCATTCTAAAGATTAATTAATTTATAACCTAAACTTAATAACATTTTCATAAGTCCTTGCATTTCGTATTCTTGACACTTCCCTTATATAAACATATATCATTCTCTATGCATTTTTAATGTTAAAACAAGTCAATTTTGTTAAATTTTAACTTGAGAAAAAATATGGCTCAGAAAAATCTGAAATAAAAATGTTAAAAACCTGTTAGAACTGTACTGTGCACTGTGCAGCACTGTCTGCTTATCTGAACCTCAGCAACATTTTTCTCTTAAATGTTATTTTAATTGAATCCAGAATAAACTGGATTTAAAACATGAAAAAATGCGAAGAAATACTGCTGGGTGAACTAATCAAACTTAAAACTCAGCTCAAAATTATGTTTTTTAATTCTTTAATGTTTACAAAATTATTTGTCGTTGATTCAGAAGACACACGAAATAATCTTAATTATCTGATTTGAAAAGTGTATATTTGTTCTCCCTTTGTTCTCCCTTTGTTGTCTACTGGGTGTCTCTAAGACCCCAAAAGCTGCCATAATCCTCAATTCTAAAGCGATTTTAGTTTTTGTGGACCAAAAAAAAATATTTTTGATCTGATGTGACACAAACCAAGGGTGTAATGTAAGGAAAGTCAATTGCGGTTGTGTATACTCTGTGTACATATTGAAACCAGTTCTCTATGGGCGGAATTTGTAAACAATAATAGATGCATCAGTGTTCGTTTAGTATCCGAGGAGGTTAAAAGCATTAAATTTTGATATTTTTGATAATTCACATAATAGTTTCCCATGACCAGAATATTTCATTGATTTTTTATGTGAAAGATGGATCCCATGTCAGACTTCGACATCCGTCTTGTGTTTACATTAGCGCCCAGAGACAGTACACTGCAGTACAAAAGATGCGAACATCTCTGAAATAACTTTCCTTGCATTACATCCTTGACACAAACACAATTTTTGTATCATAGTCATAGTAATTTTTTGCACGTTTTAAGTATAGGAAAATCATGGAAATCATATGATGCCATATTTTTTTTCGATTGATGCCAAAGCATCAATTCTAAACTAACTTTTGATGAATAAAGAATTAAAATGTTTGAGAAAAATTCAAATTTGATGAAAAAACTTTGTATCGTAGCTGAAATAATATTTTCAATTGAAGTTGTGAAAATCTTTTGATGTTAACACAAAGCAACACATTTTTAGAACAAATAATTTGTTGACACATCTTACAAATGTTTGTTTGTACCATTACTCAAGAAAAAATAACTGTAATGCATCAGAGGACTTCCTTGACACACCGGACAGCCTGTACAGTGTACTGTAAATTGTGCACTGTATACAGTGCACAATTTACAGTGTAAAGTGCACAGTTTTAATTATACACTGCACAATGTACATTGTACATTGCACAATGTACAGTGTACATTGCACAAAGTACAGTGTAAAGTGTACCATTTAAAGTGTACACTGTATAGCTAAATCATCATAACAAAGTGTCCTCTGAATAAACATACCGGCATAATGATACCACTTTTAAATCGTCATTGATTTTAAATATATTCAATAATTAATCTGAAAACACTTACACTGTTTAAAATCCGCATTCGATTAGAAATATGGATTTTCCTAAATGTAGTCTGTCTTATTTGTACCCTCAAAGTTAATTAATTGATTTATAAAAATATTGTGACATTTAATTTCAATACCTTGGTCGAGTTTTTTAAGATACAAATAAAATGGGACTCTCAGAAGTCAGAAGTCGTATGCTTTCATTTTTATGCATCTGGCGATTCAATTGTCCCCCTTTAATTCCCATTTGTTTTGAGACACCCTGTAGATATTTGTGTCAAGGATTGAGATGAGTTCATGGAACTAAATTTTATATATTTTAAACCCAGATTAATCCAGTATCAACTATTTTCTTATTACGACGTCGACACATACATTTCCTAAGAGATTTACGAATTACGACATCATATTATACGATGTAAAATAGTACAGAGAATTCCAATAAAAATGAAGTTTATTCTTGATTCTATAATACTATAATATCGGGATTGAAATCATAAATTTTGGATTTTCAGAATGTGGTATCAATCATGCCAATTTCTGATCCCATAATTCACGGCGAACTTAGATTCTGTTAAGATTAAATATAAATAAATATAATATTTTAGGAAGTTATTTTCGGATCATCTTGTTGATAAAGTGACGCCATACTTGAAATACTTAAGCTTGTTTACTAAATATTATATCAAATTACCCCAGATAATTGCTTAGAATTATTTGCATTATCTGGATGTATGGATCAAATACTCAAATACAGAAATTGTTTTAACTTTTTAGAACTTGTGAATAGCCATGCCTCTAATGCTTTTTTTTGTAAAAGGACAATCTATAGAGCAAAAATAAACTGGGACAAATGGCTAAATTGATTTTTTTCTCAAAAAATTCCAAATTTTAAGATTAAATTCAGAAAAGTTTTTGTCTAAAATGAAAATCGGTCATCAAAACAAATACAAATACATTGTCTAAATTTGTGCCATGTATAGGGTTGTTAATCGTTTTTGTAAACGATCGTTAAACGATCGTTTTTTGTTTCGTTTTCAAAAACGATCGTTTCGTTTTCGGAAAAAACGATCGTTTTTAAAAACGACCCACTCGTTTTGAACTTTTAGAAAACGAATAGCGATCGTTTTTGAAAACGATCGTTTTTATTAAAACGATTTTCAACCGTTTTTTATACGACTGTTTTTAAAAAAAAACGATCGTTTTGAAAAAACGATCGTTTTTGAAAATTTTTTATTGACAATTATGTTAACGATCGTTAACGAAGGGTCGTCGTTAACGATTGTTAACGAAGGGTTGTCGTTAACGATCGTTAACGAAGCGACGAACTTTATCAAAACGGTCGTTTTTGGAAAAAAATTACATGCAACTTTATTGAATGTCGTTTTACATGAAGTTTAACAGTTGTGGGGGAGTTAAAACTCCTTGATATTGTCTTAAAAACTACTCAATGATAAGTAAAGATGCCCTTCAGATCGGTTTCCTCTCTTCGTTAACGATCGTTAACGAAGGGGTCGTCGTTAACGATCGTTAACGAAGGGTTGTCGTTAACGATCGTTAACGAAGGGTCGTCGTTAACGATCGTTAACGAAAGGTCGTCATTAACGATCGTTAACGAAGGTCCGTCGTTAACGATCGTTAACGAAACGACGAATTTTAAAAAACGATCGTTTTAAAAACGACCATTTTTAAAAAAACAAACTTTTAAAAAAAAACAACCGTTTTAAAAACGATCGTTTCGTTTTCGATTTTTCGTCGTCGTTTTCATAACGAAACGATCGTTTTTCTGAAAAATGAAAACGTTAACATCCCTAGCCATGTAAATATAAAATTGAAGATTATGGACAAATTAGATCAGTGAAATTTCTGCCCATGAATCTGAGAATCCCAAATGCCTGGGTATCTGGGAAATTTCCCAAATGCCTGGGTAGCTGTGAAATTTCTCAAGTACTCAGGCATTTGAGAAATATGCCTGGGTATCTGGGAAATTTCTCAAGTATCCAGGCATTTAAGAAATTTCCAAAATCTTAAAAATATACCACCCTCAAGTACCTGTAGGAATTTGGGGAATTTCCCAAATGCCTGGGTATCTGTGAAATTTCTCAAATATCCTGACATTTGAGAAACTTCCAAAATTCTAAAAATATACCACCCTATAGGAATTTGGGGAATTTCCCAAATGCCTGGGTTTTTCGGAAATTCCCCAAATATCATGTCATTTGAGAAATTTCCAAAATTTAAAAAATATACCACCCTCAAGTACCTATAGGAATTTGGGGAATTTCCCAAATACCTGGGTATCTGGGAAATTTCCCAAATGCCTATTTTAAAAAGAATGTAAATGATGGAACCAACATGTTGTAAAATAGTCCCTGTCAAATTCATAATTTGAATAGGAATTTAAACTTTTTTTTTACCAATAAACTCGAATTTTCCATGATAAACAATATGGAACATTTTAGCATTTTAACATTTTTTTATATCTAATCAATGTTGGTGATTATCTATTCTTTTTTGAGTGCTTACTAATATTTGAATAAATCCTTTTTAATATGTGTTTAATGAATCTGTAAAGTGATAACCAGAAAACTCTGAAATAGGAAGACGACTTTTGAAAGTTGAGTTCAGACAAACTAATTCAATAAACATTAGACATAGCAATTGTATACAGTGTAAATAGAGATGTTTGATACTTTCCCAAAGGCGTTTTTCCAAGGGTATTTACCCAAGTGGCAACTTCCCAAATGTGTAATTTCCCAAGCGTAAACTTTCCAAATGCACAGTTTCCCAATTGACAATTTCCCTAGTGGCAACTTCCCCATGAAGGAAAAGCGGCAACTTCCCAAATGTACATTTTCCAAAGTGGTAACTTTCCCATGAAGGAAATGCAGCAACTTCCCAAATGTACATTTTCAGTAATAATTTCCTTCCAAAATTTACTAAATTTTCTTTAAAACAAGTAATAGGCGCAGCGCTCGGCCCCCTAGCCCATCATAGCCGCAGCGCTCGTCCCCCATTGTAGCCTGCGGCGCCTCAGATGCCTAACCTAACCTTAAAAAAGTATGTAAAATATGCTAAAAATATTGAGACAAAAAAAGGGAACCATACTCTGATTCAGCTGACACCAGATACAGCATACTACTATAAGAGGAATAAGAGAGAATTCTCAACAACTCAATAATTGACTCAAATAGAGGAAATGTTGAAATGTCGTCTTGAATAAGAAATTTCTAAAATCTCTTAAGATCCTGAGAGCATATTCATTATACTCAGAGGAAAAGGAAAGGATCGAATATAATATGAGGAATATAAGAGTATTGGGGAGAACAATGATAAAAAAGAGAGGAAATATGACCGAAATATAAGAGTATTGGGGAGAATAATGATAAAAAAGAAAGGAAATATGACCGAAATATAAGAGTATTGGGGAGAATAATGATAAAAAAGGGAGGAAATATGACCGAAATATAAGAGTATTGGGGAGAATAATGATAAAAAAGAGAGGAAATATGACCGAAATATAAGAGTATTGGGGAGAATAATGATAAAAAAGAGAGGAAATATGACCGAAATATAAGAGTATTGGGGAGAATAATGATAAAAAAGAGAGGAAATATGACCGAAATATAAGAGTATTGGGGAGAATAATGATAAAAAAGAGAGGAAATATGACCGAAATATATGAGTATTGGGGAGAATAATGATAAAAAAGAGAGGAAATATGACCGAAATATTAGAGTATTGGGGAGAATGATGATAAAAAAGAGAGGAAATATGACCAAAATATAAGAGTAGTGGGGAGAATGATGATAAAAAAGGGAGGAAATATGACCGGAATATAAGAGTAGTGGGGAGAATAATGATAAAAAAGGGAGGAAATATGACCGGAATATAAGAGTAGTGGGGAGAATAATGATAAAAAAGGGAGGAAATATGACCGGAATAAGACAATTGTAATTATCTTTGTTCATATTACGTCAGAGCCCGCGATTTAAAATTTTCGGCTCGGGTTGAAATTCCTTAAACCCAGCTTTAAAACCCAAACCAAGACCCAACTCTGACAACAGCTTGTGTCATGTGATTGACAGCTTCGAGATCTTATGCTCGACAATGCGACAATTCCAACCACAAAAATCCGCCAAATACAATATTAAACCGGTGTAATGAACTCAACTCTGTAGAAAATAGGATGCAACTTAAATCCGAAAGCTAAAGCCGTAAATAAGGCCCAGTGACAGCTTAGACCTCAGTCGTATTTTCTTGATATTTTTAAATCGCCGGCTCAGGTCAAACTGAACTAAATTGCGTGTAAAATAGAAATATTTCATATTTTAAATGTTAACTCCTGTAATTGAAGAGCTATTGAGAACAAATGTTATTTTTTCTTCAAACCTTACACGAGTCCTTTTACTATTCTGAGACTGCTAATTTTACATCAAATTGACTTTTGGGATTACAAAGAAAACATACAAGACTAGAAATTCAAGGCGCTTCGCGCCCATCTTCTATTTAAATTGTGAACATGTTTTTTTGTTTACATTTTAAAACAAAGAAGACTAACTTTTGCGGATTTAAAAAAAATTCAGGATTTTCGAGAATTTAATTTTTTTTTACAAAATTAAAAACCTTTAAAACACATTTTTTAAAATTTTTATCGTTCATAAACCTTCTCTGTGGTCATGTGATGTCCCACAAAAAAATACAAACAAACAGACAAGCCAAATTTATATATAGATGTTGAAATCTTCCAGCTGAAACACGATGCTCAAAATTCAACTGCTGTGTAGTCATAACGGGTAAACTCTGAGATTAATCAGTATATTTCTCATATTTAATTTCAATCTCAATTCTTTTATAATTCTCAAATATATTTAACAAAACATATTTTATCTAATATATCACATAGTCCAGATACCAACCGAAACAATACACGTTTTTAATTTTAGAAAAAGAAAACTTGGTCGGATTCCTAACAACAAGTTTAATAAATACTACACAGTATAATTACGGTGGTTCTAAATGGAATTATCAGAGACCTTTCAGATAGAGCAGGGCATCGTTTTTATTTATGAAGGATTCCAAACAAAATAATATCGAAAACAGAACAAAATAATATCTAAAACAGAACGTTATGATTTAAAAAAAAAATAAGATCTCTCACTATTTTGTTATGTTAAGCATCGTTTACGGACAGAATTTTTCGCTGTGATCATTATCGATTTTTTACCAAAATATTTCTTTAAGATCGAACGAAACCAACGAGCGAACATGATCGTTAACAGTGCCCGGCTCTATCTTGTAAGAACTTGGATAATAATAAATATTGGAGTAAAATCCTCCATGAAATATTTGTAGAAAAGTTAAACGAGTATTTACAAAAGAATAGAATAGAGATAGATAAGAAAGGAAGGTACAAATTTTTTCTTCGGCAAAAAATATTAAGTTATATCCGAGTGGGTGGGTGGGATTGCACAATCCAGTGCTTAAAATCCGGGATCCTTTGCATATTTGCTCCGCAAAAATGTGCGGATCCATGGATCACAAAAATGAACAACAAAAAAGTTATGCTCTTAAAACGCAAATATTTAGTGTTGGATCCCTTTCAGAAGATTGGATCCAGGATTCGGATCCTCGTGGATCCTGAACACTGACACAAACTAAGAAAAAGCAACACCCTGTGAATATCTGAGATCCAGGTGACGTGTAAAAACTATAATTGGTGTTGAGATCAAAATAGATTTTGTATAACATGTTGAAAGCTCGGCTACAAGCTACTAAAATAATATATATCATTATATTATCTTATATCACCCATATTAAGAGGTTCACGTGTACTTGTCTTGTAAACAAAAGACAACTTGGTACATAAAGGCACTTTTCGTGTCTCTGTTTTGATTTCCTTTGAATTAATTGTTTCTCTGTGTAAATATCTTCTATAAAGAGGTCGGTTTCATCGAAAGGTTTAACGGTGCATCTGAAAAAAAGAAATATCAATTAAAGGCTTTTTAGAGCAAAACTCTAACTATTCAGTGAGCACCAGAAAACTATGGAATAGTAAGACGACATGAATGCAACACTAAAGTGTATTTGATGTAAAAAAAATTAGTTTTACTAGTATTACTTAATCACTTATTATGCGAAATTAGTCAGTATATACTGAACAATTGATGTGTATCAGGAAGGAAGGAATAGAAGAGAGATATAACTGACGCGGTTCGCCCTCCTATATGATTGATTATACATGCTTTGCAGACGGGTACTATATTTGAATAAGAAATATTTGTCTGATGTACAACTACCGCGTATGCAATAACCTATTCAGAATATTTCTTATACAAATGGAGTACCCGTCTGCAAAGCATGTATAATCATATAGTAGGGCGAACCGCGTCAGTTATATCTCCCTTCTATTCCTTACTCCCTGATGTGTATCATTGGACTTTAACAAGTCAAACCTTGAGTCAAAAAGTCGTCTTACTATTCAAGAGTTTTCTGGTTCTCACTTTATAAATACAACAATCGTTTCGAAAGAATTTGATAAGATGAGTTTTGAATTTTGAATTTAAAAGATCTCTCACCGTCGACTGAATGTGACTGGACGGATTGGAAGTGTAAGGTTTCAGGTTGTTTATGCGCATCCTGAATCTTCTCTGTGTTGACCGGTACAGGGCGGGGCGCGCTGACTGGATGCGGCGGAATACTCGCCGTTGGGGCGTACACAGAGGTTTGCGGCATGGATGTGATCGGTGGCGGATAGTTCGGAGATGTAAGGGTTCGGGTAGGAGTGGGTGTCTCACGCTGGCTAGAGATAGAGTTAGGTGGTGTAGGGGTTGCTACCGGCGGAGTCCACACAGTCGGGGCGGGTGTTGGTGGCGTATAGGCGGTAGAGGCGGCGAGGTATGGATTGAAAGACTGATACAGGTTGAATGGATAGGGAACTCCGCCAGTGAAGGGCGATCCGCCTGAGAGGGCGGCAAGGTGGGCAGGGGAGGCTGATAGCGCAGCTAAATGAGCAGGTGAGGCTTGAGATAGAGCAGCTAAATGTGCAAGACGAGGATCTAGCAGCGCCTGCTGTGCTAGTAGAGGATGATGTGGATACATAAAGGGATATCCTAAATGCTGGGGAGGCGGAGTCCGGGCAGGAGTAGGTGAAGGACGGTTGGGAGTAGGTGTGGCCAGCATATGACCTCGGCTGGGTGAGCCTGGAGTAGGCTGGGACCGAGGGACCGGATGAAAAGTACCGGACTCCCGCCTTAAGACCAACCTGGACGGACTAGAGGGGGCCTGGGACCCTGAGATCAAACTATCAATAGAGAAAGAGGAGAAGGGAGCTTTAGTCCCTGGACGGGAAGGTGGTTGTGGTGAACCTGGTCCTCGGTACGGAGAACTACGGTCTCCAGTGCTCCCTAGTGAGTCTGTACTAAGGCGATGTTCGGTGCTGAGTCGACGGTTTTTGGCGGGGGAACCACCACCGTTTTCAAATTCTCTGAGGTAGCGTTTACGGGGCGAGACAAAGCTCTGATCTCTTTCATGCTGAGCAGGGCCGATTTCCATCCGGATCCTAAATAATAACAAAAATAAATAAAAAACAATAGCTATGATAAAAAAAAACATAATAAAATAAAAATACAAATAAAAGCATTTAAACTACCTTGCCAGTTCGGGAGACATTAACGACGTAATCGCCGAAGCCTTGAGACGATGACCGCCGTCAGGTTCAGATTTAACCCGGGCAACCGTCGGCGTGATCGGTAAGGTTCTGACTGGAATGGATCTGGTCTCAGCCGTTACAGTTCTGGTTTCAGCTTTAACCTAGAGATTAAAATTCATAAAATTATCAATTTAAACTTAAATTAACATTGTGGCAGAAATAATAAATGTAACTTAACGATGTCACTTGACGCAAAAAATGCAAAGCGTAAATTACAATTCTGTCAATAAAACTGAAATTTCTTGGTTCTTTTCTTACATAGTTTTCTCTTCAATTTCATCCATGCCATTTTACTTTTTTTTTATCATATTTTGAACAGTTTTATTTTGTTTATATTTTCTATTGTTTTATTTATGTAACACTTACTATTTAAATTTTTATTTTTTATCTATTCTCCAATTTTTACAGATAATTAAAAAAATATAATAATTTAATTTATACCTTAGCTGAGTGTCTTGGTGGAGATGATATTGATGTTAGTGTGGAAGTACAGGTTTCTGTAACCATCTTCAGTTCAGACTTTATCCGCATACCCGGACTGCTGGGGTACTTGGGCCCTGGATGTGCCGGATATCCTTTCGGCAGAGGGCTACTCCTGGGCCCAGACGGGCTCCCTGGATTACTTGGCGGATTTTTCACCAAGTTCTGAAGATCTGTTCGACCTGACCGCCAGGCACTAATTGGAACGTGTACGAGAGATTTGCGAGTTATGATTTTCGCAATTACGGTTTCCAGTCGCGCGTTTCTAGCACTCGCAGGTTGGGGCACAACCACACGTTTTTTCGGTTTAGGCACAGCTGACTGACATTCCATTTTTAGGATGAACATACCGATTTTAATGTCTGATTCAGGTTGTCGACATTTTCGTCGAAAAGTTCTAATTTTTTTCCGATAGTTCCGGACCCCTTGAGGGGGTCTCATTGCAAACAAGAGATCTTGATGGGGATCGCACAGCCTCACTGGGGTAGATTTAACCCTATGTGGAGGGGAGGGTTGCCATGAAACAGGGCGAGGGGACGGGGTCCCCCAGGGAGAATGTGGCGGTATTGATGAATAGCTTCCACTCTCAATACTGCCATCGGAACCTAAAATAGAAAATAATAGAAATATTGTTGAATAATTACTTTTACGGGTTCTTCATAGTCAGAGTGTGCTTTTCTTAGCTAATTTAATGATATAATTTATTAACAACAGTTTAATCAAGTTAAATTTGATCTACACTTAATCTAGAAATAAACAAAGCTGTTTGAATTTTATACGATCTAAAACTAAATGAGCCAAGTATATATACTACTTTCACCCAACGCTGATCGCATTTTACCACTAATTAACCCAGATAGTTGGGTGTTCAATTACATTTGAAGAAAAAACTAAATAAACATGGTTACCTCCCATCTTAATGAAATCAATTAAATTAATAAAATCAAATAACAAATCAACCAACTGATGGCTGGTGCATTAAAAACTTTTAAAATCAAACCAAACAACACAGCCAATGTTATAGATAAAATATTTTATAAATTGTCAAGATTTTCATGCTCGTTCCACATAAACTTAATTTGGTCCTGACTCTATCCCTCAGATTTCAGTATTTTTGTCGAACAAAGGTGGTAAACGCACGACTGCTTGACATGGCTAGTAGGCCTACTTCAGCTGTAATTGTGGAGTTACACTTGGATGAAAATACCTTACACCCCTCTCTCTTCTCACTCCCCTCCTATACCTCACGCTTGTGTTTTCCTATATTACTGTAACATAAAAATCCAACATTCTAATTTATTTATCTTCATTTTTTACTTAGCATTCGATTTCCAAAGATCATAAATATTATTTTACCAAATAACAGCACAGATAATTTAATTTTATAGATTCACTCATCATCAAATCGGAAGTTAAGGATCCCAGGATTAGAAATACTCATGTATCCGGTGTCATGACTGCCAAGATCTTTTGAGCAGATTTCCTTCCCATTTTCCCGTGCTCCCTCGGCCTGGTTTGGGTAACAGATCATGAGAAATGCATTCCGAGAGCGTGGTAAATTTTCCCACCACAAACAGGTGGATTTCAAGCGCTTCCGGCGCGCGCGCACACAACGCTCTGCCAAGCGCAACACTTGCAGCTGCTGGGGCAATGCCTTCAGGCAATTAAAGTCCGAGACTGGAACATGACAAAAATTAGACCGTAACAGTGGATATGTGTAGGCAAACCTTCCTCGTATTGTATACCCCTTTAACCTTCCCTAATATAAGGTTTTACCTTGGTTAATAGAAGGGTAAACTTATCTAGGTACCATTCCATAAATATCAATTTTTAGATTCCTTCTTCTCTTCTTCTTCTAGAAGATGTTATTCTACAGTTGTAAACCTTCCCCCTCCCCCTTCTTCTAGAAGATGGTATTGTTGAAGATGGTATTCTTGAAGATGGCATTCTAGAATGGTATTCTAGAAGATGGTATTCTAGAAGATGGTATTCTAGAATGGTATTCAAGAAGATGGTATTCTAGAATGGTTTTCAAGAATGGTTTTCTAGAAGATGGTATTCTGGAAGAGACTATTCTAGAATTGTATTCTAAAGGATGGTATTGTAGAATGGTATTCTAGTATATGGTGTTCTAGAATGGTATTCTAGTAGATGGTGTTCTAGAAAATGGTATTCTAGAAGGTATCATTTTAGAAGATGGTATTCTATAATTGTATTCTCGTAGATGGTATTCTAGAAGATGGTATTCTATAATTGTATTCTAGGAGATGGTATTCCAGAAGATTCTAGAAGATGGTATTCTAGAAGATTTTAGAAGATGGTATTCTAGAAGATTTTAGAAGATGGTATTCTAGAAGATTTTAGAAGATGGTATTCTAGAAGATTCTAGAAGATGGGATTTTAGAATGGTATCTATTATCTATTTGTATACTTTTCACTGTCAATGTATTCTCGCTTTACAAAAGAAACAATTTAGACAAAATAATAAAATAATTCAAACAAAAACCTCAAAAATATATATATGGGGGAAAAATTGCACATTCCCATTGGTAAAAAATTGGAAACCAAAGGGAAAATTGTCTCACTTTGTAAAAATTCAATTATTTTCCTCTAAAAAGCATTTATTAACTATAATTTAGCCAAGTTACAAATTTAACAAGGTGGACTTAAACAAGTCTAATATTAAAATCTGGCATTTTCTCGTGCACAAAATTGGAAGGATCTTAAATATTTATACATTTTTTAAATAAAAACTTTAATAAAAAAAAACCATGTTAATTTGTGGAAACATTAATTGAAGAACAGTATTCCCATGTTAAGATAATAAGATAAGCTTTTCCTACTTTTTATATCTGGATTTTCTGGTTCTGATTTAATGAATAGATTTTAGACCCAACAGAGCTTGAAACATCAAAATGTGGGAATTGTTTTTGTTCCATTTTGAAATTTTGTATCGCTGGCAGTGCATGACCAAAGATGGATCTCTAAGAAGAGAGGGGGGGGGGTCTTTACATTCATATTTTTTCTTTAAAAATCTAGTTTTTAAAAATATGATTGCCCTTTGTTGTGAAAGGTCTCCGATTTCTCTGATTTTAGTAAATCTTATCATAGATGTATTTCAAACAAAACTACAATGACTTGGGTATTTATAGATTAATCTAATATTATGACGTTGATGAATTCTAAGAATCAATGCTTAAATGACTTGTTAGGATCCTTCACTGAAACTATAAATACCAAGAAGGACGAGAGAAGGGGGGGGGGGGGGGCTCGGATTAGCGATTGGATGATATGTTAAATTCATATGTTTTCAGGATATATAATCTCTCAACAAAATACAACTTGATGAAAACAGGCTCTCTCGCAATCTCCTCATTAAATACACAGTACACCCTCCCCCCTCCCCCGAGTCCAACTAGAACTGAACTAAAGCTGCAGGGGGTTTATTTAACCCTACCCTTCACTTGAATTGAGTGCAAGGATCCCCCCTGCTTCAAGTATTCACCTGGGTGCTTATCATCATAATTCATGAACCCTGTGAGAAAATTGAAGACGATTTTCCCTGCTCCCACCTGCCCCCGGTGAGAATTGTGTGCGGCAATGTCACGCTCTAACTACCAGTTCAGGTTTACCATTACAACCAAACCAAAATTTAGATTTTAAGGGGGATGGGGGGATATTTATTTGGCTTCGTTTAATCATTTTTTATCGACAAGTACTCTCGAAGTCGAATTGCTACAAAGTGTGTTGATATTTTTTGCTTATTGTCCTTGATGACCTTTTTTCAAGATTAGTAATTTGACAACAAGGATCTTACTTTCCAAAAACTTGTTAAAATTTCTAAAAAATTATGTTTTATCAGAGAAATAAGCAGTGGAATGAATAACTAAGAAACAACCATTTCTTTACTTTTGAAAACCCTGTAATTGAAAAAGGAATGTTATGAAACGGGATGTTCGTAGAAAGAGCTGGGGGNGGATAATGGTTTGAACCTACAACCTCTTGAGAATTTGTGTACACATTGATAAACAGTAGGAGGCACTACTAGAAATTAGATAAGATTGAGGAGCAGGGTTAGATAGATAGGTAGAAATATAGGTATATATCTAGATGGTATCCAGAAGCAGGGTTAGATAGCACTGCAAACTAGACAGAAGGAAAAGGTAAAATTTATGCGACATCACTGAAACAACTTTGTGTCCTCGTAGCTCCTCTAGTTTTGACGTTACGAACAAGTATGAGAAAAGCAAAAAGAAATATCTGAGTCTGAATTTAAAGAATTTGAGCCGCGGCTTAAATTTAAGCCGCAGCTCAAATATGGTTAGTTCCACTTAAAATTGTATTCAATTTTTCAAGATTTAAGCCGGCGCTTAATTGAAACCGGGTTTTAGCAGATTTAAGCCGCGGCCCAAATTTATTAAATTCGGACACTGGTTACGTTTTAGAAATTCAAAACATTTTTGTTCTTCTCACTAGCTCTTTAATGCTATGAGATATGATTCAATGCATGATAAATTTCAATTTTACGTGTTTACTTTAGCATGATGGAAAATGGACTCTAGGAGCCATGAGGCAAGAAAAATACGTGAAAAAGAATAACGGTTATTGGTTATAGGAATAAATAGGAAACTGTTGGATAAGAACTAGAGAGACACACTTGAAGATAAAATTTGTTTGAGGATAGATTGTTAACAGATAAGATAGAACACAATACCATGGGCTAAGAAACATAAAGGACCAAACAATCTAGAAAGTTTGCCACAAAAACAGATAAACTTAAAAATACCAAAATGCAACTGAATTGGCAATGCTATTAAAATTATCATATGGAAGGAAAATTAAGCTAACGGTAAATAAAACCAATATAGATTACACATCTCAATCTCTTATCATCTATATCAATTGCCAACAAAAGTGAAAAACAAAACAAAAAACACAAAGGGGAAAAGGAAAACAAAAAATAAGTTTAACTAGAGAGGAAAAGGAATTTGATGAATGGGTTTATATATCTTTGGACCTAGAACAGAACCTTACTGGGAAACCAACAAGAATTATTCCCATACTTTCCATCTCCCATGGCCGGGTCACAGGGGAGGGATGTTACACTAAAAACTTCGCAGGAGGAGAATTTTATAAAAGAATCATAGAATTTTTAATCCTACTGCTTCAATTCAATTCAGATACCTAATCGTGGTTTAAAAAGGGTGTCAACAAAAATAAATTTTTTTTTTTAAATTACCTGTAACTGTATGATTGGAAGCATTACTATCAAGTCTAGATGTGAGGGGGGCAGGGCCTGGAAGGGGGGTGGGACCAGGGGGCCAGTAAACCTTTTTACTTCCTAAAACATTCACTTTCATTAATCTAGACAGTAGATACAAACTGAAACCATTTTCAAACTAATATTTTTAGAATTTTGTGTGTGATATTCTTGTATGGTGAGAAGAATTACTGACGTGGAATAAATAAAGATAGCTTCAATTAATAAATTGGCACATCCCACATTGCTTGAATATCTGAACAGTCCCTTTACATTTCATGGAAAATACTGACCTGTTGGGACCCAGCTGACCTTCTCCCCGTCGGATACGCATCTATGGGTCAGCTCAAGCAGCACTCGACCCTCTGCACAATAATAACTATTATTTCACAAATATTTAAGTATCTTTTGTTTCCTATGTAAAAATTATTTCAAGAAATAACATTTTATTTTTAGTAGTGGTGGCAGGGAAGGGGGGACGTCACCCTCCCTGAAAAATTGGGGGCAAAACTAGTCCCTTCAATTTGATTTAAAAGAATTTATGTAGAATTTTTAGCATATTTTTTTTTAATTATTACCCCCCCTCCCCATCTCTTGAAAAATATGTTAAGCCGCCCCTCTCTTGATTAATTACCGATATTTTGTCCTTTCTACTAAATAAATGCATTCCTGATAAGTATAAGAGTTTTGTTTCATATTAGAAATATAAATAATAGAGATAAGAAGATTCTTCCTCGAATATTTACTCAGTTATATAATTTGTAACAAAATAATTGTAGTAAAACAGATAATACAAGATAATGCTACAGGGTGGGGTGGAAAAATAACAGAATTTAATATCTAGGGTCGTGTTTCAGATACACTAAAACAAATGTTATAGTAAATATGTGAAAAACTGCTATAAAGTATATTAACATTTTTTTGAATTTGCTATATTTTTACACTGATATTTTGTTACTAGAAAATGTTTGTAAGTTGTCTGTCTACAGAAGTATGTTTTCTGTCTACAGAAGTAAATTGTCTGTCTAAAGAAGTATGTTCTCTGTCTACAGAAGTAAGTTGTCTGTCTACAGAAGTTAAGTTGTCTGTCTACAGAAGTGAAGTTGTCTGTCTACAGAAGCAAAGTTGTCTGTCTAAAGAAGTATGTTATCTGTCTAAAGAAGTATGTTTTCTGTCTACAGAAGTAAGTTGTCTGTCTACAGAAGTAAGTTGTCTGTCTATAGAACTAAAGTTGTCCGTCTACAGAAGTATGTTTTCTGTCTACAGAAGTAAAGTTGGCTGTCTACAGAAGTAGGTTGTCTGTCTAAAGAAGTAAAGTTGTCTGTCTACAGAAGTAAAGTTTTCTGTCTAAAGAAGTAAAGTTTTCTGTCTAAAGAAGTAAAGTTGTTGGTCTACAGAAGTAAGTTGTCTGTAAACAGAAGTGAAGTTGTCTGTCTACAGAAGTAAGTTGTCTGTCTACAGAAGTAACGTTGTCTGTAAACAGAAGTAAAGTTGTCTGTCTACAGAAGTAAGTTGTCTGTCTACAGAAGTAAAGTTGTCTGTCTACAGAAGTAAAGTTGTCTGTCTACAGAAGTGAAGTTCCTGTCTACAGAAGTAAGTTTACAGTCTACAGAAGTAAAGTTGTCTGTCTACAGAAGTAAAGTTGTCTGTCTACAGAAGTAAAGTTGTCTGTCTACAGAAGTAAAGTTGTCTGTCTACAACAGTAAGTTTACTGTCTACAGAAATAAAGTTGTCTGTCTATAAAAAAAAACAGACGCCGACAATGTTTTGATAAAAAAGATGCTTCTCCAACGGATTTTCAGATTAGATTTAAGTTCAATCTTCAACATTATATACGGTTTAAACGTTGATTCAAATAAATAAAAATCGTTACACCCCCCCCCCATCCCATGAAGAAAGTTCCCATACTTAACTCCCAGTCTGAATGGCTAAACTGTTTCCCGAGACATATTTAAAATGTATCTATCTTGAATACAGTGTAATTTAGAGAACCTCAATTTCCAATCATTCCCCAAATCTAACCTTTCGCCAATTCGATCAAAACAACTATCATTGATAAAAATATGTTTCACCAAGATTTGCAATTTTTTTACTTAATTCTTCGTTTAGAGAAACTGTTAAGCTACTGCTACCCCCACCCCCCTTCCTCCCATTTGAGCTAAAAACTTAACAGTTTCTATACTCAGTCTCGAAAAACATGATATAGTGTTAGGAAATGGACAACATTGAAAGACACACACAGATATAACATTTTTCGACAAACACACACTATTTGATACGAACATACAATCACAATTATGTTCTTATCTCATTACAATTCACTTTTATCAAGAACTGATTATATGGATAGATAGACAGAAAAATAGATAGATAGATAGAAAAAGAGACGGATAGATAGGCAGACAAACAGATAGACAGTTCAAAAAAGAGACGGATAGATAGAAAAACAGATAAATAGATAGAACAAAAAGACGGGTAGATAGGCAGACAAACAGATAGATAGAAATAAAAAGAGACGGGTAGATAAACAGACAAACAATAAATACAAGCTAATTAACTAAATAATAAATTAAAACTTTTAACTTTTAACTTTTTAATAAAGGTTCATTTAATTTTCAATTGCAGGGGTAGAATAAGTAGAACCTAAGAAAATACCACCAAATCCCTCCCACAATCCTGCACTGTCTAAAGGAGTAAAGTTGTCTGTCTACAGAAGTAAAGTTGTCTGTCTACAGAAGTAAAGTTGTCTGTCTACAGAAGTAAATTGTCTATAAACAGAAGTAAAGTTGTCTGTCTACAGAAGTAATGTTGTCTGTCTACTTAATTGAAACCGGGTTTTAGCAGATTTAAGCCGACAATACTAACCATGTTGAACCCAGGCTCACCTTCTGACAACCAATATATATGGTTCGGTTGTAAAAATGACCAAGCTTAGGGAATAATTTAGAGTTGAAGTCCTTCATTCACCCTCAGTTTTTTTTAAACCCAATTTCAGAACCTTAAGAATTTAGAATAAAATTTTTAAAAATCATAAAATTAAAAAGATAAGCGACCATCTCTTAAAAAATTTCATCAAAACCAAAAGTTGGCTTTTAAAATCTAGAAATTGTTTATAGAATTGAGCAACCCCCCCCCCTCCCCTGCATTCTCCACTAAATTATGTAAATCTAATGTATTTAATATTTTGACTTAATTTGAAATCGCTGTGGGACCCTTAAGGGGGCCTTGACGGGCCATCCACCCGTTACAAGACAGGCAGGGGGTAGGAACAGAGAAAGGTTTAATAATATTTTTCATAAAATAAAAATGTTTAGAAATTCCAAGTTTATTGCAAACATATATTTTTGCATTTAACTCAAGTGTACAGAGAGAAACACATGACCGAATATTTAGAATTTAAATTTAGATTTTTCTACTAAAAGAGATAACTATTATCAGTTAACTAATCAACAGTATGTATGATTTCATCTTCATCTCCGAAATCAACACATGATTTATATGCTTCAGCTCACCATTCTCTGTGTAGTAAACGACAAAAGGATGTCAAGTTGCCATTGCATTATTTCAATGGAAAGCCTGTATCTCGTCTTGAACTACAAAAGAATAATTTTCAGCAGAGTCGCATACAAAAAGTACTTCTCCTTATACTAGATTTTCTTTTTTTCTTTTGTTTCTCTGTAGTGCTGGTAAGCTTACAGTGTTTTCATGAAAGTTGTCAAAAATTCTTCTGTATTTTGGACTACATTTTCCAGGTTGGCTCTGTCAGTGGACGTCCATTTCTTGTAAGATATTTCACCTTCAAGATTCTGGTGAAAGGCCTGCTCAAGCTGAAGCTGTAGTTGTTTAGTAATACCACATTGATCAAACTTACCCAGGATACAGTATATACTGGGTCGGTTACACTGTAAAAAAGCTTCTCAGTCTTGTGGAATTTTAAGATGTATGCCTTGTTCTTCTGTGTAATTGTTGATCTTGGCATCTTGAAACATCAAGTCCATGTTCTGGTGTGTAGTACACACACACACACTGAATGTGTACCTGCTAAACCTGACAACACACACTTTTGGTCTGCACTCAGCAAATTTACTAAACTACATTCAAATATCTCTCCTTAAAACTCTTAAGTTGAACACTATTAGGTGTTTCTGAATATGTTATAGCGTTCTCCATTGACAAGAACACTCACAACATCCTACTTCCCAACCATCATTCTAGAAATTCTTTTAATAAGGAAAACTTTTGAACCAATTCTATTACCCGTTTATCATCCAGTCGGGAACCTTATATCTTGAATTTTGTATCTGATAACACTCCTTTTTCTTAAACAAGCTTTCGAACTAAAATCTACCCTAGTAAAAATATATATCCTGCATATAATGTACATCATACAAAGAACAACCTGTAAAGTGGACATGTTTCTGCCTATTATGTCTTGTCTAGTTTGTTAATATTCTGTATGGCCTTGTTTGTGTTTATGTGTTTATGTCTTATGCTTGTATTTGTGTACGGGTGTGAATTAGTGTGTAAACTAAAATCAAGTATTATATGTTTGTATGCTGAAGTGTGGGTATGAGGGCTTGGAAGGGTAGCACAAGCCAATATAAACAAACCCAATCTGTCAACTGCCTAAATTTATCAACTACTGCCTGAATTGCTGACTGATTTGTAACCTAAATTTTTGGAGGCAATAGTTCTTATTTTTATCATCAATTAAATTAATATATTTTTTTAGCCTTCTCTTCTTTGCAATCCAAAATCTGTTAAGTGTTTTTGAAATTTTTTTATCCAAAAAATCTTTAAATTTTTAAGAAATTTTTACAAACTGGATGCGGATTCGTACTATTTTTTTCAGGATGGATCCAAGATCCGGATTTGTATCAAAATGAAATGAATTCCAGGACTGAATTCTAATCAGCAATCTATAATATGTTCAATCAAATTTGCAATCTGTAATCTAGTTAGGTAATCTACAATCATGTTTTCTGGCTTTTTAATCTGCATTTTATTATCTGTTTTATTAAACCTCCAATCTGTTTCCTATTTCAGTAATCTGCAATCATGTTTTCTAGCTTTTTAATCTGCATTTTTTATCTGTTTTATTAAACCTCCAATCTGTTTCCTAGTTCAGTAATCTTCAATCTGTTTTCTGGCTTCTTAATCTGCATTTTATTATCTGTTTTATTAAACCTACAATCTGTTTCCTAGTTCAGTAATCTGCAATCTGTTTTCTAGCTTCTTAATCTGCATTTTATTATCTGTATTATTGAACCTCCAATCTGTTTCATAGTTCAGTAATCTATAAGCTGTTTTCTGGCTTCTTAATCTGCATTTTATTATCTGTTTTATCAAACCTCCAATCTGTTTCCTAGTTCAGTAATCTATAAGCTGTTTTCTAGCAAAACCTGCAGTTTTTATCCATCGATCTATAATCATTTAACTACATCTGTCCATATCTATCTATCTATTTATCTGAACCGCTAACTATCTATCTATCTAGAATTGTATGAAAACGATGAATAAAGTTCCCAGAAATCTCCTAACAGATGCAGAATCAAAAGCGTTATATATTTATGGTTGGGGGAGAGGGGTACATGGGATTCTTAGGCATGGGATGTGAACAGAAGGTTACAATGAATACATGTTGACATTTGTATGGCTATGTAGATTTTGATTTAGAGATCTTTTTTCATGGATCATTTGGTTTTTGAGCTCTCTAGAAAATAAAATTATGCTTGAGTGGGGTTAATGGTGATATTTTAAAATCTTAATCCCAAAATTTTCTAAAAATGGGACAAAAAGCCAGATCAGAAATTTATAAAATGATATAAATGCGAGTTAATGGGATGAGGAAATGTACCAAGGGAGGGGTTTGAAATTGATGAAGAAAAAAGATGAAAGAATACAAGTCAGAAACAGATATCTGACAACCTAGATACTATCAGCTGGAGAACTAACAGATGAATATTTTACTAGCTACACATATACTTCTAGCTTTAGAACTAGAAGATAATAGATATCTGGCTACCTAGATACAACTAGCTGTATAACTAGAAGATAATAGATATCTGGCTATCTAGATACAACTAGCTGGAGAACTAGAAGATCATAGATATCTGGCTACATAGATACCACTAGCTGGATAACTAGAAGATAATAGATATCTGGCTACCTAGATACCACTAGCTGGATAACTAGAGGATAATAGATATCTGACTACCTAGATACAACTAGCTGGAGAACTTGAAGATAATAGATACTCGGCTACCTACCTAGATACCACTAGCTGAAGAACTAGAAGATAATAGATATCTGGCTGACAAGATACTACTAGCTGGAGAACTAGAAGATAATAGATATCTGGCTACCAAGATACTACTAGCTGTAGAACTAGATGATAATATATATCTGGCTACCTAGATAGGGTTGTATAAGGAAACGCGAGCTAGAAGGGTTCATGGATTATTATATTTAAAACTAGAGGAAAGGGGGGGGGGGTCCCCTTTGGGAACGAACAGCTGTCCTACCTCTAGTTACGGTTAGTATTGAAGTAAAGGTCGATACAACCTATACCCCCCCCCCCCTGTAGGAAACCAATTTAAAAATATAGATTGAGAAATCCTACACGAACTTCCGATCCAAGAATATTATTGAGGTTTACCAATAATATGTGATATTAAAAACATCCAGAATTTTTCTTCAAATCGTGATGGATCAAACTATTAAAATCCTAAAAGACTTTTCAGGTTTGAATTTTTTTTTAAAAACAAAATACCAAAAACTCGACAATTCATTTTCGTTTAACAATATTCTTCAAATCAAGTGTTGAAATTTTTTATTTTAATTCTAAAATATGACATTTTTAAAGCTTATTTTGATTGACATTTCATGAAATCCATCGAGTACGTTCAAAACATGTAAAAAAATATCCCACTATAACTGAAATCAAATGGTTAAACGAAGAGGAAAATATTACCTTTAAAAAATTTTAATCTTCCCCCATTGGGTGTTCTTGGACTAGAATTCATTTCGTTCTCTTGTTCTGTTTTCACCAAGGTTTCAACATTTAATTCCATTTTTATTTCAAAATTTTCTTTCTTCACGCTGGTGTCGAAGGAAAGGTCGACACCGTCGTCTACATTACGCTCAGTTTTAACTAGTGTCCGTTCTGTCTTAACGACCATTTTATCTGAGGATAATCCTGAAAATGTCGTCATTCAAAATATATAATAAAAGACAACTTTTATTTTTACATTAATTTTCAAAAATTAATCGTACTGGGTTTTCAAGAAAAGACATTTTTATAAAATCAAATTTTAGAAATAAGATTTTTTTGAAATGGCGACATTCCTATCAGCTGTTTTTGATTGAATGGCGATGATGAGGGAATAGGCGGTCCTCCGAATGGCGAAGACACGGGAGGGGGCGGACCCCCACCGCCTAGAGGGCGTGGCTGAAGAGTCTGCCCGCCCCCACTGTGTTGGGAAATCTGAGTGCTCATTGCACATTGCAGCTTCCTAATAAACCGACTCTATCCTAAAGAAAAAAATATTTCATAAATTAAAATGTATTTGAGTTTATCAAAAAATATGTACTTAAAAAATTGAAAGGACACAACATCACACAAATCAGCCGATAGCTATTTGAAACATAATAGTAAGGTTTATACAGTTAAAACATTAGAGGAAAAAATACGAGACCTAATCGTGTCGCCTATTACCAACTTGTTAGTTTGTTAAGTCTGCTAAATGTTTCAAGTCTTTTAATGAATAAATCTGACTTAGCTCTGTTTAATTTCATATTAGGATATTTAGTAAAACTGTAAGGAGTTAATATTAAAAACGAAAATTAGGAGGGGGGATTTGACCTTAGAAATTGAAAACTTAGGTACTGGTGAACAAATTACAAAGTTATGCAAAATGACATGTATTTTGTTTATGTCTATGCGGGACGCGGGTAAATATAAAGGTGTGGGTTTTAAGCAGAGCTAATATTTTTTATAACTATTCACCCCTTTTATATGAAAAAATCACGATTTTTTCATGGAAAATTAAAAGAACTGTCTTTGATGGTGAATGGAAATTTGATGATTAAGCTAAAATATTTTACTTACAAATAATATACAATATAAAGGAACTGAGTTCTTGCAACAAACTCCTGTTTTTAAATCTCCATATCATTGCAGCCTATTATTGTAGACCTTTGATATTAACTATGAATTCTGACAGACCAAGTAGTCTAAGTTTGACATATCAAAGGGGTCTATAAAGAAGACAATTAAAGTTTCACCCCATTCAAAAGTGGATTTCCAATACAAAAACTATTTTACTAAAACATTTATATTTTTTTAAAAATGTCATTGCCAACTTTATTGGCAATCTGTCCCTTTATTTCCATCCTAAGATATAGAGTTGAAATCTAAGTTAAAACCCAAATTGACTGAGATATCTTTACGGGAAACATAAAGTTACTCAATGAACAAGAATGCATCGGAGCATAAAACAAATAAATCTTGAAAAATCTGCGTTTAGGGAAATTCATTAGAAAAGAAGTATATTGGTTCTGATAATAAAACCTACGGGCGGAGCATCAATGTCACAAAAAGGTTGAAGAATGTGATTAAAATAGTGCTGAAGATTTAATGGTTTAAAGGCATGTTTCTTAAAAATTAATGGCCTAAGAGCCACCGACAAACTCAGGGCGTTTTCAAGATGTGTCATTAATACTAATATGTCAGTATCGAAAGAATATTTCCACCCACTTTTAAAATACCCCCCTACTTCATTTTTCATCGAATTCTATGAATAATTAGTAGAAATGCTTTATTTAAAAAACTGAAGAAAGTAATTTCTAAAAAGCGTGAATATTTCACATCGAGCGGGGGGGGGGCATATTTAATCGTCTGATAATTTGAGGAAAATGTAAAAACTGCATTTTTGTCCGGACTTTGAACTTAATCCCGGCAGGGGGGGGTAGCTTTGTTGGGGTAAAATCATTTTCTTAGATTTCAACTTCAACATGAAAAATCTTGTTTTCAATCATAACCCCAGGCCCAATAAATAGGTTTGTAAACAAATATTTGTATAGAAGAAGCAAAGAACAAAGGTACAAAAAAGGACCTCTTTTTGGATAAAATTTAATTGTTTTAAAGTTTTTACGATTTTTACTTTACTTTACGTATCAAAAATCGTGATACCGAACCTAATCTGTTAAAACTATCTTTAAATTAACAACATAAATTGGCGAAAATTTGTCATTTCCATGAAAATGATGAGAAAATCTGTCAAATTAAAAAACTGTTGGAATTGGGGAATCAAGCAAATATCCCTCCCCCTCATATTCCCCTATACGTGTTAAAGCGTGTTCGGAAGTAGAATAACACGGGCACATGCGCTTTTAGGAGGTAAAAATTATCTTACCTCTCATGCTACAATCCCTAATAACCAGGCGTTTTTTTACGCCGAAAATAAAACACATTGTGATAATTAATATTCCATTTTAAAAGTGCACATTTCTTCATTTTAATTAACCCCAAAATACATAAATTATTGTGGTACTACTTTTAGTTAACAAAACTGCGTAAATAATGAATACATTTTATGTTTTATTTAATTCTAATATAATAAATATTAAAAGTCGATGGCCTAGGTCTTCATGATGTTTTAATAGATAGGGCCTGTCCCAGAGAACGATTTTTGGACCCCCCCCCCCCTCCTATCAATTTTGTACATGACCTTTAACTTTAAGATATTTTGTATTATTTTAGGGTTAGGTTAAGACACTTTCTGGGCCGAGCGCTTGCGGCTAGCACAGGCTAGGGGGCCGAGCGCTGCGGCCACATGTCTTTCAAAGATCCATGTACAAAATTGATAGGAGGGGCGAGGGGTCCAAAAATGGTACTCTAGGAATATACCTATATCGTTTAAATAAGAATCGATCAAAAGTCTTTGTATCTCTGCAAACCGTATTTATGATTTAACAAATCGAACATAAAAAAGCAAGATAAATCAGATTAGATGATTAAAATTTATCATTGCTGACTAATTACATCGACTGCATTTAATATTGAAACTCTTCATCAGTTCTTAATTAATTATAGTTCAAGTATTTAGCAAATTAATCATTAAGAATCCAAATAAATAATAGATTTTTTAAATCAAAATTTACGTCAGAATTTTTAAAGGAAAAAAGATTTCTAAATCTTACCTGAATACTGTGAGTGGGTTGGTTTCACAGCGCACACAAGAGCACAGTTCAGATAACATCTTCAAAATGCGCTCTCTCTCCGGTCGCGCGCGTGCTTACATTAATTTCGCTCCTGGATTTATTTCTTGTGCACACTTTGGGTATTGTTGGGCGTGTGCCCAAAACTGGTTTTCACAAAACTCGCTTTACTCACGTTCACGTTAGTATAATCACTAAATTTGAATATCAGCTAAAACATGGACGGACTAATTGGTTTGTTTCTGAAATTGTATACTGACTGTCAGACCTATATTTCACTCTGTTGGCCGCCGGTACTCAAGACAGACTACTTCAGTTCAGAGAGCCGTTGGAATTAAAAGCAGCTGGTAAATTTCGGGCGTAGTAAGACGGGAGAAGGGGGCGGGGGGTTCAGTCTATTAAATTCTAAAATCTCAAGTTCAGAAAATTAAATAATATAGTCATTTTTAATTAAATAATAACTTTTCAATGTTGAAAAATTTTATGCATTTATTAGTTAATGATTATATTGGTGCTGTGATCAATGGATCGTCTCAAAAATATATCAGAATCAAAAACTTTTTAGCACCATTTGGGTCTTATAATTTGAGGATAATGAAATGCCCCTGATTTACAATTCCGACCTAGTCCGCTTTGGCCTTTTTGCCTGAACCAGCCGCCCCGGCCCGAGAAAATTATCGAACCGTGCCGTTACTTCCTTCGTATCTTGCAGCAATAGGGATTGTACCGTCACGAAAATCTCATTCCTCCTGGAACAATTTTTCTCTCCTGCTTGGAGGATTTAATGTCGGAACGGTACGGTTTCTCACGGCGGTACGCGCCATTTCACACGACAGGATAATTTTCTCAGCCATGGGTTGAAATTCACAGGGACTGGACTCCCTCCTCTTCTTCTTAGCTAATACACAGTCAACACCAACGGTCATGTCAGTCTTTCAACCAGTCAGANTATCTTGAGGGTAAAGCGGTCACCTGAAATCTAGATTATCTCACCTAACAGGCTAACCTCACTCCACTCACCTTCCTTCTTATTCGATAATTATATATTTTACAAACATATAATTTACAATTTACGACAGGATTCGACAATCCATATTTGAGACAGTTGCAATATCTATTGGAAACTTGACGTATTGAAGAGGGGTCAGCTTGCCCTCCTTTAATAATTGTGCGAAATACTTTATTCTTTAAAGGCACATAATTAATCCAAATTATCCTGAAAGTGTCATTTTATATCTTCAAATGAATAATTCTAACCAATTTTTTTTTTTTCAAATTATTGTTTTATTTTTATACTGGAGAGAGTAAAAGACTTTTTTTTTCAAAAATAAATTATTCAGCTAGTTAAATCAAGATAAAAACAAAAAACATCAAGGTCCAAACTTTACTTATAACTTTTTAAATATTTATTGCTCGATATTAAAAATCATTGAATACAATTATAAAATAAGAAAAAGTTGTTAAATGCTAGAAGGAAAAATAAAAATTCAAAAAACAAAAATGTAATTTTCTATCTAGCATTTAAAACCGTCTAAAATGAAAAAGCAAGAAATCAAAATTAATCAAGTTTGAAGTTCCACAATGCACAAATAGAACCATCAGATTTCAAGACAAGAAATGCCTCTCGACTTTTTCTTACAAAAAGTATTAACTTGTCCACTGAGTTAAAATTTAAAGTTTTAGAAAATGTATAACCTAGATAATCAGAATAAAATTTGTCAAAAGAGAACCAAAAAATCAAATTCCTTTAAAGGTACAACGTTAAACAAATCTGACTTTGAGAGACATAAACATTTATAGTTTATGTATGAGAGAGGGATAAGAGAGATTCATCCAATCAAGGCTTAATCTTCTTAATCCCAGTTGAAAAATTGATGAGGATTTTAGGTCCAAGGAAGATATAGCTCGAACTAATAGAATGACTCTGTGAGGGGTTTTTACAGGTTTTGTTTAAGTTTTGTGAAGCTTTTACGAAATGTTGTGAAAGTTGGAATTGAAGAATTGTTGTTGGATTTTGATATATTGATTTTATATTCGAATTCAAACTAGAGTATAATTGCAACAAAGCAATATTCAAGTAATCTTAATTTGCTTATTTCTTATGCATGTACGTGTTGTAAACATATAAATATATTTTTGGCTATATTTTTTATGTGCAAAAAAAGTTAGCAAAAGAGATTTTGCAAAGAACTTATTTAGTTAAACTTCAAATATATTAAATAGGGAATTTAAAAAAAATAGATTATAATTAAGTGAAATATGTAGATGTTAATGAATTCCCAAGAAAAGTGTCAGGTTAGTTGAATTTAAAGCTGATAGTCTATTTGCAGTAGCGTTTCTCTCAATCCTATACATTCTGATCCTATACATGTAATATTGTCAGTTTCATGAAAATTACAAACCTTTGAATTCTGTTACATTGTTGATCTTTCATATGATTTTAATCCTACGTTTACAATCCTTCGAATTCTATTCTTACACATTATCCTAATCCTACAGTTCTCTACTTTCATGCAATCCTTCAAATTATGATCTTACATATATATTATTGTAATCCCATGGTTTTCACTTTTATTCCATCCTTCAAGTTACGATCTTACGTATTATCCTAATCCTACGGTTCTCTACTTTCATGCAATCCTTCAAATTTTGATAATACATATTATCCTAATCCTATGGTTCTTTCTTTCCTGCAATCCTTCAAATTATGATCTTACATATGATTCTAATCCTACGGTTCTCTACTTTCATGCAATCCTTCAAATTCTGATCAAACATATCATCCCAATCCTCCAGTTCTCTTATTTCATGCAATTCTTTAAATTCTGATCTTAAATATTATTCTAAATTCTAATACTACATACCTCAAAGTTTCTTGCAATCCTTAAATTTTTGATCTTACATATTATTGGAATCCTACGGTTCTCTACTTTAATGCAATCCTTCAAATTCTGTTTTTACATATTATTATAATCCTACGGTTCTCTACTTTCATTCAATCCTTCAAATTCTGTTTTTACATATTATTATAATCCCACGGTTATATACTTTCATGCAATCCTTCAAATTCTGTTTTTACATATTATTATAATCCTACGGTTCTCTACTTTTCAAATTCTGTTTTTACATATTATTATAATCCTACGGTTCTCTACTTTAATGCAACCCTTCAAATTCTGATCTTACATATTATTCTAATCCCACGTTTATATACAATTTCATGAAATCATTCAAATTCTGATCTTGCATATTATTCTAATCCTACGTTTATATACTTTCATGCAATCATTCAAATTCTGATCTTACATATCATTCTAATCCTATGTTTCTTTATAATCCACGACAAATTACAAGTTGCGAATTTGTGACAACAACGCTGGGTTTTCAAGCTAGTTAGTGAAAAAGTTATCTTAAAGTTGAAGAGAATGGGTCGAATCTTAAACATGTATAATGTTGATTCTTAATAATTCAATAAACCTGGTTTAGTGAGAGACAATTTATTATTGTTTGTTGTGAAAGACTGATTCATTTTCGAGAAAGGTCCCTTTAATTTTATTGATAAGGGTAAAATAGGAGGTTTGTCTCGTGAAGAACCCCTTTAAATGGAGTGACCGGCTATGTCAGGTAGTTGAACTGAGTATACAGTGTTGTGGTAAACTTCTTTCGGATCCATTTGAGACATATTAAACTTTTTAAAGATCTGTAAATCCTGAGTTTGAGCGCGAATTCGATGTTCAAAACTTCTACTTTGGGGGTGGATACGTTTCCAGAATTAGTTTTTTTAATTATTAAATAACGACGACATAAAATGTAAAAAAGTTCTACAATAAACTACAGACGTCATGTATGTATGTATAGGAACATGTTGAGAAAATAAAAATTAATCTTATCATCGAAAATAAGTAATCTTGATCAATTATTAGTGTATTATCTCATTATTCTGGTTTTTCATTATTCACAAAGTTTTTGCAGATTTTCTAGAATTATTATTGAAAAGACGACATTTGAAGAATTTGAAGAAATCTGCGAATAAATTCAAAGAAAATTAGAAATTCAATATAATAATGAAAACGATATAATCGATTTTAGCATTGATTTTTTGACAAATTACTTTTGAGAAATATGTTACTGTATCATTTTTACTTTATTTTTCGTTGTCGTTATTTAATAATTTAAAAAAACCTAACTCTGAAAACGTATCCACCGCCCAAAGTAGGAGTTTTGAACGTCGAACTTGCGCTCAAACTCAGGATTTACAGATCTTTAAAAAGTTTAATATGTCTCAAATGAATCCGAAAGAAGTTTACCACAACACTGCATACTCAGTTCAACTACCTTACATAGCCGGTCACTCCCTTTGAATTAACTGTTAGAAGCTAGGTATATGGCGCGTGTCTGCAGTCTGATTTCTAGGAAAAATGAAGCGGAGAAAATATTAAAGCTTGGATTTCAAGCATAGTCTTACATAGGCAGCAGTACTTCACCTTTTGATCCTTGGCAGGAGGGGGGGGGGGGGGGGGGGGGAGGGGGCGTATTTAAGAAGTATGTTTATCGTAGATAGTTAGTTAGTTAGTTAGTTAGTTAGTTAGCTAGTTAGTTAGTTAGTTAGTTAGTTAGTTAGTGAGTTAGTTAGTTAGTTAGTAAGTTAGTTAGCTAGTTAGTTAGTTAGTTAGTTAGTTAGTTAGTTAGTTAGTTAGTTAGTTAGTTAGTTAGTAATTTAGTTAGTTAGTTAGTTAGTTAGTTAGTTAGTTAGTTAGTCAGTTTGTTAGTTAGTTAGTTAGTAAGTTAGTTAGTTAATTAGTTAATTATTTCGTTGGGTTTTAATTTTCTTGCTTTTTTGGTAGATTTAATTTAATTGACTTTTTTAATTCCACCCTAACTGTATTTGCTATTTTAAACATGGATTTAACTCTAACTGTATTTACTACAGTAAAGAATGGATTTAACTCTAACTGTATTTACTACAGTAAAGAATGGATTCAACCCCAACTGTGTTTACTAAAGTAAAGAATGGATTTAACTCTAACTGTATTTACTACAGTAAAGAATGGATTCTACCCTAACTGTATTTACTGCAGTAGAGAATGGATTCTACCCTAACTGTATTTACTGCAGTAAAGAATGGATTCAACCATAACTGTATTTACTGCAGTAAAGAATGGATTCTACCCTAACTGTAATTACTGCAGTAAAGAATGGATTCTACCCTAACTGTAATTACTACAGTAAAGAATGGATTCAACCCTAACTGTATTTACTACAGTAAAGAATGGATTCAACCCTAACTGTAATTACTACAGTAAAGAATGGATTCTACCCTAACTGTATTTACTACA